CCTGTCCCATAGCGTTTCCCCCCCTCCTCTCTCCCAAAGTGTAACTTCCCCCGTCTTATCTCCCGCGGTATGTTTCCTATACCCGGCCGGACTGACAGGAAGTGCTCTCTCGGTGAGGCTATGATGCCTGACAGGAGTTTCCATGTTGTGGGGAGGCAGGTTATTGGTCGGTAGTTGGATGGTGCTGTTCCCTTGTGAGGGTCCTTCATGACCAGTATTGTTCTGCCTTGTGTTAGCCAGTCAGGGTGGGAGCCTGTTGCTAGTAGCTGGTTCATTTGTGCTGCTAGGCATTCATGCAGCGCTGTTAACTTCTTTATCCAGTAGTTGTGGATCATGTCAGGTCCTGGGGCTGACCAGCTCTTCATGTGTGCTGCTCTCTGTTGGATATTTTCGACTGTGATGATAACTGGTTCCTGTTCTGGCAGCATGCAGTGGTCTGCTTTCAGGTCTAGTAGCCAATGGGCCTCTGTGTTATGAGATGCTTCTTGCTCCCAGATAGACCCTATAGCTGTGTATACACATTGGATGTTTCTTTGTTAAAGAGGGCATTGATTCTCTTGGCCTCTGCTTCTTTTGTGTATCTGGTTGCTGTCCGCCTTTGTTTAGCTGTTTCCGGTGCCTCCGGTATGGGCATATCATTGTACTTCCGCAGCAGCCAGGATCTATCTTTGATCTTTCCACCTCTGTTAAGTTGATCGAGCTTTCTAACTTCCTTCCGTGCTGTCTTTATCTTGGCTTCCCGTGGTAGTCTCCATGGTGGGCATTGCTTCTCTTGTAGTCAAGTAGCTGGAGGACCACTAATGCTGTGGCATATATGAGCCTGTTTGTTTCAGTGATGGTGCAAGATGGAATTGTGGACAATGCTTTATTAACTGATGCTTTCCGGTGATCTTCGGTAGTGTTGTCTGCTGGTTAACGACTGCTAGTTTTTCTAGGATCATTTCCCTTATATCTGTTGTTATGGCATCTTGGGGTATGGATTCAGGTTGACAATTCTCTGCAGGTAAGAATGTGGGTATGGGAAATTCTTCCTTCTCATGGTGTATGGTTGATCTCTACTGTAGTCCATTTATTTCCAGTTGTGAAACTAGATTTCTCTTGAAGATGTTCAAACGTTGTGTAACCGGCTGTTTTGGTGTTAGGGTAGATGATGGTCTCTTATTCATCCATTGCTCCCACATACCTTTCATGTAGCCTCTCTCATTGGGTCTGCTGTTGTAGTAGCATTCAAGCAGGTCTAGGTTAAGGTATAAGTTTGTCTTGTTTCATGTGGCTTTGGAAAATTACATAATCCGTATCACTGAATACTGACAGTTATTCTGGCGCCATCTAGTGTTGGAAGGAAAAAACATGTTTTGTGAAGCAGATATTACTTGATGCTACAATGAAATGACTTGACTGGTAAACTGCAAAAGAAACAAAATTTTATGTTACACAAGTATACAATTTAGGCTTTGCAGAAAGATGCTACATTGTAGAATACAGAATATACCATATTGGCTACAGAAAAGATTCTACTGGTATTCTCTTTTGACGGGGTGACTGTGTGATAGAAAATATCAAAATACATTCTCATTCACCTCCTCTGTGCTAAACTAGCAAAGATAACAAATGTATTCATAATATGATCTCAATAAAAAGTAGTTAGTCTCCCCTTAACAGGCACGCTAAGGGTTTTACTGATGAGATCTATGTTGTAATCTCTTAACCTGGTTGTCCTTCTATTCTAGGGTCGAATAGCCTGTGCCAATGTGCTGAGTGACCTATATGCTATGGGGATCACAGAGTGTGACAACATGCTGATGTTGCTAAGTGTCAGCCAAAAGATGACAGAAGAGGTAAGTTTGTGTCGCCGTTTTAATATAAGCGTGTAGTATTGTGACTTGTACTGTATAACCAATGTTTATCAGCAGCACAAGTTTAAATTGATGAGTATAGTTGGACGTTTCTTTATGTATTTAGGGTGTGGGGAAGTTCTCTTTTGATACGTGATCTCTTAATTTGTTTAGGAGAGAGAGAAAGTTACCCCACTGATGATTAAAGGTTTTAAAGATGCTGCTGAAGAGGGAGGCACCTCGGTAACCGGAGGACAGACTGTGGTTAACCCATGGATCATCATTGGAGGCGTAGCCACTGTTGTGTGCCAGGCAAATGAATTCATCATGTGAGTTTCTCACTCTAAAATACACCCATGGAACATCTAGTTTGGAACCAACAGTTTTAAGATTGTATTTGTTGTATATTGTATTATTGTATATAAAATGTATTGGTAGCACAGCTGACACCAGATTTGCAGTGTTCATAGTAGAGATTGCCTGTAAATGCTTTGAGCTGTGCGTGTGTATCTTTGTCTATTCCTTTCCCTCCCATCCTCTGTGCTGTCTCTCATTCTATATACGTGTGGCTGCTGGTGTTATAGCTACACAGTGTCCAAGAACACATCCAGCTGCTGTTGTATTGCAAGGATTTCTGAGCTTGTATTCCAACAGCTGGAGGTTACACACCCCTTCCTTTGTATTTTCCTTAAAGAAAGCATAGTTTTGGCTAATGAGTCTAATTCCTTAATGCAATTTCTCACACCTAGAAAAAATCGACTGAGATCATCAACAGACAGACTTGAGCTGACTTCCATTTTATTGTATTTATGTAAGCAATATTTTATAACTAAATGCAATTAAATAGCTGGAATCAGTCATTGGATATTTTAGCTAATCTTGGCTCTCTTTATGTTCAGAACCAAACACAGGCTATATTTTTAAAGGTATACACCATGTAATATATATAGCTGCAGCATGGCATTGATGTATAGTTGGGTTTGAAGAATAACCTAGTGCTATCCTGATCCCATAACGCAATTCCATTCATTTGTAGGCCACACAATGCTGTGCCTGGAGATGTACTTGTTCTTACCAAGCCTTTAGGGACCCAGGTGGCGGTGAACGCACACCAGTGGCTGGACAATGTAAGTGGTTTCATTTTTGTTTGATATGTACCATCACCCTGTCTTTACAAATGGAGTGTTTGCTCCTTTAGTTCTCTGACATAGTGATTCCATGTGAAAAATGTGTGCTGTTACTCTTATTTTCAGCCTGAACGATGGAACAAGATCCGCATGGTGGTGAGCAGAGAAGATGTGGAGCTGGCATATCAAGAAGCAATGTTCAACATGGCTACTCTTAACCGTACTGGTGAGAGAAATCTCCCCCTTCTTTATGGCAGGGGAAAAACAACTTGAAAAGTGAACTAACTGTATATATAAATATGTATTTTTGTGAAAGCGACACACAAAGTCCATTTGTTATGGTCCTATGTGTCTATGGGTGTTTTCCCTGACCCCTCTCCCCCAGATTCAGTAACGTGGAAATAACATACAACACTGTCACGTTTGAACCTCCTGACGTTGTTTTGTATTGATTTTTAAAAATGCTAAAATTAAGACTACTTTTCAGTTTGTTGGTAACCTTAGGCCTCCAGTGAATTAATAGAGATTACAGAGGGGGTAAATATCTAATTGAAGGTTTGAACTGTCATAAGTAACCTTAGGACAGTTTAGCTTTACAATTTTAATAATTTCAATTAGCTGTTAAACTAAGTCACATAACTTCTGCCAGTTTTAGTGGAAAACCTGGAATGTAACATTTACAGGCAGTTGTAGTTGAATGGCCCTTTTATCCCAAACATGGCATGGTTGCAGCTTTTCCTTATGTTGTACATCATCAAACCGTGAAATAGCTAAAAATCTTTTGGTAAATTCCAGCCTCCATAATGATCTCTGGGCCCATGTCCCATAAACCCCTACCCAGCTGGAATGTCTGGGATATTTAGTTTGGGACCATCAGTAGTTTTTTTTCATTAAAAGACACCAATTGCAGCCTCTGCTTGCTGATCTGGAGAATCCTTCCAACTTGTCTAGTTTGGCCTGAAATTTGCAATGAATGGCATCACACATGTCATTTGAAGGGGGGAAACAAAATCACTCATTACTTGGAAATATAACTACAGTGCATTTGAAACTATTACGCAGAGGTAACTCTTTACTCACTGACACCCATGGCTGTCTTTCTCCAGCTGCAGCTCTGATGCACATGTTCAACGCACATGCTGCCACTGATATAACTGGTTTTGGAATCTTGGGCCATGCCCAGAATCTGGCACAGGAGCAGCACAGCGAGGTCAGCTTTGTTATCCACAACTTGCCGATTATCGCCAAGATGGCAGCTATTACCAAAACCTGCGGTAATCGTTATGGATTATTGCAAGGGACTTCTGCAGAGACGTCAGGTGAGCATACTGCCAGTACAGGGCCTTCTACTTTTGATGAAAAAAAAAAGCTCAATAAACAAATATTTGTGGCTGTCTAAACTTTTTGTTTAATTGCTTGTTGCACACAGGAGGTCTTCTCATCTGTCTGCCACGGGAGCAGGCAGCCCGCTTTTGTGCGGAAATCAAATCACCAAAGCATGGAGAGGGTCACCAAGCCTGGATCATTGGCATAGTGGAGAAGGGCAATCGCTCAGCTCGCATCATTGAAAAGCCAAGGATTATCGAGGTGACCCCACGGGGAGCAGGGACCAGTGACAATAGTAATACTTCTACCTTGGATGGATCATGCTAAACTTCCAAGAATTATTTTTCCATGAAGGACGACTTAGTTATGCGTGTGCTGCAGCTGGAATTAGATATTTAATCTGAGAATGGATCTGCTGGTGATTGGCTGATTTTGATGTTTTAATTTGGCTAATTCAATTTTACGGGAAGCACAGCCTTAATTTTTTTTTTTTTTTCATCGCTCACTTCTAATCTTGGCTCTAGGCCTGAGCAGCTGGACTGAGATTGAGTGAGTAGAGGTGATTTTAGCTGCCCAGAACCATTCCTCTGTCCATGAAGTTGCTTTCTTTTTAAACCCATCATTGGGCTGGAAGTGGCTGATGCTTTCAGAAGATGGTAAAGACAGCGTCACCTCTTGTTAGGACTTCCTGTCTTTTCAATAAACATCATGCTTTGTAGAACCGACTCAATGACCATGTGTTATGCATTAGAATTATTTCTTATTCTAAACGATGCAGGCTTCACTGGGGCTGTTATCTCTGTTTTGTTCTATCCAATATAGGGTCCCCCTTTAAAAGTGGAAATCAAGTTTGTTTTTTCCCCCCCCCCCACTTTTGAGTCTCCGTGCTGGTCTTATAGTGGCCACTTCTCTGAGATTATTAGTGATCAACCAATACAACACGTCTCCATAGAAAGCCGTTAAAACCCCTTCAGTGACTTACCTGAATCCAGTGCCGATATTCGTTGGCGCTGGGTCAGACTCCGCCCATGCTCTTGCCCTGCTGAAGGGGGAGACCTAATGCGCATGCATGGCAATGGCCGCCTTTGCGCATTAGAGCTCCCCATAGGAAAGCATCATTCAAGGCTTTCCTATGGGGATTCCGGCGACGCTGGAGGTCCTCATGCATACCGTGAGGATGTCCAGCGTCGTTTAAAACACTTTTTGTGTGCTAAGAAGCCGGAAGTCCCTCTAGTGGCTGATAGCCACTAGAGGAGGGCATAACCCTGCAAGATAATTATTGCAGTTTATAAAAACAGCAACTTGCGGGGTTAAAGGTGATGGGAGTTGGCACCCAGACCACTCCAATGGGCAGAAGTGGTCTGGTTGCCTGGAGTGTCCCTTTAAGTTTCAGCTCAAAAGAAATATAGGGGAGGGGGGTGTAAACTATGGACTGAAAAAAAAAAATGGAGGAGAGGGGGGTAAATTATGGACTGATAAGTAATAGTTTTATTTATTCCCCCCACCCCCTGGGCATGCTGTGACACAATGCATTACAAGGCTTACGTGAAAAAGGAAAAAAAAAAAAAAAATGATCAGCGGCTGATCTTTACTTCCAGGCCACCTTTTAACAGGAAGAACCAGCTCTACACACAGCATTTAAAATGGGCTATGAATTCACTAGAAACTGCTTTTATGCAAAAATCTATATTGCATTTTGCATCATTGTATGCTTGGTAGCCCCCACAAAACAAACTGGTTATAGCAGCACATTTTTATTTATTTTTGTGAGAGAAAGGCACAGATTATCCATATGTTTTTCCCAATTGCACTTATTTAAAAAGAAATAAAAAAAAAATTAAAAAAAAATCCATCAGTCAACACTGGCGTTCAGTATAATTATACAGAGGCTCCCTCCCAATTCTTAAAGAAGTACATGTTTGACCAGAACTGTGCTTATCTATAAATAACTCATTTATATGCAATGAGCAAGTTCCCTCAAGCCATAAAGAATTAAAAGGTATTTACACTGATAAAATCAGACTTGTGAAAATGTAAATTCTGGGTTCCCCCACTCCTTCGATCTTATGAATGGGATTTAAAAATTAAGCATATTCAGCTAGTAGAAAAAAAACCTTGTATTGATGGTGTCAGATTGTCCAGGGCAGTGTAATCAATAGTGTTTGGAAGCATTACTGTATACAGTCCATCACGTGTATTTGCAATGTGTCCATATCAGGGGCAATGTACTGACATTTCGGGCAGCAGAATTCATGTGGTTCAGCCACAAATGCAGGAGGACCTGGATTGGGATAATGTCCTGTTAAAGAGAAATGGATTTTAGTACTTGAACAATAGTGTTAATAGGTATTGAATGAGTGATAAAACTGTAACGCACCAGGCTGGCTGGCTAGTTGGTTATCAACATGTCTGTTCAGCATGTCCTGAAACCGTGTCCTGAAACAAAATACACGTTAGAAACACATTCATAGGGGAAGACAACACCTATCTGTGCCTTGTGAATGGGTTTCTCAACCTTTCTCGCTGTAGATCCTCTAGCTGTTTCAGCAACTTTTCTTTTTCTTCCTGTAGCTTTTCTTTCTCTTCATGCAACTTGCCTCTAGCGGCACGCTCCTGTTGAAAGTCTTCGTGATAAATGGAAACCTGGAAGGGGGAAAAAAAAAAGGCACACCAGGGTTAATCTTCCCTAGTGCATGTGTTATATAAATGGCAGATGTGAATTTTGTCCACCACCTACCTGTGCTTCGAGGACAGGGATCCTGTCCAGCTTCGCCTGCACCTCCTCCGAACCCTGCTTCAGCTTGTCTATCAGTTCTTGCTTGGCCACTAAAGCCTCTTCAGCCTCCTGCAGCTGCTGTGTCAGGTCTGCCACTTGAACTTCACATTCCTGCATTTAATTCACATCATATGAATGATTATCTTCCTACACACGACATTTAAATAACTGTTTAGTGGAGAGGTTTTTTTTGTGGCGTCTTTTCCGTTTATAAGAGTGTGGCTTAATACAAAGTGTACAATCATCTCACCGCCAACTTGGGTTGCTGTTCCCAAAATGTACCAGTTCCAATTGGTATTAATAGTAACTTCACTCTTGCCCAAGATAAGTGGTGCTACCAGGAAAGAATCAGCACTTGTCGGTGACCATGATCCAGGTTTAATTGAGGTCTAGTAACCCAGGAAACAATCTGGTTATACTCTGCCATTTTAAGAGACAGGGATCTGATCATATCAATTTTTTTTGAACTCTCTGAATGTATGGATCAGCTGAAGAGAAGTCATGTCTGTACTCAAAGGAAAAGCTGAGGGGAGTTAGTATTTGTTTTCCATTAAATATGATCATCTAACGTGTACTGTAGGTAGCAGGTACCTAATGTAAAATAAGACAGCATGCTCAGATCTTCTCTTTATATGTGGCCACTGGCTCTAGAAAACGTTTCCTATAATTTTGTTTCCAGGATATTGGAATAATGTGATTAAATGCAGCCCTGAAAACACTCCTTTCATCAATAAGTGTAACAGGAGGCAGAGTTCTTTACCTGCAGAATACTGGTAGATACAGAGCTTAGTCTGATACCTAATCTTGTGTCTGACATTAAACAAACCTCTGGGGAATGAGGTACAGTTTTATAAACACATAACAGCACCTGACTGTCATTACACATTACAGGAGGAGATAAAACTGTGAAAAACAATATTTTGCATTGTTACATGGGGCTCCAAGATAAACTGTAAATCGTTTCACCTAGAAGATTTACAAGACACCACGGTGAATAGGAGTGCCTAAATGAGTCTTAGTACATAATGTCAACAGCTGGAAGGACGGAAAAGGTTTTGAACTTTGAAAGGGAGAAAATATAGATAGTTCTTTTTCTGAGTTGTTGGGAAGTCCTTGAATATCATTAATGAGATGGTGTAGAAACTCAGACAGCAGCTTCTTCTCTGCACCAGGCATATTGATCTAGCTGGGATCCAAGCAAGGATTTTGTCATCTTCTACCAGTGCTTGGATTTCCCAATCTTCAAAATGAAACTGCTTCTGACATTTAATGATCCGGTAATATTTGTATATACTACTCTCGCAATGGCTAAATATGCACTTAGCACACATATGACAGGAATTAAGCTATCTATACACTATGTGAGACAAAATGCTGGCAAACAGATACTGTGTTAGAGGTGGAAGAAATTTGGAGCATCCTTCTCCATGGTCTTAGAATAGGCATACACCTCATATAGGACAGGACAATTGGTGAATGCTCAGCCTTGTGTGTTGAAGAACCTTAGTGCACAGACCAGGAAGCAAGCACAGCGTTTAATCTATACGGCAATTCTGTTAGCACACTGCTTCTATTTAATGTTGCATTTTATTTGGTGTGTACATATTGACTAACCCCAGATTCAACTGCTAAAGCTTACTACCCTAGAGCCTTCTGCCTAAGATAGTAAGCCAAGGCACATCTAATCCTTAAATCTACACCATCAGACCTTTGTTAACCTGTGAATGGTAGTTTAAAAAATGTAAAAGGCATGGTGACACTGCAATAGCAGCAGCGCAAATTAAGATATTAATTAGGAGAGAAAATACAGAGATTGCAAAATTAAATCAGAAAGTAATAGCTCCTGCACTGGCAGTTAATGTAAAAATAAATATAATTTTATTAAAATATATTTAAAAAATCCTCTTATGCACAAGGCTGTACAGTTTCCTGTAAAACAACTTGTCAGTCCTGTACACGGTACTTTTCAGGTGCTGAAACTGTTAATATATTCCTCCTCTCTGCCCTGTATACACTATAATGACCCGTTGACCCTCTATATTTAACCCTTGGCACATAATAGACGCAGCGTTGCCAGGTGCTGGCCTTCCTTCCCACCTGGAGACATTTTTCCAGCTGTAGGCTTTTCTTGATATGGGCATCGTATTCTTGGAATAACTGATGATATGCGGCCTGCAGCTGTGCTAGCTTTCTCCTAGATGAACAAGAGAGATCGATTTAGCTCGCATTCACTTAACATTACGGCAATCCATGTACATTATAAGCAATGTGCAGGTTAAGTTGAAGGGTTGTTCACTAAAGTCAGAAATCAATGTGAAGTTAAAATGTAACATTAAACATTCAAGTCGGCTATGGTTCCAATTCAGCTATTCCAGTCTTAGAATTTGAAATTCATTTTAAATGCTTGAGAAATCTAACTGTAGTGAATAACTAGCAGTTATGCTGGGTGTGTTTTTATTTGTTTTCCCTTCCTCTTTTCTCTACTGACATGACCACAGGTGAATCGCTGTGTATAACAAAGAAATTGGTGATTTACCTGCGCTCTTATCAGGTGATCCAGCACTGCTAGTATGATTACAGAGAGACCCACCACGGAGAACAGTTAATGTGTGTTTCAAACCTTCTCGAACTACAATTTTGATCATCCTAATTTTATCATCAGACCGATAATGAGAACAGAGATATTATGAAGTTAACATACATTAATTGTCCTCAGGCCAAATAATGTACTTTGCAGTGCTGCACAATTCTATTCAGATGCTGATTCTCCACGGTTTTAAGGTTAGCAATATTTATGGTGGTAGCATTTAAAAAAAATAAAATAAATTATACCATTCACATTGTTTTCTCCCGTCTACATATACTGTATAAACATGTGCACTTGAATATACACAACCCTGTGTTTTGCTTTATAACCGCAGTCTAGAACCTAAACCGCCGCACTAGCGAGGTATGCATGTTTCTCTAACCCCAGTTTTCATTTGCAGAGAGACTATACATTGACTTATGCTCACATTTCCTCGCAGGCATTCTGACGCTCTATTTTCAAAGCGGCTTCTAGATTTTGCACCTGTAACCTGCGTTGGTCAAGTTGTATGACGTGCTGCTTCACTTGCGCTTCCCATTCTTTCTGCTGGTCGCGGGTACTGCGGATGCTAAAAATAGAGACAGCACGTGGGAATTAAATGCCAGCTATCGCACACATTAACTTCATATAAAATACAGTCATCGGTGCTGTGTGCAAACAGGAAACAAAAATAAAATATATATATATTTTCCCAAGTTAAGACTCCTATAGAATGTTTTTTTTTTTTTTTTTTTTAAAGTGCAGCTTTAAAGGGAAACCATAATGACAGCAAAACAAAGTTGTTTTCCCTGTCACTATAGTGACCCCCCTCCTTCGCGCCTCCCTCTCCATTGTGGTTAAAAACCCCTTCTGTCACTTACCTGATTGCAGTGCCGATATCACTAAGCACTGGTTCAGGATCTGCCTCCGCTCCTCCCCTGCTGACATCAACGGCGAGGGGACCTAATGCACATGTGCAGTGAGTGCCATGCTCGCATTAAGACTTCCCCCCACAGGAAAGCCTTGTATAATGCTTTCTTAAGGGGTTTTAGCTGACGCTTGATGTCCAAAAGTTGCCTAATGACCCAGAGGTCCATCTAGTGCAGGCATAGGCAACCTTTGGCACGGCAGATGTTTTGGACTACACCTCCCATGATGCTTTGCCAGCATTATAAGTGCAAGAGCATTATGGGGGATGTAGTACACAACATCTGGAGTGCCAAAGGTTGCCTATCCCTGCTCTAGTGGCTCTCTGGTAGACAGCCACTAGAGGTGGAGTTAACCCTCCAGGGCAAGTATTGCAGTTTCTCAAAAATTGCAATAACTTTTCATTGCAGGGTTAAGGTACCGGAGACAATGCACCCAGACCACGTCAATGAGTTGAAGTGGTCTGAGTGCCTATAGTGTCCCTTAAACAAGTAAACGCCCACAGATCAAATATCCATTCGATTCCAAGTACAACAAAACAGTTTCCCTTTTCTTCACTGCCTGGCTCAGACACAAAAGGGATCAACTATTAGCCAGTTTGTTGTGGTTAATAAACATTGGTATTGTACAATTTAAAAAACAAAACAAAAAAAAGTGCCCTTTTCTTCACTGCCTGGCTCAGACACAAAAGGGATCAACTATTAGCCAGTTTGTTGTGGTTAATAAACATTGGTATTGTACAATTTAAAAAACAAAACAAAAAAAAGTGCCCTTTTCTTCACTGCCTGGCTCAGACACAAAAGGGATCAACTATTAGCCAGTTTGTTGTGGTTAATAAACATCGGTATTGTACAATTTAAAAAACAAAACAAAAAAAAGCCCAAATTGGGGGTGGCAAATCCTGCAAAAAATAAAGTATATAAAAAAAATGTCTTTTCATAGTACGGATAGGCAGTGTATGCCTGAACAGCTGCAGGTAATCTATACAGTGTAAACTAGACAGCAATGCTACAAACTCATTTGAAACATAAAATATCTCGGTTTGGATAGAATCAGAATTTTATTTTTATAAAAGGAATCTCTGCATTTTTGATTTTACCAATTTATTTACCTCTCCTCCAGTTTCCTCTTCTCCTGTGTGCTGGTCTCCAGGCTGAGCTGACTCTCTTTCAGTTCCCCTAACAGAGAGGTCACTTGGGCTTTCACAGACACCTTCTCTTCAGCCAGCAGCTGCAATGTTACATTGGGAAGTTTAGTCTGAATACCACGTAGCTTATTTAAGCACTTATAGGACTGAACAAGGAAGTTCATACAAGTAATAAAAAAATAAAATAATAGACTTTCTAATCCAATGTTTCCCAACAAAGCCCTAAAGGCACACCAACTATCCAGAAATCATGTTGTAGTACAGAAACATCTGGAGGGCCAGCATGCCCTTGTGTGTGTTTAACACGTCAATTTTACTGTCACCTGCAGCTGTCTTTGAGACTCTGTTGTTTTCTCTGCCATCTGAAGTCTCAGTTCTGACATTTCTCCCTGAAGGTTTACAATCTGTTGTTGGAGAAGAGCTTCCCTGTAGGAGGAAGTGGTAAATTGTAAACAGGCCGCATCATATTAATATTTTTCTTTATTTTTGCACGATTCACCAACAGAGTATACATCACCAAGTATTAAACAGAGAAATCCAGAGTTATCAGCAGTTTAACACAAGTATATTGGTGAATATGAGAAGACGATAGGGAGAACTAGAGAGAGTGTGAGTGTGTGTGTGTGTCATTTGCTAACCTCTAGTGCAGGGTTGCCCAAAAGGTAGATGTTTTAAAAACCAGCTTCCATGATGCTTTGTAATTCTAAAAGGCATGCAAAAGCATCATGGGAGTTGTAGTTCTACAACATCTGGGGATCTACCTTTAGGGCGTCTCAAAACCACCAATGGGATTGTATACTATATGGCTTAATAAGAGAAAAGGAAAGAGGTAACGAACTATGGAAACCACCTCACAGATATCAGGACTAGTGCCGTATTAACTGAAAGTCTTAAGGGGTGTTAAGTGGAATAAAGGAGCTTTGTGGAGTAAACAGAGCTATAAGGTGATGGAGCAAATTACATTTCAGCATTAAAACAAACATTATGGTCAAAATAAACTTTGAAACCATTGGGAAGCCTGGTGTCACAGACAAGCTATAGGGCTCAGGTAGTTGCAGACTCATTCAGATCTCTTCCAGGCTACCATTCCATTTAAAAGGTCAGCAAAGAAGGTAAGTTGTATTGATTCAAAGGGAAGAAGTGACTTTTCCTTGTTTTAGAATTGGACCATCACATCTCTTGTAGCTGTGGTGAGTGCTTTGGCTGGTTTAGGGAGCCTGAAGAAGTCCTCTAGATGTATGTTTTTAGACTGTGTAGGCGATAGCAAGTCCGTAAATAGCCATCTCTGAAAGTGCAGTAGCTCTGCAGCCTCAATTTCCTCTGTGCTGCCCAGGATGTGCTACACCTAAGTGCTCCAGAGATATAAGCCTTGGAGTGTGTCCGCTTGTAATATCTTTCACTGCCCTGAGCCGACCCGTGAGGCCGGAGAGTACAGGCTGGAGCACTGCAACATCAGCTATTGTTATTTTTGGTAGACAGATAGCAGGGTCCTTAATAAAGCCATGGTTACCGGTGAGAAATCAGCTGACTGTGGGAGATTAATTTGTTTTGACTGAGCAGGTGCAACTCATCCTCAAGCTTCCACAGAAAACGCTTTTGAAGAGTCCGAGCAGCTCACCATGTAGGAGAGCGCTGTGCATTGCAGAATAAGTCTCTGAAATCACCCCTCTGTCGTGGCTTCTCCGGTTGGGATTTCTTTACCTTGCAACCATTTCTACAACATTTATGCTCTGCTCATTTAGTGACACTTTCACTCTACAAAAACGGTTATTCTAGATAAGGTATTGGTGTAGAAAATGTATGGACAAATTCTATTTCTGGCACAGAGGCTCACAGATACATAACGGGTTAAAGCTACATTACTCCAGAACTTGTTCACCATAGGACATGTCCTAAGAATTATTTTATTAAGAAGATTTTAGAATTTAGTACTCACTGGTCTTCAGCTTCCTGCAGCTTCCTCTGAAATTCCTGCTCTAGTCGGATGTTCCTGAAAGACACCAGCCATGAGGTTCTCACTCCATTCACTCAGCTAAGTATACAGAGAAGCTGTCAGGCTAGGAACTCACCTCTCTCCAGCTCCTTGCAAGCTATCAACCTCGGTGCGTGCATCCCTGTCACCTGTTTCTATCTGAAATAGCACAAGACAGGTAAGTGTTTGTCAGCATGCAGGACATATCATCTAAAGCAGTGGATGTTTTTAACTCCCTCACCCTCATTCTGATTTCCTTTGTGCTGTGGGTGCCAGTAAGGTATTCTTTCTCTTGTCTGAGTTTGAGGTTTGATTCCATTAGCAAGTGTAGCTTTTCCTGCACAAAAAGGGACAGGTAAGGGAGTAACAAGTGCTGCTAACCATGTGTTTCTGTAGCACATGTTTAGCAAACCCTGGCTTTGTGAGACAAAGCCTCAAGAGCTCTCTATTTAACTCACATAATGACACATCTGTACAGGATGTCGTTTGCTGGGCAGTAGTGTTAAATAAATTAAGAAAAAATATGGAGAACTGTAACCGGAACCATTTGATAGCTGACTATCGGGGCGAAGGAGCTCCACTATTCTCTAATTAAAACAGGTTTAGTTAATTTTAGATTATGCATTAAATGTAAAATTATTTTATTCATCATTTATGCTTTTAACCATTTGCCCACTGGCTACTAGCACAGAGAGGGAGGATGGATGCTTGTAAGCCTTATTTGAGGGGGGAGCATGGCTGTGATCAATAGTTAAAGTAACACTCCCAGAAACCACCTTTGTTTTAAGACAACATTGCGGTGTAGGGTTCTAGAGAATATGACTACCACAGAATATTATGAGAGCGTCAGAATTCGCTAAGCTACAGACACTGCAGAAGCCAAGAATCCCAGGGGATTGGCAGCAAAGAGACTTCAAAATGTACTTTTTTTTATTCATTGCACATTTTGTAACGCATTATGTCAGCTTGGAATGTTTTGCTTAGCTTCTAACCTTTCACAGTGAGTGCATGAAATATGTATTAAACCCAAAATATATCTACCCCATGTTATGTATGCAGACAAAGGATAGGTTTCTGTCTCACCTGCTCGGATCGGGTTGGCCCAACAAGGTCTGGTGCTGACTTCCTGATCGTCTCACACATACTGTGAGTGAGAGTTTCACAGGATGATAAAGAACTCCCTGGGCTGGTGTTGTCCTAACAAATCACAGCAGAGTGGTCAGACAGGGGCCAAACCGAGGCGTCAGGCAGAACAGAAAGAATGACTGGCCAAGCAGAAAATGCAGCAAATAAAACCAATTTAAAAAAGCGATTTAACAAATGCATGCCTTGGCCCAGATACGCAAAGGACTCTGGGAATAAGATTATTCACGAAAGCGAGCATTCTAAGTGAATTTCAAATTTAAGACCAAAGTAGCGGAAATTAAAGCACAGCCGACAGAGAATTTTTCCGGTTTGGCTACTTTGACCTTAAATTTGAAATTCCTTTTAAATTCTCATTTTAGGAAATAACCCTGTTGGTGATGAATGCCTAAAACGACAGGTGGAAGCTAGAGGGAGGGTGCCATAGGCTGGTGAAATGGAGACAAGCCACCCATCACGGCATATACAAGTTATGGAAGAGTCATTGGCTTTGGCTAAAATATAGAGAGTCATGCATACGTGTGGGGTGGCATCAACAAGGGTAGGACTTGAGCCACAAGACACTGAAACAATAAGCACAACGCGGATGGAGGGAACTGAAGAGCCTGTGAAAGTATGTTATATTACTACAACTAAAGAAACATACTGGGATTCCATTACTGCTAAAAAGTATGAATGCACAGTACCTCTTCGTTTTTATTCGCTGGATGCCTTGTGTCAGAAACCTCAGCCAGCTGCCTCCTTTCCACCTCTGTGCGTCCTGGAGCATGCTCTTCCTTAGCTATGACCTGGTGTAGTTGTTTTTTGGCCAGTTCGAGTTGAGCTTGCAAGGAGTTGCGCTCCTTGGTTAGGTTCTGGACCAAGTCCCGTGCTTCACTGAATCTAGATGCTATGAACTGATGCTCGTTCCTCTGTGCGTCCTGCAATGCCAGCATCTCAGTGTGCCGTTTGCGTAGCATAGTGTTGCTTTGCTGTAAAGCATCTATTGAGCAAAAATTACATGGTAAACTCCCCAAACTGAAATATATAATTTATATAAACATACACACAATAAATTCCATGTAGCTCCAATAGCTGATCTAGAAAAATTCTTAATCAAACCCAAAGTCGCAACCTGGCTATTTTTGCGTCAGTTGCGCCATTCTGAATGAACTCATGAAATTCTGAGTTTTGTGAATAACCCTGAATGTGATACTGTTTGATCTTACTAAAAGAAAATATCATTGGGTCAGATTTGCAAAGGTGGCTCATCGCCATCACCCATGGCTTGCATTAGAGATAGATTAGGGTTCATCAATAAAATGGGATTGAATAAAATTATTTTACACTAGGAGCTTAAAAGTAAAGGGTCATGAACTAAGAACAATGCCAACACCGACAAATGGGAAGAAGTTATAGGGTCATTCTAGATCTTCAGGCAACACAAAGTTGAGTTTGTTAACCTGATATGATGACAGCACTAATCATTTGAGGGAGCCACTATAAATATACCAACTCCAGCATTGAAATGTTTGAAGGACTAGAGCGTTTAATAATGGAATCAGGTCTCTCACCTCTTAAGTCTTGGTTCTCAGCTAATAGACGCTGAAAGAGTTCATGGTTAGCAAGCTCATGAGGCAAGGCGTCTGGCATTCCTAACAAAGAATTCCCTGGACCCCCTCCACTTGGGGCATAGTCCACGCCAGGGCCTTCGGTGGGCTGCACCATCTCTCCGGTCTGCCCTTGTATGTTCATTCACTGCTGTGCGTCCTGTTCAGTTTCTCGCCTACCCGAGAAAAAAAACCAAGCAATAAATCCCACCATGCAGTCTATTTTATCCGTCATCAACCATAAAGACAAGCCTTAAACAGCAGTGAGGTGCTATCTGGCAATCACAGATTAACACATTCGTTTTGTTCACAAATAAGAGCTTGTTATGTAGATTTTCCTTCACTTTCTCTCACTCTCCGTGAGCCTTTGCTTTCAGTTTTGTTTCTCTGTTCATCTAACCAACTTCCTGTTCATTCTCTCTAGATCGCAAGTGGAATAAGCCCAAGAATTATTCTGTATAACCACCTCCCTGATTAACAACACACAAGGCTGGTAAAAAACGCAAATACAGCAAGGATTGCAGTTCCATGTTTAATAGGAATGGGGCCCTGGTTAATCTGTAGAGGAGGGTAATATTAACAGAAACAGATATTATCGTATTCTTGTTATCACAATTGCATTTGAAAGTAGATTACCTACAGTTCCGCGTACACATATTTGAGACAAATTTCTCACCAACTAAAAGCTAGCACTCCCAAAGAATAACATTAATATGATCTATCCTTGCGTATCTACTTTTATTTAGTTCTATTTAATTCTGAATGGCATCGTAACAAACAAATGTCACATATTAATGCAGTAAAAGACAATTTCAAGCACAAATTGTCAGAAGAAGCAGCAGCGATAACAATGACAGTGTATGAGCAATAAAATAATAAAGCAGTAGTAGTGACGGTTTCTATTAAATCATGATACCAAGTTTACCTTTGAAACGCGTTGAGAACCAGCGGGAGACGATAAAACCCAAACACAGACATGATATTTTGTGTGTTTACTGGTTAACTCCCTGCACCAACACACAGGAAACTGACATTCTACCTTAGTTGATCAGTAGCTATAACAGGTGCTTTTTCAGCCTTTTGAAGATATAGGCTGCATGGCTCCGAGTCCTGCCTATTGAAAAGGGACAAGAATCTTTCTGGTTTTCGGGATTGCTGCAAATGTGTACATTGTGAAGGGGCCAGTATGTGGGTTTTGCTGTTCAGTCCAGCCATCAACACGAGTGCTGTGTATGTACTGCAAACCCTTTAATTGCAGGAATTTATGTGATATGTAGTAGTTATGACTAAATTTGCAAATTACTTCAGGCATGTAAAGATTTAGGATGGATCTATTCACCAAGTATATAAAAGCTGCAATTTTTTTTTTTTAAATGAATGAAACTATTCAATGCTGCACATGTACACAGCAGCTGTGTAGGCCCTCACTCAAAGAGCTACGAGAATGCCTGTACAGCAGGGCTACTCAAAAGGTAGATCCCCAGAGGTTTTAAAGGGACACTATAGTCACACAGACCACTTCAGCTCAAGTGGTCTGGGTGCCAGGTTCCTCAGGTTTTAACCCTTCAGATGCAAACATAGTTTCAGAGAAACTGCTATGTTCACATTTGGGGTTAAGCCAGCCTATAGTGGCTTTCTTCCGGACAGCCACTAGAGAAACATCTGTGACGATGGAGGCATATTATGCCTCCATCGCGCATAGCGTCCATGGGAAAGCATTGAGAAATGCTTTCCTATGGACACTTTGAATGCACGCGCGGCACTTGTGCTTTCGGCTCCGCTGACGTCGGCGGGGGAGGAGAGGTCACCAGCGCCGAGGGGGCCCAGCGCTGGAATAAGGTAAGTAACTGAAGGGGTTTTAACCCTCAGGGCACTATGGTGTCAGGAAAACTGCTTTGTTTTCCTGACACTATAGTGATCCTTTAAAACTACAGCTACCATGATGCTCTGTCGTTCTAAAGACATGCAAAGCAAGGTGCAAGACAGTACTGAGAACGGACAACAGCTCAAATAGCCTGCCCTTCGGTGGGTTCCCGCTCAGGTCTCAAACTGGTTTTAGCTCATCTTGTGCCAATACAAAAATAACCAGGGCCAATTGCATATCAGACTGATCCCACCCAAAAGGGTGGTTCAGATCCGAAATACAGTCCGGCTCTCTTTTAAAGTATGACTTGTCAAGAATACAGATTGTTTTCCAAAGCTGGAAAATGATTTAGGAATCAGCTATGTTTTCAGCCTGACTATTTTGGCCTCAAAATTTAAATTTTCTTTGTATTCTCAACAAACCACACCTTAATGAATAACCCTGAGAGTATTACATTTTTAGAAAAAGGCTAAGGAAATTCAGGTCTGTTGAGATTTTCCCAAGCCACGCTTGCTGTGAATTTTATCAAGCAGAGCCATAAATCACACTTAGCTAGAGACATCCTTCATATTCTACACGTGGCCAGGCTCTCACAATGCACATAGCTTCTTACCCGGGAACCAAGGCATGAATCACATTCTGATAAAAGGGAGCTGTGCACTCAGGGTATAAAGTTTACTCAATGATGCAATGGTTGTTTATATTTCTAATCTACCAGATACAGATTAAAGGACCACTATAGTGCCAGGAAAACATACTCGTTTTCCTGGCACTATAGTGCCCGGAGGGTGCCCCCATCCTCAGGGACCCCCTCCCGCCGGGCTCTAGGGGGTGGAAGGGGTTAAACTTACCTCTTTCTCCAGCGCCAGGCGGGGAGCTCTCCTCCTCCTCTCCGGCTGAATGCGCATGCGTGGCAGGAGCCACGCGCGCAGCCAGTCCATAGGAAAGCATTCACAATGAAAATCACAGTGAGAAGCACGCAAGCGCCTCTAGCGGCTGTCAAGAGACAGCCACTGGAGGCTGGATTAACCCTATTATAAACATAGCAGTTTCTCTGAAACTATGTTTATAAAAAAAAAAAAAGGGGTTAACCTTAGCTGGACCTGGCACCCAGACCACTTCATTAAGCTGAAGTGGTCTGGGTACCTATAGTGGTCCTTTAACTTCTATAAAAGTTTCCACTTCGTTATATCTATACATTTATATAGAGATGAGAGTAAGTATCCGTCCACAGTATGAATCATTGCATTGCGACGTACCATTGTACATGTATATTATAGAAGCCAAATACATTCAACAACTATAGAATGTAAGCTCGTTTGAGCAGGGTCCTCTCCAACCTATCGTTCCTGTAAGTTTTTGTAACTGTCCTATTAATAATTAAATCCCCCTCTCATAATATTGTAAAGCGCTACGGAATCTGTTGGCGCTATATAAATGGCAATAATAATCAAGGGAGATGCATGAAATGGATGAAGAGACGGGCACATTATTTAAGAACGCAACAGATTCAATTTGCGTATTCCAACCAGCCAAAATGTGACTGAATCGCCAGGGAACACGACAATGGAGCTTTATTCAGGATTCTAGGAATTGTGAAGAATTGATAAGCGTTTCTGCAAGCTTTATTCCAATATACCCATACTGTAAAATTATTTCACTAGTTTGACGTAAGATCTGCTATTGCCTGTACAGTTCTTCAGAATCCGCGGTTTATTGAATAACACAGTCTGCGATTAAACTGTAAATAGAGCAATAATAAAACGATACACGGCAAATAAGAGGTTAGATTCTCACATCATCAGGGGAGTAATAAAGATAACAAGGAGGAAATACAGTGTATTTTGGTTGTGTTAATTGCTTTTTGACATCAGTAATAAGGATGTGACCAGGGGAGGGAAATTAAATCACTCCCAGTAAAATCATTATCCTTCAAAAATAAGAAAAAATAAATAAATAAAAATAAATATATATATATATACACATACATACATACATATACACACACACAGACACTTATATTTATACATATACAGAAAAGAGTGATCATGGGTCTAATGTAGGTTAATACTTCACAGCTTTATTTGAAGAACACAAGCTACCAGCTTCTATTCATAGATTGTAAACTCTTTGAGAAAGGATTTATTTTCACACTTAAAGAGACACTCTCTTTAAAGGGACAACGGTTGTGGAAACGCTCAAGAAAATACTCACCTAGCGTATTCAAGGTAAAAAATGTTTTTTTTTTTTAATTTAATAAAATGGGTTTTTACTAAAAATAAGTGAGAGGACATACCCTAACAGATGGAAGAGTGGGCATGCTCCCTAAATTCTGAGCAGCCAGCATACTCTATTCCCTGAGCAGTGGGTTGGAGTTATAGAGTTTGCTACATTGACATTTAGCTATCTGATGGGCTCGAACTTGACTTGAAGAAAGAGTCACTAAGATGAGAGTAAACATGATTGGCTAGTTCTGTACAACCAGAGCTTCCAAGAAGCTCCTTTTATGTGAGTTGCCATTTGTTCTCTTATTATGTTTTATGCTATTTCTGGATACAACAATATAAGCTTATTTTGTTCTATGTGGTTGTGTTTTGGGGTTTACCATTACCTATAAATACTGTGCAGTTATTTATTAATCCACCACAGTACTTCTTGATCCACCACAAGAAGAGACTTTTTAAATATTTATTAGCATTTCTCTGGTTTACGTTATATATACAGATCTATCTTTTGGCGCAACAGCCACTCTCTGATATTTTTTTTTATTTTATTTCCTGTTGTGGAATTTACCTGCTTTATGTTTTATTGGTCTCTGCTACCTTCGTTGTACAGGCCAGGCCATTCGTACACACTCATTCGTGCACCTGTTATAATGACTGATACCTGTATTATTACATCATTGGAATTTCCAGGAAAACAGGAAAGGTAGATCATTTCTGCATTAGTTCAAATAGGAAAGGCAGCTCAAGCGATCTGTTATTCCAATTTAATAGTGTATCTTGTCATTCCTTTTAGTGCGGAGAGATTAAAGGTTATATATAGATCGAAGTCTACCAAAAGAGCATTATGCACAGCTTGTGGTAATATATTATTACAAACATAAAGTGGCTCCATCCTCATTTTCCTACAGAGCACCTCAATTATGGAATATTTTGTATATATTGTTTGTATATTTTATTTTTGTAATGTTGTATCCTATTGCATCAATGCAATGTTTTGTGGACCCGGGACATACTTGAAAAACGAGAGAAATCTCAATGTATCCATCATGGTAAAATAGTATATAAATACATTTACATTTTTTATTTTATTTTATCCATTTTGGCATTTTATTAATCCACTTGACAGCCTGAAAGACAAGACTGGGATAACAGAACTTGAAGTTTGATGGGAATTTGTGCCTTGTGGTGCTTGAGAGTTGGCTGGTGGAGTGTACCATGTTAACTGGAATTTTAGCAAATATGCACTTTTGTGCAGAGAAATAATAGTGTAGTTTGTGCCTTTTACCATATCCATTTTCAAAATCACAACTGTAGCACTATATGGGTTTTCTTTCTTTCTTTTATTGTGTAGTAAATATAAAATCAGTATATATGCAGGTGTACTTTTGTGGAAACTTTTGGGTAATTATTAAATGGATAATTTATTGAGTTTAAATGGTTACTCCAAGCACCATATCCACTTCACTGATTTGAAGTGGTCCTGGTGCCTGACGTCTGTATGTGAAGTGTTGTGCCTTGAATTTAACCCATCTGCTGCCAGGGTTGTAACTCCACTTTAAACTGCACCATTGTGACATTGTTATCCAGCCCAGAAGAAGAATTCTGGGTAGCCAATGTAAATCCTTTGTAAATTAGCCATCTGATCAGTAGTACAGAATCAGGCTGCAGGGAGATCGTGTCCTTGGCGCTGTTAAATTTGGTTGACGGGGGCAAGGTTGGAGTACCACTTTAAATATCTTACTACTCAATTTTTGATCTATATGGTTTTATATCTGACTCTAGCAATCACAGGAGTGGAAACACTGGGTGAATTATTTATTCAATAAAGTCATAGTGGCAATGGAAGAAAGGTTCATGCTTTTCTACTTTGTTAATAAACCTAATTAGAATGTCTGTGGAGATACCTGGGTGGAGAGGAATGGGGGTTGTCAATGTCATTGCAACTCACACAAATAAGTGCAGGCTGGAAACTCCCAAATTGCTTCTAATGACTCACCAACTTCAGTGAAAGATGCAAATGGGGAGATCAAGTGAAAAGTACAATTGAAACTAAGATAATGGCAATATGCTTAAAATGGGAACATTCTGCATTGGCAAGCTGGTGAAAATTACATTGCAAATTTATACCATCTGAGAGAGGTGTTCAAATAACTTATTTTACACCAACTCACTGCAACGCACTGCACAATAACCTTACACAACAGATAACGGTACTCTACAATCTAGAGCATTTCAGTTTATTGTGACTGGATAAATTAAGATTTTTAACAGATAGCTTTAGCCTTTTCCAGTATTGCTTTGCATTAACATCATTGCAAGAATCTTGGAGTAAACAAAGCTGTTTACACAAAAGGTTCCTGAGAATTAATATCAGTATAAATTGCAATATGCGTGATTTCGTACCAAGGCCAGTGGACTAAATCAGCTTCTCCAAAAGTATTTTATAAGTTTATGTATGTATGCAGAACACTTTTTCAAATGTAAAGTACGTGCAACCTTTTTCACCGGTTTTATAATAGATGCACAATTGGCCAAACAGTTACATGTTTGGCATATTAGTGAACATGTTTTCCTTGTAGAATTTTATAGAACACTTAAAATGGGTAACATTTAAGTAGTTTAGCAGTTGATGAGGAATGTGGGAGGTCGAAGGCTGGCTTACAGTCATGGAAGTTGTAGTTGTGTTTTTGCAGCTTAAACCCTTTTCTCAAGGAGACACAATAACAGTGAAAACAGAACATGATATGATGCACTGGGATAGGAGGACTGTGGAAAGGAATCAAAATGAACATGCAATGCAATTTCAATATCTCAATGATGTAAGGTTTAAGTCGATTATTGTTTGATTTACATGTGAAGCGATAAAAGATAACGCAATGTAATACAATCATGTCTCACTCACGTCTGACTGAGCCACTAAGTGTTCACAAACACAAGCAATCTGCAGTTTAATGCCCACTTAAGGACGCTCTTTAATTTGTCATGAGCATATAGGAGTCACAACGAGATGAATGCTTCAGTTCCCTACATCATTAGGCTATGTGATGGCTGCACACACTGAAATTGTATTTACGCTATAATAATTCGTTTTCATTTACTCTTAATGCTCTGTATATTAAAAACTTTCTATATCTCTTCCTCTTGAAACCAACTTCCTTTCCCGGCAGACCATACTTCCCTCAATTTCATGCAATAATTTTGTTTTTTTTTATTAAATCCCATGACAATTGTAGAGACCTTGTTCCTTAATTTTCTAAGTGTTTAACCCCTTAAGGACACATGACATGTGTGACATGTCATGATTCCCTTTTATTCCAGAAGTTTGGTCCTTAAGGGGTTAAAGTAAATCCTTCTGTTTTTATAAAGCAATCTGCTAGTCTATACTTACACAGTCACTAAACGGTCAATAGCCTTAACAAACAGACAAATGGAAGTTCTTTTCAAAATCGTTAACGAATAACCTGTACAACTGTCTGCCATCTTGGATGAACACACTTGTCCTTGCTTCAAAATGAATTTCACTATCAAATAACATATCCACTTATCTATAAAGTTGCATGTAACAACCAAAAGAGCAAGATGCAGAATTGTATCTAGAGCAGAATCTTGTGATTTTCTTTCATAATAAATACCGATAAGTAAAAAGCACAAACATAGATAAAGCAGAGAGAAACTAAAAAACCACAGGATCCAAGTGCAAGAATCAATAAAGTCACCCTTCTCGCCTTGTGTGCGGGATAGGCAGAGTGTGATTGTGTCCGTCAATAGTCCCATCTGAGGCATCATGGGATGCGTTGACACTGCAACACTAATGTGCAAGATTCAAGTTACCTCTGCTGCACTATTTACATGAAACATTGTTTACTGGTGTGAAGGAACAAGAAACTGTCACTTCTTTAGAAGTGGCAGTTCCTCTTTAAAGGGAAATTATAGTACTAGTAAAACAAAGTTGTTTTCCTGGCACTATAACTCCCTATAATACCCCTCTTGCATCCCCCAAACCCCCATAATGCAGTAAGGGTTATAAATCCCTTCATCACTTACCTGATTCAAGCACTGATGTCCCTCAGCGCTCGTTGAGGCTCCTCCCCTGCCGACGTCAGCCAGCAGGTGGGGACATAATACGCATGAGCAGCGATCACCACGCTTTTGGGTGACAATGGATGTCCTCATGCATAGCGTCCAGCATGTCCAGTCAGCCACAAGAGGTGGCGTTAACACTGGCAGGTAATGAGTGCAGTTTATTAAAAACTGCAATAATTACAACTGCAGGGTTAAGGGACACTGCACAAAGACCATTTCAATAAGCTGAAGTGGTCAGGGTGCCTATATTATCCTTATCTTTAAAGACTTTATACAAAGGACTTACCTTCAGAATTGTAAGGTTTTCTTTATTTATCTATTTTATATATTTTTACTATTTGTGCACTTTCCAATAAAGCACTTTACATTTATACTGATCATTGTGAGGAAATCCAATTGCTTGAGACCTCCTATCAGTAAAAGAAGGAAGTGGGTACCTTTATAACCCACAAATCTGGAAATCTGAGCCTAATTCAGTGGCTCTTCGCTTGTGAGTGATTTTCCACATACTATTGCACTTTACTATACAGAATTGGCTATATTGCACTATTTTATGCCAGCTTAAATTTCATTTCTAGGAATATATTGATCCAGGAATTATCCTAGTTCCAAAAGACAGATACTCCACCTTATATTGTATGTATATGCCTATATTATCCATTTAAGGTAAGACCATTTCAATGAGCTGAAGGGGTCAGGGTGCCTATAGTATCCATTTAAAGTAAGGCCAACAAGTACAAGGATCATGGTCCCAAACTTAAAATGTTCTCTTAAAGGACCACTATTGTGCCAGGAAAAAATACTTGTTATCCTGGCACTATAGTGCCCTAAGGGTGCCCCGACCCTCAGGGCCCCCTCCCGCCGGGCTGAAGGGGGAAGAAGGGGTTAAACTTACCCCTTTCTCCAGCACCGGACAGGGAGCTCTCCTCCTCCTCGGCTGAATGTGCATGCGCGGCAGGAGCCGCACGCGCAGCCAGTCCATAGAAAAGCATTCTCAATGCTTTCCTATGGACGCGGACGTCTTCTCACTGTGAAAAATCACAGTGAGAAGCGCCTCTAGCGGCTGTCAATGAGACAGCCACTAGAGACTGGATTAACCCATTTATAAACATAGCAGTGTTCGCCCTGTTTCCAATTTTGATCTCTACCTGCACATTCCAATGGAAGAAAGACAGCATTAAAAAAAAAAAGTATATTATTGAACACACTTGATTTGCATACGAATATATGCTATTTTTACAAAGGGATACACATAATTTTTCAATAATACACCCTAAAAGGATGCTCTACTACCAATAGAATATCAGTATTCTAAATAAAACTGACAAATATACCTAGCAAACATAGCGTCTCCTGATCTTATTATTTCTCCTTTTTAATCCATTTTTACTTTGTGTTCACCCACGATTACATGGTATATATTTATTTGTTTTGTTAATTTGAAATAAGTTTTTATATGTTGATGCCTACACGCTACTTCTGTTACGGAACTAAGGTACAACCAATGGGACGATGTCCCTCTCTTTATAATATTTACAATGCAACGTCCACTTTTGTATTCCTGGTAATAGCATCACAATATATATGCATTTGTTGTTGTTTTTTTGGATAAATAAAATAAATAAATAAATAAATAAAAATAAAAAAATAAAAATAAAACAATAAAACTGCAAATTGGAGGGATAGAAAAAAAAATGATATTTTGTAGTGTTTACAAAAGGAAAAAGTAGAAAAAGTAAAAAAACAAAACCTGTTTTTGATGAATTAGTCATCAATGAATCTTTGCCTTTTCTTGACACTTGCCCTATTTAGACACTTTGTAAATCATCTAAAATGAGATATATATATATATATATATTACAATAAGTCACAATACTAAAGTACAGACCTCCAAATATTTTATTATTATTATTATTATTTTATCTCCCATTACTTTATGTGTTCCTGGTTTAGCAGTAATGTGTAATTAATGAAGATAATAGACTGTGTGCCTGGTTATTTTATGACCCCAGAGAGGTAAATCCCATTATATTCTATACACACACACTGCATGCTCCCATTACCTTGGCTTCTCAATATTCCTGGATTATGAAGACACCCAGTCCAGCTCTTTCGTTCACATCACTGACTCACTTTAGAATTTAAAAAAAAATAAAATTGCCCTATTTAATATCAGGACTATGACCACCGTGCGCCTAACTCTCCCTGTGCCTTGTTTATGCCCTGCTTCCGGGTTCTGGGTTTTTTTTTTTTTTTCTCCTGTGCTAGTGACGTCATTACTTAGGGACTTTTTTTTTTTTTTTTTTAACTCGAAGGGGCACGTGACGCAGATCACCGGAAGAGGGGCATGATTCCCTGCTTGACGGACAACCGGAAGTGGGGCAAGCGCTTTAATAAATAAATAAATAAATGAGTAACGCGTGCATTGAGCGCTCTCTCTCTCTCTCTCTCTCTCTCTCTCTGTCTCTGTCTCCTGATACCTCACATTAGCAACATTCTATCATGTGATTGGCCGCCTGGAGGCCTCCTCCCTTGTGATTGGCGAAGGCCCAGGTGCGCGAGGCTCGTTTCGCGCCGGGGAGCCACGCCTCACCAGGCACAGGGCCGTTCCTGATTGGAGGAGAGCTGTTCGGAGTGGGCGTGGCGTTGAAGGAGTGGGCAGACATGGGGAGCAGAGCCAGTGTGGGTGAGTGAGGGGGAGGGAGCATCACACTGCTCTCTGTGACAGAGTACAATAACCACATATTGATTGTTAGGGGGTGGGGCAAGGGAGAAATGTTTTAAGACAGGCAAAGCATCATGGGAGTTGTAGTTCTGCAACAAATACCTTTTGGCCAACCCTGAATTAGGCACATTGTAATACTACCAATATATAATTATCACAAGCCATATAAAATGAGCTGGAAGTGCTGGGTTAGAACACATTTAGAATTTTAGGACACATTTTTAGCATGCTGTAGTGGTTATGGTGCCAGGAGTATGCTGACCTGGTTTCCGTTTCATAGGGCTAACCGTTGGCTTACCCCCTTACCTGGGAGCGAATCGGGCTCCGTGCCTCCCATGTCGTCCGGTGAAGCCGCCCGTGTCGCTATTCATTCATTGGCTGAGCACGTTTAAAAAAAAAAAACGCTTTTAGCCAATATAGAGAGAAAGGGAATTAGGGACAGACCCAGAACTTGCATGTCTCAGCAATGGTGCCGCCACAGAGACCAAAATTCAGATTAGGGAACACAGTGCAAATGAAAATACAGTTTAACATCTTATAAGGCCACTTAAAATCAGCTAGCTCAGCAAACAAATATGGGGATTCAGCTAATGACTGAATTGACATCAACCAACCTGGGACTTTATTTCCAGGCTGGCCAATGACGCTGCTGGAAGCGGAGTTCCATCTCTTTTAGATTGCAAAGGGATTGAAATCCGTATGTGCAGCGTTGCATACGAAAACACTGCATGTACAGACTCCACGCACCATGACCACTTCAAATTACTGAAGTTGTCATGGTGCTCGGAGTAACCCTTTAAAAGCAGACAGCTTGTTAGGACATGCACTCTGCGGAGCATTCGCTAATCCGGGAAGGCTTAGGCAACACCATGGTAATCAAGTGCTGTTATTACTACATCACTGTTATTTACAGTTCTCATTATCTCTTGCGTAATTATACTCTACTCCCCCTAGATTGTAAGCTTACTTGAGCCAGGACCTCCTGATGCTCATTACTGTTCTTGTGAACCTTTGCCACATTTTATTTACATCTGTATAAAACTTAGCAGAATGTTGACAAGCTATAAATAGTAATTGTGAAGAACTATAAATTTTTGGCTCATCGAGCCAAGCTGTAAAAAATTCTCCAGATCTCTGGGTTGTTTTTTTAAATTATATTTTTAGCCTAAAATTTGCAGTTCTTTCGGCAGACCTATACCCAATTCAGAAATAGTGATGCTAATTACTACAAAAGACAAATTAACCTACTGAGCTCTGGTTTAGACACAAGTATACATCATGCATACACATCTGTATGCTGAGCATTGATTCAGGGGTTCTAAAACAGTATCAATTTGAAAAATCTAAAAAATCTGTTTGTTTTACAGGATTAATCTTTTGTGTTGTGCTTCTCTGCAGATAATGCCACTGTTTTGGCCATCTCACTGTCACATGTTAGAACGTACATATTCTGTACATGGAGGAGGTACCTGGTGACAGGGAGGGGATGGTTAGTGGAGGGGTGGAGAGATGATTTTAGAATGGCAGGGCAGGGGAATACACTGCTGAGGTAGGGTGTGGAGAATTCACAATAAGTAGGCAGGGAGTCCTGAAATTCCATCCTTCTTCTTAGATCCGCCCCATCAAATATACACAGGGGTACTGACATCCTACACACAGTCAGACCACGAAAACAGACACAACAGGAACAGAGCCTGATCTTGATTCATTTTAGAAAGCACAGGACTACACAGTGAGTAACAGGAGAAGACAAACACATGTATCTGTATGATGGAATGTCTTATGATACTATGAAAATTGCATATAATAAGTTTACAGGGGGAAGGGGATCTAAAATCTATCTTACTAATATATTTCTGTTCCACTGAGCAGGAAACTGAATAGTGGTGAACTTAGGGCAGGAATGGACAAAGAGTAGCACTTCCACTTTTCTAGAACTGCAACTCCCATGATGCATGGCTGGCAAGGTATGCTAGGAATTGCAGTTTTACAAAAGCTGTGGATCTACCTTTTTGTGTTCTGAAAAGCAATATTTGTATCTATCAGAGTCTGGAGAAAGTGTCAGGCAGCACTAGATGATTCTACAGATCATTAATTTCTTAGTTATCCTATGCCTGATCTTGCATTCTGAATATATATACTCTGCTATAAGTTCCTTAACAGAACACTGAACTACAACCGTGTTGTCCCAATTAGCAGTGACTGTATTAGATTGTGCATGCTGTCTCTTTAAGTAAGGGGTATGGCACACTGTAAAGTGTTAGTAATGTGAATTACGATGCCCTATTATTGTGACATTGTGTTGTTAAGCCATCAGATATGCAGATCATTCTGATAGTTAAAGCAGCTCTGTTACCTACCCCAGCCCTCAAACGTGAGCACTTCATGAAGATTAAATCATAAAGACTTTGTAGAAATTGCACCAAAATTCAAAAAGGCTTGACAAAAAAAAAAACACAGAGCAACTGCCATTGCGCATGGTCAAGCCCCCTGCCGTTTCTAGTGACGACTGAGAGGGAAAAGGCTTTGTCTATGGAAGTCTATAGACACACATGCGTGAGAGTACAGCACTGATCCCAGAAGGTGAAGCTCCAAGAGCTGAAGTGAATCCCACGGAAAAAGATGGCGGCAGCAGCGAGGGACAGCTTCAGGTAAGTAAAACTCACCTTTCCCTGTGCTACGCAGCCACTGCGCTGCTAGAGGCAAAATACGCAAAGACCCCAAAAGGTAAAGCTTTAAATATGGTAGATCCATAGGGGAAGGATAGGAGGATTGGGGTTTGCCAAATCGAAACACGAGAATTTGGGTTTTACTCAATAAAACGGGAATTGTAGAGAGTTTACAAGGCAATAATTATAGACCAAAATACCTAAACTAAATATTTTTTCCAACTTATCTATTTTTCCAAGCTAAAATTACAGATTTCAATGTTGGAGCTTGACAGTTCATGGTTTAGGCAATTAACAAGTAAGTCCTGAATTTAACAAAATAATACAGAGTACCAGGCCAGTGAAAGGATTAAAGCACCCATAAAGTCACCCTGGCTACTTCATCTCAATGAAGTGGCCTGGGTGTAGAGGTCCTGTCAGTTTAACCATTCAAGGTAATACATTGCTGTTTTGCAAAAACAGCAATATTTACATTGCAGGGTTAAACACTCCTCCAGCGGCTGTTACACTGACAGACACTGTAGGAGCTACTGCTGTGCTGACCGAGTAAAACTTGGCCACGTGATGTGAAGCCCCCTTAGGAAAGCATTTATTCAGTGCTCTACAACGGGCAAGCTAAGGTGCACGCTTCGTGCTCGTCCATCATGTTCCTCTGTGAGGAGCATTGGATGCCTCCTCCATGACGTCATGGAAGGAGAAGAGGTAAGTCGTGCTGAGGGTGCCTCGGCTCTGAAAAATTATTTGTAAACATATTGTTTTTATGGGACATGTGGGTTGGACCTATATATCTAGGGACAGGTTTGTATTACTAACGCTTTAGTGCTCCTTTAGAAATTAAATAGTGTACCCCAGACCTTCTGTTAGCCATGGGATGCTTAGTGCAAAGTCTTCCCCTTATTTCCTCAAGCCTTTAACTGGCATTGTGGGCATGAGGGTTTAGTAACTAAATTGAAGTGAATTGTATACTGAATTACAGAGCTTACACTAAAATAACCACGCTGTGATTATGGTTAATTTAGAAAAATAATTCCAACTCATCATTTCTTTCCTAAATATTGCAATTTCATTTTTTATTCGCTATGATTAATTGTTTAATGAATAAACCCCAAAGTGTTCCGTTAACTCACTAGGTAAGTACCTTCTGTTATCTTTCAAATGTCCAGATTGAGAAATGGAACTTCTGGATCAGTTCAGACTGAGAAATGACCGTTGGAATTGTGACATTTTAGGGATGTGTTTACAGTAAGCACAGAATGCTCTGAATTGTTTTTACATTGGGTCGTGGTTGTGAGTGAACAGAACACAGTGACACAGTCAGGGCTCTATTAATGGAGATGCTCAATGATTCTAGAATGAGCGCCTATCATTGTAGAAGATACACATGGGATGCCAGATCTACCAAATTCTCTGGATACACTGAAATACTTTGTGATTATCGACGTTACATGCATAATCTGCCCTGTAGTATGTAGCATTTGTATGCTGCTGGAGGAAAATCAATAATGAATCAAGGCATTTTCGTTACCATTCCTCATTAAAGGGACACTCCGAGCACCAGAACCACTGCAGCTTACTGTAGTGGTTTTGGTGCAAAGAGACTGTCCCTGCAGTTTCTTATTTGCAGACACAGCTGTTTCTAAAAAAAAAAAAAAAAAAGGTAGTGTTTACATCTGTCCCTGTCAATTATACAGGCTGTAGACGTGTGTCGGATTGCGGTCCTGCAATCTTGCGTCTTCACTTTCTACATTTAAATGGATCTAAATAGATACAAAAAAACTCTTAACATTAGAAAAAATTTAATATTTCTAATGTCAGGGTTTTCGTTCAATTAATCAATTGATTTTTCTTTCGCGATAACATGATTTATACATGCTCCAGCAAAAAACAGGTCACAAGAGTATTCTGAGAACGGACAGCAGCTGAAATAGCCTGCCCTTCGGTGGGTCCCAGCTCAGAACTCAAGCTAGTTTGAGCTCATCTTGTGCCATTACAGAGAGAACATCTCTGAAGCATATCAGACTGGTCCCACCCATACAGGCAGTACAGATCTGAAATGCCAGCAAGTTCTCTCTGCACGAGAGATACAGCAACCCCAGACGATCGTTTCAGCCTTGTTAGGCATCATCAGTGAGGCATAGCTGATATCTCTCTAGGCACCGTGAGCAAAGGGTCCACGTCTGGATTACCCTTTAAACTAATGGAGAGCAAAAAACGGATCGCAAGAGTATTCTGAGAACGGACAGCAGCTGAAATAGCGTGCTCATCACCACGTATAACAAAGTAAATTCTATGTGAATTTCAAAATATATTCCAGAAATAGTCAGACTGAAGACATAGCAGCTTTGGAGAATTTTTCCACTTTGACTACTTTGTTGTTTAGTTTTTTTTGCCCATTCTCATGTTTTGCCTTATATTTGACATTCACGTTGCATTCCCAACAATTCAGAAATGAGTGAATGACTCTGTAAGCCTTAGTGGAATTAAAAGATGTTAGTAACCAGTTCCTACTTTTCATACGTTTCCGGCCCAAGATATTATGCTGCCTGGGTCCAAGACTCAAATGCTGACCCCCCTACAGTCATGCACACACACACAAGCACATTGATGCAGTCACATGTATACACACTGGGGGCAAAAATACATTTTTGACCAGAGTGCAATTCTACCAACACACCTGTTAACATGTTAAAAAGATTAAATAAAGTCCTATGCACTTTGGCATTTAGATGTGAAATGTTGTTGGAGAGCAGCCCGTTGAGTAACTGTCCTGTTCACTTGACACTTGGATATCAGTAATCAATTAAGGAGATCTCTCCAACCAGCAAGAATTTAGTAAAAAGAGTTCTGAAGGATTCTCCAGCAAGAAATGAATAAACTTTGTATATCACGCCAACAAGCAATAAATGCATAAACCTTGTATATCACGCCAAGGAGCAATGAATACACAAACTTGGTATGTCATGCCATATAAACATTAAATGCATAAACTTGGTATGTCATGCTAATGAAGCAATAAATAAACTTGGTATATTATTATTATTATATTTATAGAGCGCCGTCAAATTCCGCAGCGCTTTACAATGGGTGGACGAACAGACATGTTGTAACCAGACAAGTTGGACACACAGGAACAGAGGGGTTAAGGGCCCTGCTCAATGAGCTTACATTGTTAGAGGGAGTGGGGTAAAATGACACAAAAAGGTAAGGATAGTATTAGAACCAGCCAACGGAGGCATACAGGGCAACCCGCCTGCTCCATCCCAGTGTCATTTCCTCGGATCAGTCTGCCCTTTTAATGACCGGTTTGGTGACTTGTTCAGCCAACCGGCTGAATCACATCACTGCCTGTAAGTTATAAGATGCCATAAAACGTGGATCTCGTAGCTGCAGCAATGTATTGCGGTCATCTGCAAGTGAAGAAAATATACAGAGGGTAATGCTTTCACCATAACCACAGCTACTGTTTGTAGTGGTTATGGTGCTTGGAATGTCCCTTTTAAAATATTCACAGATAAAGTGTTACAGAAATTACTAGCAAAATACTTACTGGCAGGCAAATATAGGGCACAGCTATGTTTTGCTTTACTCTGGCAAGGTAGGCCTGCACAAATATTTCATTCCTGTCTGTTCACTAAGCAGTGGATTGTAGTGAAATGAAAAATGAGCAATTTTTTTTTTATATACAAACAAAGCTTTACGCAAACGTTTCCTCAATTTCTTTTTGTTTAAATCACTGTATAGTGAATAAACTCCCTATTTAATTGCAAATTGTAGGCCGCAGTAACTGAGCCGGTGAAACAGTGAGTTAAAAATGTTTGCAATCTAGAAATTTTTTTCCCTAAAATATGCAATTTCCTTGTGGATTCTCCCCTTTCCCAGTTATGTAAATAACCCAGACAGTGGAGTGTGTAGGCGTTTGCAGACAGTGGATTGTATGGCCTTATGCTGTATCATGCTGACTGTGTCCCGTGTTTTGTGTACGTTATTGTGAGGGTGCAGTGCTGTGTGCAAGGTTTGATTTTTGGCAGTGTCGGTATTCTCCTCCCCAATATGCAGGAAGCACAGACCTGTTCTGAAAACACACCCATCTTCTTCTGACTTTGAATGCTATCATCGGCCAGGAACAGTTCTGTGCATTCACTAAAAAGACGTTTACTGACTTAGCCAAGAGGCTTCGTTATTTAACGCCTGTAAATAATACAGATTTGTGTCTGCTTCCCTCTAATATTCCATATCGGTCTAATGCTCATTTATCTTTATGTCAGATCTTGATAGCCGGTATCCCTGACTGATGAGCCTCTGAATCTTTATTGATATTGTGCCAACTACCTCTGTCTTTGCCTGCTTTAAATAGAATTGCCAAATTAGCCCTTGTACGGTAAAAATTAAAAACAGCTACAATTGGATTGCTCGAGCTATCTGGTTTTTCTGGTCACTCGTGGCATATTTGTGAAGATAGACGGGCAAGGAAAAGTGCTTCTCTGCAGCATATAGATATTAAATTGTGCTTCAAAATTAAAATCAATAAATCACATTGTTAAGACAGAGATTGCCCTGGTTAATTGGTCAATTTCTTTGTAGTGTATGGATTAAATACAGCACAAGGCATCACGTTTCATGTAATGGTCATCAGAAAGAAGAGGCGATATGTGTCCAGAAATCATGGTGGATCAGTCAATCCTAGCTTTATACCAGAATTGTTTTTGTAATATTTTTTTTCCTTCAATCTCAGGATAGCACTGGCTGCAAATGTATATGTAAATATTAATATTCTGTGAAAGTAGGGTTAATATTCCGTGAAAGTATGGAAGCTGAATACTCCAATTAGCTAATGCTATATTGCATTTCTGTGCTTGTCTGTTAAAGGGCCTCTTTACTGCCTAAAATAAAAAGTTAATAAATCACTATTTAGTAGATATATACACAAAACATTTTTATTGAAGGTATATCTAAAAGCAGCTTTCAAAAGCTGCAGATGGCTTGTCTGCAGCCTTTACTAGACCTCCTCTATTAACCCCACCCAGACTTTCTGTGGCTGCCCAATTACAGACTTCCCAATGCAGCTCAATGAGAAGTCTTTGCAAAGCAGGTGCCACTGAGCTAAACAAATCAGGAAGTAACAGGACCAGCTGTCTGATTGACAGCCAGGAGGGTCTAACAAGTTTAATTTCTAAAAGTACCAATTTCTATTAAAATCAGCACTTTTTGTAAAATGAAAAGAAAAAAGACACACAGGTCACACATAAAGCATTTCAGCAAGCTAAATAAGTTTAGGGGTCCAAAGTGTCCCTTTAAGACATTCATATTTTAATGAACCTCAGGTTCAGCCGTTTCATTAAAAACTTTTTATATATAGTCATCACCCATTTTTTTTCTTCTAAACTGATGATTGTTAGAATTGGTTTCTGTAATCCATTACATCCTGTGCATATCACTCTATATCTTACCTGGATGCTTATACTACTCTATGGGGATGTAATATGTATCTCTGTATTAACCCCACCTCTCCTCTCACAGAGCACAAGATGACGGCAGCCCACGAGCAGGTGCATCTCAGCAGGTCAGAGGTGTGTGGTATAATGCGGGAGGAGCTCTTTAGTGAAGTCGATTTTCAGCAGTCGCAGACACACGTTTTCATTGTGGTTGGTGCTTCGGTAAGTGCGCATATATGCTGATTGTGGGTATAGAATATTGTCACACTGCTCTGATAGTGAGTGAGTTATGGTGGCTTTATTTACTGCCGAGTCTAGCGGATGAGATGACACTGAAACTCTGTGGACACTATGGAATTTATTTTCTAAATCCAGAGTTGTATTGGATTGCAATCTGAATGTCAAAATTTAGGCAAACATTTAATTTAGGGGAACAAAATCGAACTCCTCTCTGGTCCTGTCTTGGCTATTTCAGGCTAAATTTGCTGAAATTCAATGTTTAGTGAATAAACCCCTTTAACTGAGAATTGAGCTAGGCTATGGGGTTTATTCACTAACCAGTGAATTGAATTATAAAAACCTTTTTATAAAATGTTCAGCTCCAAGTAACCACGTTAGGAGTAGAACTTTACCGCTACAGCTCTTTCTTTCAATAGTTTTTTTTGAAAAATATTATGTTAATTAATAAATGGAAATGATAAAGATCTACGTAACATAATATACCAGGTAATGGTCACAAACAGAAACGTGTGTGTGTTTATATATAACTAGAATACAGTGGCTGAGATAATGAACTAGAAGTTATTAAGTTACAAGTATTAATGTCATAGTAACCAATAGAAAACTTATAATACTGATAGAATAATAAACTCAGGAATAAAAATGTAAAAAGAGGGTGGGGGAGCATGGGAGGAGAAAGGGAAAGTGGGGGGAGGGGGGGGCAATATTGCATCCGCAATGCAGCCCAACAACCGTTACAGCCATTTCTGTCCTGAATTTCCCAAATTTAGGTTTTCAGTTCACCCGGTTTTGTAGTTTAGTTAATAATCCACTAACTAGGTTATTCCCGGCTAAACTTTCAAAAGTAGCTAACAAAAACCTGACAAAATTTAGTTGAATATAGCCAAGCTGTGACTATCGGGATGGAGAATTTTTCCAGATAACTTATTTTGGCTTGTGAAATTCTGATTTCAATTCACTTGAATTTGTAGTTTAGTGAATAAACCCTCAGGTGTTTGGATATCGGAATAAAATAGTCATTTTATAGCATGTTATGTTCAGTGCTGCATGACAATACAGGCTTTCAGGTTCCTGGTTTGATGATAAAGCTTGGGTGTGCCATTATTTTCTTGGCTCAAGTTCTTTATAGGTAGAGAGAGTTAAAGTGAAAAAAGGGTCAGGGAAATAGCAGAAATGTAAAGTAGTACTGTTGCCGTGGGATTGTTATATTTTTTGGCAAGGAACCACCTCCCCCTCTCCCCAGTTGGCATGCCTGCTTATATGGATGTAGCCAGGGACTGTTAAGAAAATAAAGTTGCCTTAAAGGGACACTGTAGGCACCAAAACAATTTATCTTATTGAAGTAGTTTTGGTGTATAGATCACACCCCTGCAGTCTCACTACTCCAATTCACTGTCATTTGGGAGTTAAATCACTTTGATTAAGCAGCCCTAGTCAATCATCCCTACATGTGACATACACAGTCTTCCTAAACACTTCTTGTAAAGTTATCTACTGTTTTAATGTTTATACTTCTATTTTGCAAATTCTGTTTAATTTACCATTTATCTCCTGCTATGTTAATAGCTTTCTAAACTCCGCAAGAGCCTCCTATATGTAATTAAGGTTCAAATTACAGAGCAGGAGATAAAAACCTTTAAATTAAGTTACATCAGATTTAAAATGAAACCATTTTGTTTTCATGCAGGCTGCGTCAGTCACAGGGGAGGTGTGGCTGGGGCTGCATGAACAGAAACAAAAGTGATTTAACTCCTAACTGGCAGACAGTGGAGCAGTGAAACTCCAGGGACATGGTCTATACACCAGAACTGCTTCATTAAACTAAAGTTATTTAGGTGACTCTAGTGTCCCTTTAATTTCTCCCTATTCAGGGTGCCATTTTCCCACAGTCATGCTTCTTCAGATTCATCATTTTTGGAGTACAAAACAATATTGCATGATCTTCCATAGATACTTTGTGCATGAGGATGCCATGTGCACAACGGTACCTGTTTCCATGTGTGGTCATGAGCCTAGCTGGTGGAAAATGGGCGAGGAAATGACTTGAGACAAAATAGTCCCTACTTTTTGTTTATAGCCCAGCAAATCTGGATTTAACAGTATATCTGTCCTACGTGCAATTGGTGAGGGCTACTTCATTGAGAGTATGAAAATGAGTGTTAAGCTTTATTGAGATGTATGTAGGTCCCTTTCATTCCTGTGTGAAGCTAGCTCCTATAAAAGTTACCTTTGGTGAATATCCAGTGTGGTATATGCTCCGTGTTCTTTATATGTCTGCTATTACACAGGGCAAGATGTTTTGATATCTTCCAACGAAATTAGGAAAGAGAACCCTAGCTGTTAGTGATATTGACTGAAAACCACATTCTGTGCACAAAGTGGCCCAAGAGTTATGTCACTGGTGTCCATGCATTGTGTAATATAATGGAGTAAGAAACTCCTTTACATAATCACTGTGAAGCAACAGAGCCCGTGGTGTGTAACTTCCCCGAAACTTGCAGAGCGAGCAACCTCTGCACACACCGTGTCTCTTCGTAACTTACAGAACAAGTTCTCTGCTCACACGGTATCCCCTTAAACGCCCAGTGCGGTATCCTCTGCACACACCGTGTCTCTTCGTAACTTACAGAACAAGTTCTCTGCTCACACGGTATCCCCTTAAACGCCCAGTGCGGTATCCTCTGCACACACCGTGTCTCTTCGTAACTTACAGAACAAGTTCTGTGCTCTAACTGTATCCCCTTAAACGCCCAGTGCGGTATCCTCTGTGCACACAGTATCCACCTATAGCTTCCAGAGCGAGAATCCACTGTACTCACTATATTCCCCTATAACGTCTAGAGCAAGCATCCAGTGAGTTTTGGAGTTTGAGTTGTGGAGTGAGTTTTAATGCTGTGGAGCTCTGTAATATTTTCACATTACTGTGAATTTTGTGGATGTGGAGCTCTGTTATAGACTACTACACAATGCACGGTACTATGAATTTTATTGGATCCAAGACTAGATATTCAGGACTATGATTAATAACCCAGACCAGTGATAAGGTTTCCTGTACGTTTGTTAGCCCTTACTCTGCTCAGTTTACATTAATGTAATATGTGCATTGCAATTCGCAAACATATTATCCTAACGGTATCTGCCACACCTTCTCCCATTCCTTCTAGCGTTTAATGGAGGTTTTCACCGTGTCAGATTTACTCAGCATGTTGTCCTGATCTGACCGAACCTGACTAGCCTTGAAGCCAAAGAATACTTTATAAAACTCCAAACCACAAAATGCTGCCGCTCCCTATACATAATCCTTATTCAAAGGCAGGCTTCTCTCCAAATCTGTCCCCTCCCTGATGTAAACACCGCTTGTGATAACACACTTATCAGAAACAGTAAAAATGCATAGTCACCATGGTGTATGCAGTATGAAATCAGAGGATTTAACTCTTGCTGTAGCAATCATGACATAGTAAATTTTCCTTATTCACATTTAGAATTCTAGGTAACGTTAACAGTGACAACTTATAGCAACGTAGCTTCACGTGAGCAAAGGCTGATCTATCAAAACATTGTGTCACTAATCACCCAAGAGTTTATACACGAAATTCCAAACTCTAGTGAATTTTAAACTTTTAGGGAAAAAAGCAGCCAATCAAAAAATATTCCAATACAGCTGTATTCACGGAATTGATATTTTAGCCAAATGTTTGCCATGTTAATTTGCTACAGTTCATCCACGAGAATTATTATTATTATTTATTAATAATATCACCATTTATATAGCACCAACAGATTCTGTAGCGCTTTACAATATTATGAGAGGTGGGATTTAACTATAAATAGGACAATTACAAATATACGTACAGGAATGATCGGTTGAAGAGGACCCTGCTCAAACGAACTTACAGTGTATAGGAGGTGGGATATAAAACCCATTAGGACAGAAATAGCAATCAAATAAGGTGGGAGAGAAGCAGAGCTGGAGGAGAGAGTATTGTGCTGCCCTTTAGGAGAGAGCAAGAGACAGGTATGTGAGGTAGAGGTTACTCTGGGAGGCCATAAGCTTTCCTAAAGAGATGGGGTTTAAGGCACTTCTTAAACAATTGGAGAGTCTGATGGCAGTAGGCAGGCAATTCCATAGGAAGGCAGCGGCCAACGAGAAGTCCTGCAAGCGTGAGTTGGCCATACGGGTGCGAGCAGCGGACAGGAGAAGGTCATGGACAGAGCTCAGTGAGTTGGTGTGGTTGTGCCGGTCGGTCACAGACTCACATGGCGGTGAGCCGGGGTCATCAGTGTACAGGTGGTAGTGGAATCCAAATGATTAAAATAAGTTTGTCAAGAGAGGCCGTATAAAGAGAAAATAGAAGGGGACCAAGGACAGTTCCTTGGGAGATTCCAACCGAGACAGGACGAGGAGAGGAGGTATCATTAGAAAAGGAGACACTGAATGAGCGTTGGGAGAGGTAAGAGGAAAACCACGAGAGAACAGAGTCACAGAGACTGAGTGATTGAAGAGTTTGAAGAAGGAGAGCATGAACAACGGTGTCAAAGGCAGCAGATAGGTCAAGAAGAATTGGTATGGAGTATTGCCCTTTTGGATTTAGCTGCGATTAGGTCGTTAGTAACTTTGATAAGAGCAGTCTCAGTAGAGTGGAGAGGGCGGAAGCCAGATTGAAGAGGGTCAAGGAGAGAGTTGGAATTGAGGAAGTTAGACACACAGGTAAAGACAAATCTTTCCAGAAGCTTTGAGGAAAAAGGGAACAGGGATATAGGACGAGAGTTAGTTAGAGGGAGAGGACGGGTCAATAGATAATTATCATGGAAAGGTATTCCTTGTTAATCGTGGAGTAGATGGCAAACATTTGGAAGGAGTGATTCTCTGAGAATTCACTATACTGAGAGCATATAAAGTAGATCTGAGTTCACATTTATTTCAATTCCGACTCTACTTGGGATCTAAGGTCAGGGAATATCACCATACCCACTTTTCTGCCTGAGTTTGGCAATTGATTTATTGCTGATTAAAGCTTGCAGTGAGCTCAGCATTAAGCGTTCAGGAACTCAAGGTTCTGAAGAACCCTGGACGCTTATAGTCGTATAAACCTGCTCTTGGTCTTTTTGTAAATATTGCAAAACTGTAATTTACCATCAAGTCAAAAACTGTCCTCTTTTAGCATTATTCTAACAAAAACTTCTATAGCAGACCTATTTGGAAGAAATTCTACTTTATGGGTCAATTTATGTCAATTATTTTCTTTCTCTGTAAATGTCTAGGCACTCGAGGTAATGTTGAATATAACTTGTGTAATTCAACTTTGAAATCAATTTGTCTTGCATTGATTGTTTGAAACATTATTAACCAAAGCATAAATTGTCCATTCACAATTGTAAACTAATCTAAATAGCTGAGGTAGACAGTTTTTCCAGTTATATTTGCAAACACGTATAAATAATTAATGATTTTTTTTTTATTTATTTATTTTTTTTAACCAATTCACTATTCATTTAATAACTCTGTTGGTAAATCAAGTCCAATCTTTTTTAATTTGTTCTTTTCATGAAAGCTCACATTGACTTTTTAGGATGTCTATAACAATTTTATACTTATTTCGTTCATTTATATTCTTTTTTCACAGGGAGATTTGGCCAAGAAGAAGATTTATCCAACTCTGTGGTATGTTCTCGGCTAATGCCATCAATTGTGTATCTGTTTCATTTCTCTTTATTACTTAATGGGACACTCCACTGCCCAAATAAATAAAAGTTTTTTTTTTTTTTTTTTTAAATCGCTGTTTATTAGATCTACCCCAATAAAAACAGGCGTGCATTCACTAATGCATTTTTTTTTTTTTTAAATGCCGGTATATCTAAAAACAACTTGTAAATGTCTGAAACATTTGCAAGCCCTCACCTTTTGAACTCCGCCCAGACTTTCAGTGGCTGTCCAATCACAGACCTCCCATTACAACTCAATAGGAAGTCTTTGCAAGGGAGGTGGTCTGGGCAATTGCTGCCTCTTGAGTTTAGCTACTCTGAGCTAAACAAACCAGGAAGTGACTATCGGTTGTCTGCTTGAAAGCAAGAGGGTGTAACCAGGTTAATTTATATAAGTGCCCGTTTCTATTGAAATCTACACTTTTTGTAAAATGAAAAAAAGAGGACACACTCTTCACACATAAAGCTTTTCAGCAGCTAAAGTGCTTCCAGGGTCCAGAGTTTCCTTTTAAGGGATCATTGGGAGGGGGGAGGGTGGGGGAGTTAAAAAGGAACTTTTATTTTTGTCAGCAGGCAATTTTAGTTCTCATAAAGAAATATTACATGTTAGGTGACTGTCTCGTAGAGTTTTAGCCGTTTTGGTCTGCAGTTTCGGACTGCTTTTTGATTTCCTGAATTATCACCGAAGGAGAGATGCTGGGCTGTCTAATGACACCGTACTGCAGGACAGAGGCAGCAGATGGGTTTTATCCACGAGAAGAATTGCCTCGCTGGAATTGCATGTTATTGTAGGTTAGCAAACAACCGTTTTTGCTTGATTGGTTAGCAGCATACTCAAAAATGATCAAAAGGCGACCAAAAGTGGGTTCATGTAATCTCAAAAAGAGACATTTGCTTGAGCTCCGCCACCCCAGCTCATCCAAAATTTGCCTTCTATACTGTCCATTATTATTATTATTATTATTATTATTATTATTATTATTATTATTTCTTATTTTATCATTATTTATTTTTGAGAACTGTCTTGGGTTTTGTAAGAGAGGATGGGGAGGGATAGGAGGAAGACAATGAAATGGGGAACTATATAAATGTTGGTAAAAGCGTGACAATGGTGCAAGTCTGGTATCTGTGTGCACTAGGGATATTGGGAAACTGCCCAATACAGTGATTCTGTCACGGATGTGAGACATTTTATTTATTTATTTATTTATACAATATTTTACCAGGAAGGGATACATTGAGATTTCTCTCGTTTTTAACTATGTCCTGGGTCCAAAAAACATGGAATCGATACAGTAGGGTACAATAAAATACTAAAACAATATTAATACACAAAATGTAACATAGAACAGGTAGGAAATAAATAATCAACCATGACCGGTGCATTCTGTTTTGAGAGATGTAGAGAGGGAACTTGGCTTATCAGTACTGCTAAATAGATTATTTATTTTATTTATTTTTCTATGAGTAAAAGGTTTGCCCCCAGTTCGAAGCATCTTTTCTTCCATTAAAAGGAAAGCAGTGGGAATAACTTAGTCCTGCCAACCAGGTGGGGAAGGTGATCAAAACACTTGTCACTTCCTGATATACTGTAATGTCTTCAGAGTTCTTGTCAGTAATTTGTAGGGTAAATTTAAGGCCACGGTATTCGAACTGTAAACATAGCTGACTTGGAGAATTTATCCAATTCCGCTATTTTGGCCTAAATTTTAAAGGGACACTCCAGGCACCCAGACCACTTCTGCCCATTGGAGTGGTCTGGGTGCCAACTCCCATCACCCTTAACCCTGCAAGTGTAATTATTGTAGTTTTCATAAACTTTTATAAATATATTGTAGTTTTTATAAACTGCAATAATTATTTTGCAGGGTAAAGTCCTCCTCTAGTGGCTGCATATCAGACAGCAACTAGAGGGAATTCCGGCTTCTTAAAAAACAAAAAGCGTTTTAAACTACGCTGGACGTCCTCACGCTATGCAGCGTCGCCGGGATCCCCATAGGAAAGCACTGAATAATACTTTTCTATGGGGAGGTCTAATGTGCATGCGGCCATTGCCGCGCATGCGCATTAGGTCCCCCCCTGCTGGCTGACGTCAGCGAGGGAGGAGCCTGACACAGTGCCGAGGGACATTGACACTGGATTCAGGTAAGTCACTGAAGGGGTGGGAGGGAGAGGGGCAGTGCCAGGAAAACGGACATGTTTTCCTGGCACTGGAGTCCCTTTAAAATTAACTTTCAGCCCCCACACTCTAGTGAGCAAATCTAACCATATACGTGTTTTGTCACAGCAGGCTGTATTATGTGGTTCAGTTTAACAGTGTGCTGTTTATCTCTAGGTGGCTGTACAATGATGGATTGCTCCCAGAAGACACTTACATTGTTGGTTACGCTCGGTCCAAACTGACCGTGCAGGATATCCGAAAGCAAAGTCAGGCGTACTTCAAGGTAACAATATAAATAAACCCATCACACTCATCAGACAAGTCCTAGTAATATGACAAAACACCTAAAAAGGAACATCTAAGACCAATTTAAGAATATTCTATAAGGCATATACTTTATAACAGTTTTATAAGAAACTTACACTTTCCCTAAAGGAAAACTAATCCGTCAGCTGTACAAATTTTATGAATGCTGTTTGCTTTTAAAGATCCCATTCAACCTACTATTCTGAAACATGCTTTCTAGTAACTACTTGGACTCCTCAATATGGACACAGTACAAAAACAAAATCTCGATGTTACAAAGTTTTTATGACTGTGACGTGGCACTTTTGTGCATCACCCCCATAGCAGGTTTGTTTAGCAGCGCACATGGCTTTTATCTTAGTGACTTATTATTGTCTAAATGGTATATTTTTGTCCTGTACTGAATCTGTCTATCCCAGAGTGTAAAAACAAATATGAATACCACACTCAAAAAATGATTACAGTAAAATCTAAACTTGTATTAAATTGCAAAAATATTTATTATAATGATAATTCATAGGTTAATCAAGTAAATCTTAGTGAAATTCATTTCAATCATATGTACATAGATTATTTACATATATACACACACAAAAACCTCCCTGTGCTGAATTTCATGAGCTTTATATCTATTTACACTGGTTATTGATCCCCCAAAAAATTGAATGAAATGAAACGTCCAGAAAAAATACAAAAAATAATAAAAAATAGTAAAAAAAGAAAAAAACAGAAAAAGAAAAAAAGAAAAATGTGTATATATAATACAGTCCTATTAATAGTCCAAAATATAGTGCACTATACAATTCATAGGTATATGGATGGATCTCACCAAAGAACACGTAGAATTTATAGTATGTTCAGTAGGAGGATGGTGTATCCTGTAGATGGTGTATATTGGATGAGGGTGAAAATGAGTTGCAGTTCGGTGAGAAAATATCACTCATCTATTCTCTGTGGAATCTGGTCAGTCTGACAGGTCATTTCCTGGATCCATAATCGTGGGCAATCCTGAAATCGGGCTGAAATGGGCTGCGCGCTCGGGACGTTCCTGTCCCTTCGATGGCCCCTGTCCCTCTCCGGGGCCATTGAAGGGACAGGAACGTCCCGAGCGCGCAGCCCATTTCAGCCCGATTTCAGGATTGCCCACGATTATGGATCCAGGAAATGACCTGTCAGACTGACCAGATTCCACAGAGAATAGATGAGTGATATTTTCTCACCGAACTGCAACTCATTTTCACCCTCATCCAATATACACCATCTACAGGATACACCATCCTCCTACTGAACATACTATAAATTCTACGTGTTCTTTGGTGAGATCCATCCATATACCTATGAATTGTATAGTGCACTATATTTTGGACTATTAATAGGACTGTATTATATATACATTTTTCTTTTTTTCTTTTTCTGTTTTTTTCTTTTTTTACTATTTTTTTTTTTTATTATTTCTTGTATTTTTTTCTGGATGTTTCATTTCATTCAATTTTTTTGGGGATCAATAACCAGTGTAAATAGAGATAAAGCTCATGAAATTCAGCACAGGGAGGTTTTTGTGTGTGTATATATGTAAATAATCTATGTACATATGATTGAAATGAATTTCACTAAGATTTACTTGATTAACCTATGAATTATCATTATAATAAATATTTTTGCAATTTAATACAAGTTTAGATTTTACTGTAATCATTTTTTGAGTGCGGTATTCATATTTGTTTTTGGATCTAGATTAGGAGGTTGTTGTGGGGTTAAACCTCGAATAACTGCACCTTGCATTATTGAGTGCCAACACTTATTGTGTTTTTATCCCAGAGTGTACACAGCTCTTTATATTTGCTTTAAACTAGAGTATGATCAACTAGAGGTTTAGTAGAAAATCATCAATCTGTTTATTTGAACTCCTTTCTAGGTAAAAGACCAGGACAGGTCAGGGTTCTGCAGTCATTTAATGCACTATTAAAATACTGGGTTCATTTTTATTTATTATGACTGTGATTTATGATTGTCTGACAAATTGCAGTCTGTCATTTTAGTTCACCTTATCTGTGCCGCAGCCGAGCGGCTACTCTTTGTGCACTGGAAGTGCTTGGGTTTTTTGCCAAACCACTAAAATGGCTTGACAAAAGCCAAGGAGACTGCACACAATGGCAATCAGACTATTGTAATATTGTAGCGATATATATATATATATATATATATTTTTTTTTTTTTTCACTAGATACAGTGGAGTGATTAAATTGTGAAAATAGATAATGTATACACATAGCGCAAACAGAAAAAAAAATGTCTTGTATACCATTCACTTTGGGTTTTTCAAAACAGTCCAGTGGCGTATAACCTTTAAAATAGATACTGGACTGTTTTGAAAAACCCAAAGTGAATGGTATACAAGACATTTTTCTTTTCTGTTTGCACTAGGTGTATACATTATCTATTTTCACAATTTAAGCGCTCCACTGTCTGGTGAACAATATCTCTATTTCTGTGTGTTTTGGGGGGGAATTGCAAATCACAATGTGATAGCAGCTAAGAGAGAATACATTTTGCACATATATGTTTTTCTATCACTTGCAGATACACTGTTTGTTTGAACTTCTAGTTAATATATAAATTAGAGACAACACGTGTGAAGGAGGGGATGTGCATTTTAGTGATGGCAGCCAGACCAGTATATGGATATGGGCATGTATAGCAACTTAATTGGAACAATTTATAACACATGTACAAGCGTTTCCCAGTAGATGTCTTATGTTATGATCCTTTTAAGAAATGCACTAAAATAGCAGTATACATTCTTTTAGCAGCACTTTTTAAAAATTGATATGTGTGTGTGTTGTATTCTGCTTGTGTTTTATGTGGGTACTTCAGGTGTTTGTAGAGTTGTATTTGCGCGTATGTGGGTTGTTATATTGTGTATCTGCATGAGTAGTTTGTGTTATTGTGTGTGTCTTTGTGTTAGACATATATGTTAGTTGTATATCATGTGATTTGTATGAATGTTTGCTGGGTATGAGGGGCTTTCTTGTGGGATTGTGTGTGTGTGTGTGTGTGTGGATGGCTGCTTGGGGTATTGCCTGTGGATGGCTGCTTATGGAGTTATGTTCATTTATGTGGTTTGTCAGTTGTGTTTATTGGGGCTTTGTATGTGTGCCGCTGTGTGTGAATGTCTGACTGTGTAGGTGACTTCCCTGGGGTTCAGTGGGGACCAGAATAGCCTGGTACAGAGCAGTGGCTGCTCGACTCCAGTGTGAATTCTTCTTCACAAGTACTTGGATGAAGTCATCTGAGATCACTTCCTCCAAGTGCTGCAATGAGTGAATTGAAGAAGTCCTTCTGGTATCCCTGTTAGGCCAGCTCCAGGGGAGATCCGCTCTGCCTTCAAATGGCAGACCAGAAAGCGGGGAAGTCCGCCCAAGTTAATGGCAGGTCATTAACTTAGTGGGCTGGCCTGTCTATCACTCACCCTGGCCTACTGAAGGCAGACTCTGCAGGGAACAATATTTCAGTGCTCCCTGCAGGGTCCTAGTGCCCTAAAAATAGCTTAAGTGCATCTTATGATGTGCTTGTGCTATAAATGTTAGGGACAGTTCTCTGGTGTCACCAAACGTGGGATAGGACCCGGAAATCGGGACTGTCTCGACTAAATCGGGATGGTGCGAGGTATGCTAATCATTCTTTTTGAATATGCACAATTTTTTGCCAACGGAACGGATTTATAATTATATCTGCCATTTTCTCAGACAGAGAAGTGGTGTAAATTTTTAGTCACTATGAACTTGGATCTCTTCAGACATGTATGCAACAAATGTTGGAATGAACTATGAGGGGAAAAAAATGACTTTTTAAAAATCCTTTTAATAAATATGATCAAAATAATGTTAGAATTTATCCATCACTTTTTAGGACACTATGATAAATATCACCCATGGTGTGCTTGCTGGCTCAGTTTCATGTTTATGTTGCAGGTAACAGCTGAGGATACGGGGAAGCTGGAATCATTTTTCAAGCGGAACTCTTACGTTTCTGGACAGTATTCCGAGGCAAACTCTTACCATGCCCTAAATAAGCATCTACTGTCTCTTCCCAATGGGGATAAAGCCAACCGACTCTTCTACTTGGCAGTGCCACCCAGTGTGTACCATGATGTGACTCGCAACATCAAGATGGAGTGCATGAGCAAAATGTGAGGGGGTGCACATTGTATACACTTTCTCTGAAATTTTGTTCACTCTTTATCGTTTTCTCGTTGGCCTGACCATGCTACACTTTTTTGTCTTGTTTTTTTCCCCAGAGGATGGAATCGTGTGATTGTGGAGAAGCCCTTTGGGAAAGACCTAGAAAGCTCAAACCTTTTATCTGAACACATCTCCTCTCTGTATGAGGAAAACCAGATCTATCGTATTGACCACTATCTAGGCAAAGAGATGGTGCAAAACCTTATGGTTCTCCGGTGGGTAATATGATAAACCCAACATTTCCAGTTTCTCTTGAGTTCTTTTATGGTCTACTTCATCCATTCTTCAATAACACTTGTTACCCTATATTTTCTATGCTTTTTAGGTTTGGAAACAGAATATTTGGACCCCTATGGTCTCGAGATCACATTGCTGCTGTGGTTTTGACCTTTAAAGAACCTTTTGGCACACAGGGTCGAGGAGGATACTTTGATGAATTTGGTATCATCAGGTATGTATCTTTGTTTATTTGCTTTATATATAATGCCCACTGTGCCTGAAGCATTACAATATTATCTGGCCTATCTGTCTTTGTCCTTTAGAGATGTCATGCAGAATCACTTGCTTCAGATGCTGTGCTTGATAGCCATGGAGAAGCCTGTTTCTACCAACTCCGATGATGTTCGAGATGAGAAGGTATGTTCCACACTCAAATTGCCCACAGTATAAAGAAAATATTAGTGTTCCAAGAATGCAGAAGAAATACCTTGTAAAATAGTACTTAGCCATATTAAAAAAATGTCATGTAAAGAGCAGGAATTTTAAAGCACTATTATAACCACCAGATGTAGACCATGGACAACCATGAGAATTCTCAACATGTCCTCCATGTCCCTTAATATTGATTGTTCCGTCAGGACAGGAACACACTATACATGCAGTTACTTTGTAGCAATCTGAAGGATCCATAATTTTATTCTTAAAACTATGAATGGAGTTTTTGGTAGCTTGATAACGGCCACTGCAAGGTTGCTAATAAACAGATCTGTTAAAATACTGGAGACTCTAAACAACTTTTACCAAGTACCAGGTAGTGGCTCTATGTGACCACAAACACAACATTTTCTGTGGATTTGAGAAACCGTTTAATTCATTGTTTGAATAGAACTGCTGCTGGTTGTTCACAATCCAGCGGCAGTCTAACCCAGTACACCAGAAGCCACTAATTGGTCCCTGCTGCTCCCATAAAACATTGAGGAAGCCATCCTCCTGCATTTAGAGGTTGAAAAAACAGAAGAGTAGCTAAAATTATCCATTGTCACAAGGTAAAACCCCAACACGCAGAGTTTAGGATAGCAAGGGACAGCCAAAGGAAATTAACAAATTATCGGGCCTTAGAGTGGCCGGACCTAACTTTAGATAAAGAGTAAAGCGCTGTCCCAATCCAAGCCAAGGTCAGAGTAACGAAGAGACCGCGAAAACGAGAATTAGCCAGAGTCTGGTACACGGTAAACCGTCAGACAAACAAGACAGGTGAGGGTTAAAGTTAAACTCTGTCGGGAACAAAGTCGCGGTCAATACAGAATAAAATACTATGAATAAGGGAACTCCCTAAAGAGTACTGGGAACAGAAACCACAGTATCTACAGCTAGGTATGTTTAAATACTTAGTATACGAATACTACTAGGTTTTATTTGATTGGTCCACTTCATGCCTGCAACCCCAAAACGTGCGTGAATGGGGGCACCAGAATGACGTGGGCCAATGGGAGCCGACCGTAAAGGTTAACTTCCCATTTCCCCTTTAAGTATGTGCTCATGACTGCGTACCCAGTAATAATATTGGGTGTGCGCAGCCCGCCAGGAGCATTCAAGTCGCGTGCGGAGGACTTGGCCAGCACGAAGACCGGGTAAGTACAGTTACATCCATAGTATGTAAATCAGTGTGTGTTGAAATGGTTGCATGCTGCACCCGGAGGCTAAAAAGTGATATTTATTACTTTAGTGGATTTTCAGTGCGAGTATAAAACAGTGAGCCTGTGAAATTTAGATAGTTATAGCTATGTTACAGCTGTATATTCTCTGGGTGAATCAAGAGGTTGGTGGAAATTGAGGCAGTGGATCCTACAAAATATGAAGAAAAGAAAACCTGTACATTCATTCCAAAGAGTCCATATTTTAATATCGCAATGTCCTGGGCCTCAAGAAGTTTCCACAAACCTCTGTATAAGTCAGGTAGCTGGATGCTCTGGTCAGCCTTAATGTTGAGCTGCGTGTTTTGTTTTTTTGTTGTTGTTTTTTTTCAATGTCTCATTTCTATGTTTTCTTTTGATTGGTCTTTTCTTCCCCAGGTTAAAGTCTTGAAATGTATTTCTGAGCTGCCCCTCAGTAATGTAGTACTTGGACAGTACGTGGGTGATCCCAATGGGCAAGGCGAGGCTCAGAAGGGCTATTTGGATGACCCCACGGTACCTAAAGGATCTCATACGCCAACATTTGCCACTGCTGTCATGTATGTGAGGAATGAGCGATGGGATGGTAAATCACGTGTGGCTTTTTGTGGATCTGACCTTAATATTCTCTTGTGTCTTGTGTATAATTTAGTTTACCTAGAACTCCTTCAGGTCTAAATATGCTGTTGGCCCTTCTCTTGTGCCAGGAGTTCCATTCATCATGCGATGCGGAAAAGCTCTGAATGAGCGTAAGGCTGAGGTTCGGCTGCAGTTCAACGATGTTCCAGGAGATATTTTCCAAGGACAGTGTAAGAGGAATGAGCTGGTGATCCGAGTGCAGCCGAATGAAGCTGTTTACACCAAGATGATGACCAAGAAACCAGGAATGTTCTTCAACCCTGAAGAGTCGGAGTTGGACCTAACCTACGGAAACCGATACAAGGTAAAAAAGATGGACACTAGGTGAAAGGGCCAATGTAAGTGTATAGTGTACAAATAGATCAGATCTCTTCAAAGCAAATTTCTTCTGATAGCTTTAGCTCTTACTTAGAGCTTATTAACAATTAAATGATTATACTTATTAAAAAAAACAAAAAACTTTTTTTAAAATACCATTTAGTTTTTTTTTTTGTTTGTTTTTTTTTTAGAATGATTGTTACATTTTACAATTGTTAATACATTTACCAAAAACTTTTTGGTTTTATATTTGTAAATACCATCATTTTTGGAGGCCAACTAAGTTTTTTTGTTTCAATTCTGGGTTACAATTCTGGTTAGTAGATATTAGTAGAAAGTAGGTACAGGCACTCAAAGTTTCTTCTGCTTGAATTATTGAACTGAATGCGCAATGTTTCAGCTTGTGAGGGGAAGGAAAATGTAAAGGGACACTATAGTTCATCAAAGAAACTTTAGCTTAATAAAGCAGGTTTGGTGTATTGATCATGCCCCTGCAGTCTCCCTGCTCAATTCTCTACCATTTAGTAATTTAAATCACTTTGTCTATGCAGCCCTAGGGACACCTCCCTGCATGGGACTTACATAGGCTTCATAAACCCTTCCTGTATAGAGACATCTAATGTTTACATTTCCTTTATTGCAAATTTTGTTTAATTTACAATTTCGGATCTCCTGCTCTTGCTAGCCCCTGCAGGAGCCTTCTGTGTGTGATTAAAGTATAATTTACAGACTAGAAGACAAAAAACTTTTAAAGTAAGTTACATATGTTTGAAAATGAAACCATTTTGTTTTCATGCAGACTGTGTGAGTCACAGGTGTGGCTATGGCTGCATGGACAAAAACAAAACTGATTTAACTCATAAATGACAGTGAATTGAGCAGTGAGACTGCAGGGGCGTGATCCATACACGGCTTCATTAAGCTAACATTGTTTTGACGACTATAGTGTTCCTTTAAGTTCACAAATCTTGGTGCCAGATAAAACCATTGTGATGCAGCTTACCTGGTCCCCCTTTTTTTTTTTTTAAATCATTCTTAATGTGCATAGTGGTACAAGCAGGCTTGCAAAGCCACAACAGCTATTGCAGGCAGACAGGAAAACATCGTAAGAACATTTGAATGGCATTTTGATGTTAATACACATTTTTATGTTGAAGAGGCGAGGCATTTATATTGAGTACTAAGCTAGACCGTCGGTTGTGATCAGTACATATGTCTGACTCGTTGGTTGGAATTCAGGGAGTATGCACAGTAAGCAACTTGGTTACATAGATTGATATCGAAAGAAAAAAATATAATAAAACTGACTTAAACATACTGAGTGGTTATGTCTAGTTAACGGTAATAAGCTGGAGAAACGTATACCCTCTTGAGGTAGTGAAATTTAGAAAAAACAGCATACATTTTTTTTTTTTTCTTCACTATAGCATGTATGTGAGATACATCTTGGCTTTGCTCCCATGCATAGTGGGTTTGTGAAGTGTATCCTTGCCCAGAAGCCTCTGCTCTTCTGTTTGTGCGCTATTGACCAACTTAGGAAATCAAAATAACGTGAGGGGAGAAGCCCTGACTAGCTGGGTGTTGACAGGTATGGAGTGAATGGTAGTCTGTTGTTGGGGAACCGTAAGAGTGAGTATTTCTGTGACTCTAGTCGTGTTGCAAGCGTCTTAGAGGTTGTTTGTCCTGGGCGTGGTAGATGCTCAAGGAGCCTGACCCCTAGTGCCATGAGGCTACGATGTCTAAGCTAGTTGGGTGAGTTTCCCAGCGTTTGGGATGAAGCTCTGTAGGAGGCCTATTGTTTTTTTTTATGAGAGCAACATGGGTTCTTTCCGAACTGTTATGAGGAGTGATGCTTTAGGCCTTGGTTTGTGTTTCCCCTAACCTAGGGGCCTGTGGGGTGGAGGGAGTGGATGGGAACAGTAGTGTCGCTAAATGTCTGTTGGTGTGCCCTCGGCTAAAGTGGAGAGTTTAACTGAACTAAAAGGGCATGTGGAACAAGTAAAGCAAGATTAACATTGGAGATATATATTTTTCACTTTGACCCGTGAGTGGGTACCCAGCGATCTTCAGTTCTTGGTGTGCGACATAGTCCTCTTGCAGTGTTACGAGTTGAGGGTCCTGGAGCCTCCAGTTCTTGGAGTGATGCGGTCCAGATCCCATGTTGCCCTGGGGGTAGCCAAGGACAGTCCTTCTGTACAGTTAGACAGTCCCAGTGCTGTTAAGAACGCTGGTGCCCCTCCCATTGAAGCGAGGTGGTTCCGTTGTGGGTCGCTACCAGGTTTCCAGGGGCTCCCTACCGGTAAGGAATGTCTGCGGATCGCAGTTGTGAAGTGATAGTCCCTAGTGTCTTGTGCCATAGGAGCATGTTTTTCGTGAGGTCCTAGAAAAATGTTAAGGGGGCTTCCTTGAAGGTCAGATACCGTCATGATATGGATTTTGTCGTGAGTCGACAAGCACCGGAGGTGTTGGGCGATCTGCTAGCTGAGCCATTTATGCGGTATACTCAGTCAATGGTAACTTTTTTGGCCGCTGTGTGTGGCAAGATGGTTTCCAGCAGCCTCCGTGTAAAATGTGGAAGCTCATCCGCCATGATTTCAGCGGGAATACTGCGGATCTTTATATGTGTTTGACGTTGCCTGTCCTCCAGGGCCATTAGTTGTAGGGATAGTGTGGACTGATCAGCTTGTAGTTGTTGTACTGTCACTTTAATGGCAGTGATGTCTGTCTTGACTTCTATAATGTCGTCTTCCTCGGAGGCCTGTACCCGGTCAGTGATCGCCTGGATGTCAATCCTCAGGAGTGTGATGTCTGCCACCCACAGTTTCTGTATATCGACTAGCAGTAGTTTTGTTGTGTCTGGTAGTGGGGCTGGCCCGTTTTTGGGTCTCAAGACTGTAGCAGGCTTGCCTGTTGGTTTGTGTTGGTCTCCATTACCTCGTGGGCTGGAGTTTTAGCATCTGGGCCCTCTGCGGGAGTCTGTTTAGCCTGCGCGGGTCTCCGGAGCATGTCTACTATATCCCTGCCGTGAGCTGTGGCGTTCGGTTTCTGGGAGCAGCGTCCCATTGCAGGTATGTGGTGCGTGTGGCACAGCCGTTGAGGAGAGCCTCAAGTCCCGGGATTGCCGTTGCGAGGTAGGCCGCAGCTTGTGTCGCCGTTTGGTTTGCTTCGGCGGCTGAGAGAAAGGCATCTATTGATGTGTTCTGGCTTTGGGATGCCAGCTGGGCGGTTTGCAGGGTTGGATGGGTTTAGAATTAGTTTTGAGATATTTGGCTGGATTCAGCAGTTTGTGGAGGAGCTTTAGAGTATGGCGTTTGTTCAGTTAGGCTTGCAGGCTCCGACCCCCTTACCTGTTCCCATTTATTTATTTATTTTTGTGCAGGATGTGAAGTTGCCAGATGCATATGAGCGTCTTATCCTGGATGTGTTCTGTGGGAGTCAGATGCACTTTGTACGCAGGTGAATATTCTTCACTCTCAAGTTAATACTATTGTCAGGGGGAGTGAAATCTTGTTCTTAATATATGTATCTTAATATTTCCGTGATAGTGATGAGTTGAGAGAAGCCTGGAGAATTTTCACCCCTATCCTGCATCAGCTGGAGCAACAAAAGATCAAACCTTTGCCCTACAAATATGGAAGGTGGGTAAACGCAAGGACTTACTTTTATTTTTATCACAGATTTGTAAAGCATTCAAGGTTATTCACAAAATCTGCAATCGACCAAAGAATATACATTTTTTTACGCCTGTACCAATTAGAAAAAATCTCAAGCTCTTTTTTTTTTTTTTTTTTAAGTTCATTATATTTTATAATTTAGAATAACACTGATAACATATTTAAAGGGAAACAAACCTAGTTTATTCCCCAGCAGCAGTTCCACTTCATAGAGTATTAGTGGAACTGCTCTATAAACAAATAGTAGCCAGACCCCAACCATCACAGAGGATTAGTGGAACAGTTCTGTAAACTGGTAGTAGCCATAACTCAGCTGTTCCATACACAGGCCCATTCAGTTTTGTTTTATTTGTGAATGGAGCAGAGCGCTGCGATCAGCAAAACCGTTGACTAAGCAGTCCAGATTGGGGAGAGATCAGTGCAGGGTGCGCATGCTGCACAAAACATAGAATTCTGGCTGCTGGATTGGCAGGTTTGAAGCACTGTCCTAGAGTTGCAGGTTTGGCTTTGTTTGTTTTCTTTCCCATACAACTGCAGTTCTAAACCAGATTTGAGATTGAGTGCTGGGTGCTCTCTGCACCATATACTTTGCAATAATGTAAAGCTGTGTTTCTTAGAGTGAAATTTTGCATAAGAGGTGGAGTGCTAAATACCTTTTTGTTCCAACGTGTGCTATACTTAGTATAATAAGTATTAGGAATCGACCGATATTTAATTATTTTAGAGCCGCTACCAATACTGATAATCTGTGAACTTTCAGGCTGATAGCCGATAATTTACCGATATTCTGTACAAATTACCATTTTGAAAAAATAAATTATTTCTAAAGGTAAATGCACAAAATATACATGCCACATGTAGTGGATGCATTGTGTATTTGTGTAGTGTGTGTGTGTGTGTGTGTGTGTATATAATGAATGCAGAGTGTGTTTGGTGTGTGTGTGTATGTATGTGTATATTTTTTATATATATATATAGAATGCCGTGTGTTTGTGTAGTGTGTAAAGTGAATGTGGTGTGTGTGTGTGTGTATAGTGAATGCAGCATGTTTGTGTAGTGTACATTATATAAACACTGCATTTTATACACACACACTGCATTCACTATATAGACACTACACACACTGCATTATATACACAGTGTGTTTGTGTAGTGTGTTTCTGTAGGTATGTAATTGGGGAGGGGGGGAGATTTTTTTTAAAAATTTTTTTTTTAGTTCCCCTCCCTGCTTCTTACTTGGCCAGGGAGGGGGGATATGGCATTCCCTGATGGTCCAGTGGCATTGAAAGTACAGAGGGGGGGCCCAGCAAGCTCTTACCTTCCCAGCAGGTCCCTGTGTAAATCTTGCAGCCAGCGTTGCCATGGTAACCCGTGGCAAGGCTCTGACGGCCACGGGACTCGCACAATTTACACAGGTGAGCTGCTGGAAAGGAAAGTAAGCGCTTGCTGCGGGCTCCCCCCCAGGACCGCCGGGCTTGTAATTGGCCTGGTGGCCCTGTTATTTATTATCGGCAATATCTGTATCTCTTTATGCCGATACCGATATTGCCGAAAATACAGAATATCGGTCGATAATATCGGCCAGACAGATAATCTGTCAATCCATAATAAGTATACCTAAAGTGGTTTTTACATTAGCGGAATTAAATTTACAGGAAAAGTAGAACATTGTTTGGCTTACCCTTTAATTAGACTCTAAACATGTTCGCTTGCTGCATACCCAGACTATGCTTCCTTTTTGATCTGGAATATATTCATAACAGGATTTTTCTGCAAAGTTGAGTCAAGATACCATCCTTTTGAGTGATCTTTAAATCCCTCCAAGAAATTACTATTAAAATGGGATATTCTTTCCCTAACGATATTGATTTTTTTTTTTTTTCTGTTTTCAGCCGTGGCCCCCCTGAAAGCGATGAGCTTATGCAGAAAGCTGGCTTCCGCTATGAAGGAACATACAAATGGGTGAACCCCAACAAACTGTGATCATGCAGAAGTTACATTTTTAGTCCCATTCAACTTCAATGGGTTCCTCATCTTCTTAATCTACAGCTGTGGGAAGTCCTGGGGACCAAAACCGTATCTCTTTCCATCATTATCTCGCTGCTTTCAGATATGCTCGTATTTTTTTATTTTTTGCTCCGATGTCTAATCATGTCCATTCTCACATTTGGAGCATATATTAGATTAGGTCCGTCCACAAGATTCAATTTTCACCAAGATGGCATCGTACTAAACACCGCTTTTTCACAATACTGTTCCTTGAGATTGATTCTCAAATGTTTTAGGTCTGTTGACCACTATTGAAGCACAGTTGGCCTCGAGGATATTCTCTTTACCACAAGCCCTTACAGACAGGGCATAAAAAACTTTTTATTTTTCTTATTCAGATTGTCATTGTGTTTACAGATTTGGGCTAAATTGCTTTTCATTTTCCTCCTGCACATGCTTTTTCATCTCCCCCGCAACCACCATTGGGCGTCTTGACACAGTTTAAGAACCACTGCTCCACCATATATCGCTGCTTCATGTAGAGAACCCTTTAATTTGCAACTTGTTCTGCCGTATTTTCTCCACCAATTAACTCCCTAAATCTCGCTGCTGTAGATTTCTATGAAATGTGCAGATTTTTTTTTGCCAATAAGGTTACATGGGTTTATAGACTTAAAGTGCAGAATAGAGAACTCTGCAATTGTGTTTGTTTTAGATTTATTTGAATATTATTATTTCCCTCGCTATAGTGTGCGTGTTTTTATTTTCAATGTGTCTACAGTCAGGGCAAACTTGTCTCCGCTGTAAACTGTATTAAGTGTGTGCAATCAGGAAAATACCAGGAGCAGAGTGTGAATTTGCAGGTTGAAGTTCAGAGTTGGAACACGTTGGTCAGGTAAGGCAGATATCTATTTGCTAGGGTCTTCCTTCCCGTTCTGTCCACATCATAATATACCAGTCTTTTTAATCCCTACACTTCTATTGCTGTAAGAACTAAAGTATTACGCTTTTAACATCACATCTAACCCCTGAAACTGTGGGAGCCATGGTGCGAATAAGTGCTATGTTTCCCCAAGTAAAGTCTCCACTGAAGCTGAACATGAAGTTTGCAAGTCCTGCTCTGTTTTAGCTTTGATAACCGTTTGGGTCAGTGGATGAGCCATGGAATAGTTTCTTAGTATACTGTACTTTAGAATTCCTACTCTTTACGGTATATTTACTAAACAGTGAATTAAAACTGCATTGTGAACAAAACGAGGGGATCGAATTCAGCTGTTTATTAATCCCCCTCCATCTTGCGTACTTTGTGCTAAATGCTGTAAGTCAGTTTTCAGATTAGTTTGCAATTTCTTTTAACCACCTCTCCTGTTGCAAAACAAATTTCTTTCATCCCTTTATTTTAACCCCTGAGTGAATCTATACTGTCAGTTAAATAACTAGGGTGGTATGGGAAGAGTGCTCAGTGAGTGGATATGCCTCCATCTACAGTGCCTCACACGTTCTATTCCTGGCACAACTCGGTGTTTAACCCTTCCACACACCATTTAAGTTAGGTAAGAACTTCTAAGGCCCGAGATGTATTTAGAAACTAGTAACAAGCTAAAAGCACTCTTCTTTGGTTATATCTTTAACCCCTTTTCCCTACCATGCTTATTTCCATTTCACACACACAGCTATTGCTTATTATTTCTAATTGCTTAGTGTACAAACGAACAACCAGTATGTCACATCTAATGTTCCATTAGAGGACCCATTTTGAACAAACAGCTGGCTATAGTGTCCAGTACAATACCCACTGGTCCTTCTAATTGCACTCAGTGCTCCTAGTAATAGCCTGTGCAGCACATGAAGTGTGAAAGACAACATGCTGAAACCACTTCCCTGTAATTAGCCAGGCAGAAGCAATCAATATCCTACCCGCGGTAATACATGTGCCTAACAAAGTCTAGGCCTCAATGAATACAGGACAAACTGGATTTTCACATATCACAGCGATGTACAGTACACTGGTCAATTTACATATTAACAAGAGGAACTCAAAAGATTCTGGCACAGCTTTTGAGGACCTACTCTGAAATCCTCGCCAGTCTACTATAAAGCTTCTCCTAAATAAATCTTCCCCACTTAAAGCCAGTCGCACTGTCCAATAAAAGTCACAAAACACAGGAATAAAGAGGGAACATTTATTAAAAAGGATGTGAATGTGTTTCATTAAGGGCATTGTGCTTTTGCTGCTGGTAAAATTGTACCGTTCCAGGAAGGAATCCTGGGGTTTCGAATAAAAAGAAAACTATCCTATTTTACATTGTGTAACACATCCTAGTGAAACATTCCTACATAAATATATATATATATACACAAATATATAACTACATTTTTCTATTGACTAATATTAAAATAATTTGAAGTGATGAACAGAGGGTGATCTACACACCCCTTCATCACAAACCAAACTATCATTAAAAATTCTCATTCTAGTACAGGATATTAAAAATCACCTATCATTTTTTTTGTAACAACTGAATATTTTAAATTCTTACCTCCTAATGAAAAGGCTTGTACTGATTTGGTCTAAGACCAACCCCCGTTAAGGGGTGAAATCATAAACTAAGTTTTAGTTCTACAATTCCAATAATGCTTTGGCAACCTTAAGGCTATAAAAGCATTGTGGTATATACAGTGGTGCAATGGCCAAAGGATCTACCTTTTGACCACACTTCTAAAAATTAATTGCCGTGTAGAAATATTTCCCTGCTCCTACAGAAAGCGAAAGAATTTCATCAACAACGTCATCATAAGAGCCTGTGTATGTGTCTATTAAGTGGCAGTGTTTGGCTACTCCTGGGATTGCTGTCCAGCAGCCTCTGACCCGAGCTTTTCTTCACCTAGTGATATGCTGAGTTCCAGGTCTTAATAGCATTAATGCCCTTAATTCAAGTGCAATAGGAGAAAATAAAGCAATACAATGCTTGGTGCTCCTTCTTCAGCTGCAGCATGTGCCTTCAATACCTCGTGCAAAGAGCTGGATGAGCTGGTGGTGTACCCTGTGGGAAAAATATTCAAATATTGAATTGGAAAATGTATCTTATCTCCCACAACATTCTCTTTAATGTTTATTATACAGAGTGAGGAAGACCATATCATTGATTGCCTGATCCCTCTAATGATCACCATATTAGAGTAGGATGGGTATTTGTGATATGGACTGATGTCCTTAAGCTAGTATAGGAACTCCAGCTTGGCACCAGTCTTGCCCTGCCGAAGAGTAGAGCTCCCCACCCAGCGCTGGAAAAAAAGAGGTAAGTTTAACCCCTTCCTCTCCCCAGAGCCCGGCGGGAGGGGGTCCCTGAGGGTGGGGGCACCCTCAGGGCACTAAAGTGGTCCTTTAAAGGAACAAAGAACACTATAGGGTCAGGAACACAATCATGTATTTCTAACCCTATAGTGCTAAACACACTATTAAGTTTGCTTTCCCCCCCACTCAGATCCCTTAAAAGCAATTAAAACTCTCCTTTTTTCCAGCGCACTTCTTTAGTGACATCAGAATTTACATTTGTTAGCTAATCCAATGCTTTCACATGGGGAAATCATTGGATTGGCTAAAATCGGCAAAGGAGGCGGGGCAAACACTGTCTTGGCCAATCAGCACCTCCTCAGAGATGCATTGAATCAATGCATCTCTGAGGCAAATTCAGTGTCCACATGCAGTGCGTGGAGATGCTGAATGGCCCCAGGAAGCACCTCCAGTGACCATCTGAGGAGTGGCCACTTGGAGGTGTCACTAGGGGCAATGTAAACACTGTCTTTTATCTGAAAAGGCAGTGTTTGCATTAAAATGCCTGAAGGCAATGATTATACTCACCAGAACAACACCATTAAGCTATAGTTGTTCTGGTGACTATAGTGTCCCTTTAAGGTGTTTTGGTGCTTGGTTTCCTTATGAATAAATAGCCTGTCAGTGTGACATGCAAATACAAAATTGCTTGCAAAGTAACATATGAACACAGTTGTTGTAGAAATAAATAATACTAACACTTCCCGTCGTGGTACCATTTCAAACATATATTTTTATTCCTCACCTGACGCTAATTTGTGCACATTCTAAGATCTCTCCATCACAGTTCCATGTGCTGGTCTGTGGAGCGCCACTGCATAGAGTTGAAAAGATGCTCTTTCTTCGCCTGATATTGTCCTCCTCCGTAACATCCTTTTCCTTGTGGTCAGGAATGAAACGCATGGCGTGGATCCGGTGTACTTCCACGTAGGGCAAAGCGAACTATTGGAGTACACAGAGACATTAATGTACAAAAAAACCTTAACAACTAAAATAACACCTAACATAACTGTCACTTATTGGCAACGCCACATTTAAAAGCTAACAAATATATATGCAAGACTATACTGCCACAACCTGTACTCTGACAGTAAATGCATTGATACACATATGGAATAATGGGAAATATATATGATTTCTGGAGTACAGTACATCACAGGAAGGGGGCAGCATTGAGCACCTAGAAGTGCAACAGACTCTTATATTGATTGCAACATTATTTACTGGAGTGAGTTAAAGGACCACTATAGTGCCAGGAAAACATACTCGTTTTCCTGGCACTATAGTGCCCTGAGGGTGCCCCCTCCCGCCAGGCTCTGGGGAGAGGAAGGGGTTAAACACTTGCCTTTCTCCTGCACCGGGCGGAAAGCTCTCCGCCTCTGATCCTCCTCTTCGGCTGAATGCACATGCGCGGCAGGAGCTGCGCGTGCATTCAGCCAGTCTCATAGGAAAGCATTCATAATGCTTTCCTATGGACGCTGGCGTCTTCTCACTGTGATTTTCACATTGAGAAGCACGCAAACACCTCTAGCGGCTGTCAATGAGACAGCCACTAGAGGCTTTAGAGGCTGGATTAACCCAATTATAAACATAGCAGTTTCTCTGAAACTGTTATTTTATATTTAAAAAAAAGGGTTAATCCTAGAGGGACCTGGCACCCAGACCACTTCATTAAGCTGAAGTCGTCTGGGTGCCGGGAGTGGTCCTTTAAAGAATAAACCCTTAATAAAATAGGGATCGGTCATTGTTTATCTAGTAAAGAGTGAAGCAATTCTGGCACAGAATGCTAAATTTGCAGTATTCCGAGTAAAGTCTCTGCCGATCACTCCAAATGTAACTCTAGGACTCGCCTTTTTCTTAGTAAATATGTGATTAAAAATTGTTCATTGTTGCGCAGGGCAATCGGTAATTCATAAATAAATAAATACCAAAATGATCTAGTCAAGGTGGACATGCCATTAAAGACCTACCTATACTATATATACTAGATTGTATGCTCTTTCAAACTGTGAGCTGTCCAACATGCAATGCTGTCTTAGTCTGTATAGGTATCTTACCTGGTCTTTGCTACTCGTGTGTCTTTTGAGATGTCTCAGGAAGCGGAACATGTTGCACTCATGCACCAAGATGAGGTCAGCAGTGCCATCTGCTAGATGTGCTGTCGGAGACAGGCCATCCTGACTTTTAGGGCAAGCGCTGGACATGCCTGTAACATTAATAGCCACGAAGGAGCCACTCACTTTTTTCCACTTATTAGAGGTACAACCTAATAGCAGAAAGAGAGTGTCCATGCATTAAATCAAACAACACGAGACATACCAATTAGCATTCAACTGGTTCTAGGGCAGCAGTGACTTCACCGGTTATTATAAATGATTAAGAAATACAATTCAATTCCTTAAAGGATGGCTAAGGATCATGGGAGATGTAGTTCACAACCATTTACCTGGCCAAGCTTAGCCAACAATGCTCTGTGGCAATGTTACTCACAGTGGGGGTCTGCAAACTAGTGTTTGCGATATTATCTTTTTAAATGGAAGGCCTAGTGCAGTAGTAAAGTCCAATGTCATCACAACTCTACTTAAATGTAAATAAGCGTACCGAGCCTCCCAGAAATATGGGTTGGGGGTGGTGAAAGAGCTATAAAAGTGTGGGATTTAATATAAACATATTTAAAAATGACAATGCTATACAGCCAGGCTTACACAAACCGTGTATTGGATGAATTGGTGCTATAAAAATAGGTAAAATAATTCAATACTCACAATGATTTTCTGCTTCCATCACTTCTCTCAGTTTTTCTGATGATTCCGAACACACAAGGCACCTAAAAAAATGGATTAAAAAAAGAAGAAACATTTAAAAAGTCACTCAAATGAAAGACATGGGTATTGGGCAGAGCAAAGACAGCGAGATTATAGAATACATATGTTAAAAAGCCATAGGGACAAGTTACATGATTTACATTTTCGGGGCAACAATGTGCATGTCTTTGTCAGCAGATCGCCTGCGGAAAAAGCCCTAGCTGAGCATCTATTTTCCTTTAGTCTAGGTTTTCCACGAACAGCTCCCAACTAACGTTCGACCCCATTCATTATAGCTGCTCTGATTTTCAGATATATGCAGTATATGACCACAGACCATAGGCTTCCCATGTTACTGCACGTACACATGTCTTGCGAGTTCTAAGCAACCTGTGCAGGTTCTCAATATGTTTTATGAGAGATCCTGTAGAGCAGATTGGTAAATAAGTGGTGCAGAGTTGCTAGTAGCATCAGCCTTGTATGTGCCTACATATACTTTGCTATAGAAACGAGTGTTAAAAGAAATGTAGGTGGTCATTTTACACTTTCAAAAATATAAGTAATCCCCTGCAGGAGGTTTCCATTTAGTTTTAGGCACTGTTGTGGTTCGTGACCTAAATATGAATATTAATCTCTTAATACATAATAATTAAGCAATACGGAACAACATTAATATTTTTATAATTCATGGTATTATGGTCTAATATGTGGATAGAAAATACACAAAACGTTGTAATATTAAATGTATATTTAATATAACTATAATAAATAAACAGATGCTAGCGGAATGTCAATTTCAATAATTATACAATACAATACTACACAAAACACTATTGGTTGCTAAGGCTATTACAATTGCTAACTGTTACAATACAAACATATTACTTACAAGGCCCCAGCCAAAGGGCTGGGGCTAAGTCAGAGCTGGTGCTACATGATCAGTCAGGTACAGGCAAACAGAGAGCTCGCTTCTCCTCACATCTGGGTTTTATTCAGTGTAAGTAGGCTGGCCTGTGATGTCACTGCCAGAAGCACAGGTCTTCCTACACACTCCCCCTAGTGGTGCCCCCAAAGCATTACACTAAATATGCTTTACTGACATCTAGTGGTGCGTCTAAAGCATTAAGCTCATTATGCTTTTTTTTTATGACAAAAAGTCATTAATTAATAAATACCATTACAGGCACTTAATAATACAGAAAGAATGAAGAAAGAATGAAGAAAGAAGAGCCTCACAGGCATCCTGAAAAATCAAGCATATCTAAGTTTGCTATTGGTATGCTACTCTTTGCAAGTGTTAGGAAAAGTGGTAAAAGCATAGACAGTGAAGGGGATTGAGAGTTTTACCCTGTCCTGCAGCGAGTATTGTCTCTTGGGTTGGAATAACAGTCATCTGCTTCGAGAAATTCTACAGTCCCTCTATAGGCCCGGTTAAGGAGAACCATCTTAAATCCTAAGGAAAAAAATCCACTCAAATTATCAGCTGCAATTATTGATTTAATAAAGCTCTTAAAATGATCATTATTTAATTTAACAACAGAAGAAGGAGCTAGTGGATGAAGGTGAGTTGATTTGAAGGTAGAGGGTGGGAAGTAATCTTAAATATACTGTAATACACGGACAGTAGAGAGGTGCCTGGAACACTCTTTCAGTGGAAACAGGAAGTAAGTATTGAAACAGGCATAAGGCTATCCTAGATAAAAGATAAGCAGAAGTGATCAGACGTTTCATAACATAATAGGTGGGTTAGCTGGTTCTAACCGAACTCGTCACGTAGTGAAGAGAGGTAGAGAAAGATAAAACAGATTAGATAAGTAGAGACTGGTAACAGGAGAATAGAGAGAGAGAGAAAGAAAGAATAGAGAAAGGAAAAATATACAAAGAAATAATTCAAACATACAGACAAAAAGACATAGATACATGAAGATGAGAATAATAGATATATGAAGAAAATAAAACAGAGACAGACAGATGAATCAAGACAGAAAGAATATAGATAAAACGATAACTATGGGTAGAGAGACAGGTAGACAGCTATCCATAGATAGACAGACATTTGACTGACAACAGACTAGATTAAAAAGTGGATAGAGAAATAAAGGAACACATTTAAATTTCTGACACCCCAAGACAGAAAGATGATAGTCTCCCCTACTCAGACAACTCAGCAGATATAAATATGTAGTCAATAGGCGTTGTTATTGAAAACATTTTTGGAAAGAGGGTTGTCATGCATGAATGGTTGAAAATAAGAAGGGATTGAATGGAAGCAGGCAGAACTATAATTTGTCTCCACTGGTACCCTTAAAACTCAGTGGTAGAGAGAAGAACCTAGCTTTGCATGCATATTGCTCCGGCTTTGGTACCTGACACGTCGTATCGGAAAGGACCCATCCAACGCAACTTCTCGCTCTCCCTTAGGACATCCCCGAAGAAGCCATAACCAATCAGTGACACAGAGAATCTTTTGAGCTGCTCCGCGTGGTAAGACGCGCAGACATCCATAGGCTGTGTGTCCCCTACGAGTTAACACGTGTTTTCACACATATTAGATAATATTTGTGTATCTCATTGTAAAGCACTGTGTATTCCAAAAACACAAAATGGTAACTGAAACAGGTGTAATTATTGTGTGTTTAAGAATGTAAATTAAATAAGTTGTTCTCTTCGAGCAGTGAACAGTAACTCTTTATGAACGACCAGTTATTCCACATACTTTCTACATGATACATAAATCTTGCTATAAGGCATACCTATAATAATATGCAACGCTGATGTCACAGGGTCATTGATTCCAACGGTGGCAAAACACACACAGTCCGTGGAACCTGCACACAGTGGAACATAGAATAGGAGTTACATTCATATTGTAATTTTGTCATTTACAGTGGCAAGAAAACATATGCGAACCCTTTAGATATGATCATTTATGTATTTATTTATGCATTTACGTACAAAAACGTCACTATCACTATGAAATACTGATTTTGACTGTTGTAATTTCACAGAGACAAAATTCAGAGACAAAGTATGGACTATTTTGTCTCTGTATTTCTCCTCCACCTGATTTTCTCACACTTTGGGCAGAGCTACAAACTCAATCCTGACAGCCATCACCAGTGATGACTGCAGGCAATTGGCTCTGGCTATGGAGGGTTCCACTGTCTTGCGGTATCCTGCATAGACCTCAATGCTGTACCCTAGTGCATGCGCAAGTGTACGGCAGTGACGTCAGCTCCTGGCACTTCTGAAGAGGAGCAGATGGAGGAAGATGGCGACACCTGAAAGGGACAGACCTTGCAAAAAAGAGCTCTCAGAATACTTGCAATCAAAAATCGTTGCATTGTATAAAGGGTTCCAAGTTATCTCAAAAAGCTTAGATATCCATCTGTACGACGGATGGGAACTAGTTAATATCTCTGTTCATAAGTATCATATGGAAAACATTGAAGAGGCATGGTGTTTATGGCAGGACATCACGAAGAAAGCAGTTGCTTACAAAAAAAACTAAAAAAATACTGCTGTGCATCGGAAGTGTCAGTAATAGCTAATGCCTAACACGCAGAACTTAAGTAAAAAAAATATATAAAAGAAAACCCTACGACGTATTACCGGGCCTTAGAATGGCCGGATTTAACGTACAAAAGGAAAAAACCACAAGACAAGCTATGGACAAGAACTCAGAAATCACGGAAACAAAGAACAAGCCAAAGGTTGAGGAATATCGAGGTCAGGGTAGTCAGGAGCCAAGCCAAAGGTCAAGGAGTACAGAGATCGGATAGTCAGAAGGAAAGCCAAGGTCAAAACACACAAGAATCAATACCAGAAACATGCTCTCGGATAACCACAATGGAAACCACGACAGGGCACAGACAAATGGATAAAAAAAAGGTATATATAGCCTAAGGTGCTCCCTGATTGGCTACAGGGAAGCATGTGATAGTGAACGTGTGTGTGTGACATCACCCACACGTTCCAAATGGAATGGCACTAAGGGTTGATACAAAACCTTAAAAGGACCTAATCTGCAGAGGCCGGAGTCTCTAATGATTACAGCTGTGTGAGGGAGAGGAGTTCCTGTTAGAGGCCTGAGGTGAGTGATGGGTGGCATTCCCATTACCACGTGGGAATACCGCCAGAACGAGATGCGGGTGCCTGCAAGTCAGGTAAATATTCGGTAGCATTCCCCTTGATGTGTGGGAATGCCGCTGCAACGATGCACACCCGCCGGGACCCATACCGCTCTCTCGCAGGAGTGGACCCTGCAGGCGGTGTCACACTTCACAACACTACTGGGAAAATGTTTTGTGGAGTGATGAAACAAAGGTTGAGTTGTTTTGAATGACCATGCCGCACTACATATACTGTAAAATGGGCACCTCATACCAAATGAACACATCTTCCCAACAGTTAAGTATGGTGGAGGGAGCATCATGATTTGAGGTTGTTTTGCTGCTTTGGGGCCTGGACAGCTTGTCCTCATTGCGGGAAAAATTAATCTCCCACGTTTATCAATATATCCTACAGGATAATATCAGGGTGGCTGTGCGACAGATGAGGCTCAGTAGAAGTTGAGCAATGCAGCAGGACAATGATCCTAAACATCCAAGGAAACCCACTACAGAATGGCTTAAAAAAAAAAAAATTCACCTTTTGGAGTGGCCCAGTCGGAGCCCAGTCCTTAACCCCATAGAGATGCTGTGGAATAACCTCAATTTAACTGTTCATACCAGTCCCTACATTTCTTTTTTACTTTTATGTAAACTACAGAATTTAGGAGGAAATTCAGACACAGTGAACCATAAAGTAGCAAATTATATCATTTTTGGTGAAGAACCGCTTTAACGCTTACCTGCCGGTATAATGCCTATGCGCAGTCTGCAGGTTGTAAGTACAGAGTTCTCATCCTTCTCACAGATGCCGCTGTCCCTCTGCGTCCGTGTCACTAGTCCATGTAACAGCTCGCTGAACATTCCGTCACCCCCAACGCACACCACACTGCAAGGAAATAGGTTAGAATTTATATATATATATATATATATATATATATATATATATAAATATATACAAAATCCGGCACTCTACCTTTAAAAAATGATGATCCCAGAAAAAGCCTCGGTGCTGCAAAGCGTAAATAGATAGAAAAATAGTAGCAAAGAGAGCACTCCAAAGGACTTGTTGAAAAATTATTTTTATCAATGTGCAGAAAAAAAATCGACGTTTCGACCCGCAGGTCTTTATCAAGATACATAACGCAGTGAAGTGATAACATTTATAGCAATAAATAATTAGGGGGTAATCACTTACCCTGAGATAGGTGTGCAGCTACGGAACCATGTGTACAAGCTGTGAATAGATGAAGAGTAGCGTGCGAGTTCCGTAACGGAGTGATGACGTCAACCACGTGCGACCAGGAAAAGGTGGTAAGAAAGCGTCCGGTTTCCATAGAAACAAGTAAGTGATCGTGTATAGTGTGAAACAGTGAAATAAACAAGATAGGAAAGATCTAAGCAAGTAGAAGAGAAAGAAAATAATAGCCATGGTGTATCTTAAAACGAGCATATATAAAATATGAACAGAAAGTCCAGAGAATATAGACATATAGAAAGCAGTAAAGAGAAAGTATTGAGTAAAAAAGATCGAACCATAGAAAGATAGTAAAGAAGAAAAAAGAAGAAATAGAGAGAAGGAAGAAAGTAGAAAAGATAAGGAAAGAAAGAAAAAAAGAAGAGAAACTGCCGTGACAACTAAAAAAGTGGGACAAAGCCACTATGTATCAAAGTAGTAAACCCATAAAACAGAGTGAAAAGAAAGAAAATGAAGCATGTAGAATAGCAAAGAAAATAAGGACCGTCAGTAAATACATATGTTAGAATAATCACAAGCATTGTGTATATATATACATTGTACTATCAATATACAGTATGCATAATAAGTACACCATGGAACTACTAATAAAAGAAGAAAATCCCTTATGCAGAGAAATGACAAGAATAGATGATTAGAACTTTGAAAATGAGACCGAGAAGATAGTAAGAAGCAGAACCAAAAATTACACAGATAAACAGCACATCAAATTAGCGTGTATCTAGAAATGGATGGAAAGACAGATATTCATTCAGGCCCTTGGGATGTAAAGTGTCCAATGTTTTAATCCAATAGACCTCCCGCTGAAGTAGAATCTTGGATCGACTTCTTTTTTCTTCTTTACTATCTTTCTATCTTTTTTACTCAATACTTTCTCTTTACTGCTTTCTATATGTCTATATTCTCTGGACTTTCTGTTCATATTTTATATATGCTCGTTTTAAGATACACCATGGCTATTATTTTCTTTCTCTTCTACTTGCTTAGATCTTTCCTGTTTCACACTATACACGATCACTTACTTGTTTCTATGGAAACAGGACGCTTTCTTACCACCTTTTCCTGGTGGTTGACGTCGCACGTGGTTGACGTCATCACTCCGTTACGGAACTCGCATGCTACTCTTCATCTATTCACAGCTTGTACACATGGTTCCGTAGCTGCACACCTATCTCAGGGTAAGTGATTACCCCCTAATTATTTATTGCTATAAATGTTATCACTTCACTGCGTTATGTATCTTGATAAAGACCTGCGGGTCGAAACGTCGATTTTTTCTGCACATTGATAAAAATAATTTTTCAACAAGTCCTTTGGAGTGCTCTCTTTGCTACTATTTTTATATATATATATATATATATATATATATATATATATATATATATATATGTACATATATACACACACACACACACACACACACACACACAGGTATGATCAGCAGCGATAGATTGAGGGTTAATCTCTGTGGGGGATCTGTCAGGGAAGGGATCTATAGCTTCCCATAGTATGGGAGTGATACACTGTGGCAACACATTAACCGCAGTGACATTCTATAACATGGATAAGCAACCTTCGGAACTCCAGATCTTGTGGCCTACATCCCTCTAATGCTTTGCCAGCATTATGGCTGTAGGAGCCTTATGGGAGATGTAGTCCACAGCATCTGGAGTGCGAAGACCTATCCCTAGGTCTATGACATCATAACAATTTGGTCTTCATGGATCCTTGTTCCGCAAAGGAAAGACCTATTTATTTAATGAGAGCACCATAAGCAGGTTTCTTAGGATTGGGGTTACAACAATTCTACTCTTGTCCGGTTTACGTTGGCAATATAAATATAATATAAGTGCAGTATAATCATTTGTAATTTGAAGGTCTCTCGTGTAGAAGGCTATTAAAGCTCAGGATGGTTTTCAGAAAGAAACTGTCTTTACCCGTCATATTTCTGCAGATCTTCCTCCAGGATGAAGTCTCTGGCATGATTTGCCCGGGTAGTTTCTAAAAGAAGGAGACAGAGCATGAGGCTACACGAGGGGGGGAGGAATTTGTTTAATTTTAAACGTATGTAACTTAGGTAAAAGTTACCTGGACTGTGAATGTAAGGATAATATAAAGATAGAAATTGCTGGAACTTGATCTTCAGACAAAACGTACTTAAATAATTGAATCATGCCCTCAGACTGCCATTAAAACAATTCAGTATTTAGTGTGCATAAAAAAAATAATCCAAAAGGGAAATCTATAAATTGTGTTAGTAGATTCCATCCACAAGTACAGAACAAGAAAGAATTAAAAATGTTTTTGGTTCGGAGTTTGGTGGGACCAAATGAAAACATGTTATTTATACATTGTAATAGTTGAGATAACAAAGTCGCTTTAAGGACTCGATGGAACTCTAGTCTGATAAATCCCATTATAAATATCCCTTCTGTTAACACAGAAGATAAGAGGGGTAATCAGTATCATCTCTGGCTGAAACAGTTCCACACTGAAACATGCGATGGGCTTTGTCTGTTTGTCTGTCTTTTATACACTATGGGTAGCACTTGGCACTCTTCTGATTCTGCTCCCGGAGGTTTGATAGAATTTGGGAAATGTAGACACATACATTTTCTATTGTGTGCCACGGTATTATTAGGGCATTGCTATATTAGCTGATTTAGGGGTTTCTACCTACTGGTTATTGTTGGGTCACCATGATTGAACTAAGGTGATTGTCAGGTTTTTCCCTCTCAGCTTATCTTTTTTTGCCTACATGACTTCTTTTTGCTACTCTCTTTCTAAATTAGCCATTTAACTTTGTATGGTACTTACATTGTGGTTTCTATGTACCGAGGTAATGTTTTTAGGTAACCTCTCTTTGTTGTTTGCCTCTCGATGGAGGTAATTAGCCTGCCTCAAAAGATACCTTTTCTTACATTCCCTAGACCTTTTTGCCTATATATATTCTCCTTTATTCTAATATTTAATACTAGAATAAAGGAGTAGATATTAGTATATTCTAAGCAGTCCATATAGAGAGTCCATATATATAGGGGCTGTTTAGAATACTTTATTCTAGTATCGGTAGCTCAGCTAATTTTAGTCTACTCCTGGAGACCTGGGAGTAATTAAATACTCAATAGGGATTGTTTATACGGCATCACCCAGTGAACAGGTTAGTTATTAAAGTAGTCACATTGTTTTGGGTGTGAGTTCTCATTTGTTCTTTTTATGTGTCATATCAATAAATACTGGTTTAAGTCTTTCCACCTGTCCTTTGCCATCTCTGGACCTCCTCCAGACTTTGGTTAAGCCTACTTTGTTTGTTTTGTGTAGTCTATTTAAGTTTTAGTGTCACCTCCTTTTTGACAATGCTTAAAAGCCCGACCTCTGCAAGAGTCACATGGTTTTATTTCTGCTGGCTGTTATAGTTAGTATTTTCTATGAGAAAATTATATTCTCTGGGGGTTCATTCTCTACACAGTGCAACGCAGAGTGTCAGTTGCAAAATATACTGTTGTAAATGTGGGACCAAAACAAGAAAATGATGCAGGAATATTGCCTGAAAAAAAACGATTTGGTTGCTTTCTCCTTAATGTACCACAATTTGGTTAAAAGGCAACAACTCCCTGCTTAGTAAATAAAATCATCTAAATCTGTGCTCATGGTTTTTTTTTATTCTTTATTTTAAAATCAAGCATCATAAACAAGGGAACAATACATGTCGTTGGAATGCTTACAACTTGACATGGTTTTACGACAGATGCCAATCACACAAGGCAAAAAAAATACAAAAATTAAAACGAGACAAAAAAAAATAGAGTAGGGGGTCATGCTTTATATCACACGTTTATACCGAGAGAAGATCATGAACACACTATAAGGTGCACTCGTATAAATTTACCCTATGAATGGAATAAGCAAAAAGCGAATGATAAAATGAAAGAAAAAAAAAAAAACAGACACAGCAAAGTGCAGAGAAAACATTAATTCCTGGTAACATACAGATCATTCTAGGTAAAGATAATATAATTATTGCATAGAACTTTATTGAGTGTAACTCCAGACGTAATATGTGCACGGTACAGGAATGACGCACAGTTATTACATTTCCTGCTACCAAGTGCTTAATCATAGACTATAAATAATAAAGTTACATAAATACTGCAAGTTACAGATCTCATCTATTGCAAAGTGCTTGTATGTTCCCACATCCACTGTTCTCCCTCGGATAGTTTGCATTCTTGTTTTACATCACTGGCCACATTTGAAGTCTTCGCTTCAACCGGTAACACAATGGTCAACAGTAAAGCACCCACTGTGCGCATGCACTTGCAAAGAGTACTCGGAGACAGACAGTGTGTTTAACCCCTTAAGGACAAATGACGTGTGACATGTCAAGATTCCCTTTTATTCCAGAAGTTTGGTCCTTAAGGGGTTAATGTTAAAAGCACAAGGCAGAATGTGGGGATCACAGACTAACAGTGGGAATAATGTTCCATGTTAGGTTTACAGGTTACAGAATTATAGATTACATACCGATCACTTCCGTCTCAATTCCGGCCAGCTGGAAGAGAGGAGATATTTTTTTTCTGAAAACCTTTGAAGCTTTTCCTCTGCCACCATAGGGGTTGATAAACACCAGCAGCCTTTGTGGTCTTGTGTTCCCTATAGAGGAAGAAAAGACAATGAGTACAGGAGGGTGTCTGAGTTAGAACAAAGCGGGCAAGAGGCCAGTGTGTACAAACCGGCCTTGTGTTTTTACTGCAGTTAGTCCAAGAATGAGATGTGTGTGGACGTTATCTACATTTATAAAACATCAATTGTGAAAGATATTCTCCAACTGTGCCCCCATCCCATAATATTGTCATCTACTTACTTGCTGTAGAAATTATGGGAAATCAGCAAGGAAAATTCCGAATGGTTTTCATAGTGATTGCTCCATTTCCAACCTTGTCCCTCCCACCCCCAGTAAAATGAAGTGCCTAGGCCAAGTTCTCTCTCTCAGTCTGCTCTCCCTCCACTGATATCACTACTCCTCGCCGGAGGAGGAGGAAGGTAATGGATGGTGGATTAAGGGGAGCACGGGGGGCCGCAGGGAGGGGCTGTGCCACTATTGTCAGTGTGCTGGTGTCAGACCCCAATTTTACACAGAATTGATATTATCCAGCCCGGAACGCTAGTGATGCCCCGATGATGTTGCCAGAGGTAGGGTTACACCAACAGCAGCACAGAGGTCAATCTCTATATGTGCAGAGTTTCATAGCAAAATGCTGCAAGTAAAGACTGCAGGCACCATGACCACTTCAAATCACTGACGTGGTCATGGTGCTTGAAGTTTTCTATTTCTAGTAAAAAGTTGTATTCATCTAGACTGGCTTAATTTGTCTCTACTTTAACAGAGTTTTTGGTCTATAAAAAAGGCCCATTCATAGTGGTTCACTATTGAAGTTCCTTACTCAATTGCATTTTTATGGACTGTGTACCAACTAGCTAGATAGCTAGTTAGGAAGGAAAACCCGAGTCAAAGTTGGTAGAACATTGCTACTGCCAGGAGTGGCCAAAACGTAGTCCGCTTTCTGAGGAAGAAAAAACAAAAAAGAAAAAAAAAAAATAACAGAGCATAACAGGACACACCTGGGGCGATTTATCCTGTATCGGTTAGCGACATACAGCTCTTTCTCAATGAGCGAGACTGATGTCTTATTGAGAGAGACCTAGAGCTTATTCTATGGGCAAAGACAGCTTCATAGTTAATTAGATTAATTACAAGTAAGACCTCACCCCAGAGAATGTGAATACTCTCCAAAGAACGAGCCATACCTGCTTACCCAAAAACAAGTCACACTCCCTTATCAATGAGTAATACCTGCTTCCACGTTGGGGAGACCAAATCCCAGTGACTGAGACAGCTTCATATTGACTACGTACATTTAATGACCAATCGGGCTGCTCTTGACCAACTGATGATTCCTTTTCAATGAGTAACACTGCTTGCCTGTGAGTGAGACTACTCTGAAATGGTGAGATGACTTATTAAGGAGTACGTCTATTTTCAAAACAGTGAGAAAAGACTGGATTTCCAGAAAGAGGAATAGTTTCTAATGTGAGGGCGATTCATTAAAAGCCTGGTTCGGGATCTAGCCTGGATTGCTGTGGACATGCTCAGGATTCCATCACTGACCTTCCATGGACATAAAAGTGCATTAAGGAATTATAGCAACCAAGCCAGTAGCAAGTTTCCCCAGATTCAGAAGCAATCTTCCATTGGTCCTGAACCTGGGTATAGACTAGGTTTGCTGCCGACTTGGGTCAATAAGATTTAGAGCATCATCCAAGGTGATGGTTGTATTTTGTGTTTTTTTTACCAAGACTTGGCATAGCTCTGTTCCACTTGGCCAACTGAGAGAACATACTATTTAAACACTATTTAGAATCAGGGGAACTTGGTTTTAATCACACTGACTGCTTTTCCATGACTTGAATGGCAAAACTATTGGTGAACTTCTTTCCCTCGAGTGAGTCAGACTATAGGGTAATGTGTGGATCAGAATACAACCAGTACTCCAAGAGGGAGATGTACAAGTTGGACATTGGCAAACAGTGCCTTCTGTGAAATAATCAGTACCAAAATGTAGGAAGTGGAACCTACACAGTAAAATAGTTTGGGCTCCTTTTAAAGACCCATGAAAACGAGTCTTACATTGTCCTAGATATTTATTTTCTTTATTTAGCAAGCAATAATTATATGACTAGATAAAACAAATTTAAAATGAAATGGCTAGCACAATGCAAAATAACTCTTTAATAGTGCAAATTACGGGCTGGTGATGGTTGTAGTCCACTTTAATAAATAATATAATTTTGTGTACCATCTCCACAGCTGAGGGTACTGGCTGAGTGTGTGTATATTTTTTAAGGCTCAGTGATTGAGCCCCTCACCACTTGGATGTATCTGTTCCTGCAGAGTCTGCACCCAGCTGTTTGCCACCTGGGCGTCTGGAGCTGTGAAGGTGACGGCTTGAACGATCCAGCGCTGAGCAGACCTTCTGGATACATGGTACACTGGAATGCAGAGAAAATACCAGTAAATAAAGTTGAAATAAAAACACATGTGCGTGAAATTCATTGTTCCTCGTATTTAGCAGTTGCTGCGTTATAAAGAATCAATCTGGTGGGTGAAACCTGACTGGCAAGCAGAGCAGACAAGGTTTGACAAGCTCCTGAGCACAAACTGCCTAATCTACTTTATATACCTGCCAACCTGCTAATATCAACACAAAACACGACTCACCGCACAGTGGAGATCCTGCTGATTTCTACAGTACCAAACTCGGTGCTGTACTGTTCCAGGAAACTAACATCTCACCATTTGCGGCCGACATACTGGACAGGCGTCGGAGGGACATCCGCTCTCCGGAAACCACGTCCTACTTCACATCGCAGACTTCAGCTCCCCCCCCCACCCTTTTGGACCAGTGGGGGTCATCCCGGTACCAGGAGATCCCTCGCTGCTACTTCCAATAGAAGCCACGAGGCTTCTAAAATGGCTGAGACCGCTATCAGATGCGATGCAGAGACCCATAATGCCACAACCCTGGCAAAACTGGATCACATCTTCGCGAAATTCTGGGCTACTATAGAGGCAAGGAGGCAGTCTGCCCTGACAACCCGACCACAGATCTCCTACACCCCAACTCAGCCCTCCTATCTGCTCCAATCTGCATCAACCTCAAGACCACCTGGTCAGTCTGAACCCACTCAGCGGATGCCAAGGCAGCACAGCATCACACACCCCTCGGGATCTAGAGGACCTGGAATGGAGCCTGCGGCAGTCCTGACTCTAGCTACAATTCGTAGGCCTGGGGCATTACACCTCAACATGGCGGCTGTTGCACCAGAAGGGAGAATTGGCACCCGACTGCAGGCCTCTCCTTGATGCCCCCGTGCCACTTACACTAACCCATATGGAATCCTCCTCACAGAGCAAAACAGTCTCCTAGCAAGTTGGGCATCGGATGAAGCCTGAAGTACACCCTGGCAACCATACCTGTATAGGCTTTCTCCTAGTTTAACTACCCATGCGGTGGACTCCTGTTACCCGTTTCTATTTTATTTTCCTTACTTTGCGTTTTCTCCTGATATAATAATAACATACCTTTTCTTGTACCTCAAGCAATGCAAAACTAGTATGTTTAATTTGTACTCTTCAATTTTTTTTAAAATGCATCACTATAATTGCATCTCACACTTGTTACTCTACTGAAGCAAAATGTCAGTCTACACAACCTGTTATTAGTCTCATATTTACTAATCTGCTGATATAACTAGCATTATCCTGTTTATTAATTTGAAAAAGTGTGGAACTTAATCTTATGTCTTGACAATGTAAGCGTTAAAATGTCTGTTATTGCGATCGTGGCATCGCAGACATGTTTGTACTTCCTTTTGCACAGCAAAAATAAAGAATCAATCTGAAGCTATTATTTACACAGTAAATGTTTTCCTTCACCACCAGCAAAAAAGACAATGCATTCTTTTGCTTTTTTCCTGGTATTTGTGATAATGATAACCAATCATCTTAAAGGTCAGAAAAGCTATAAACAGCTGGATGATGTAAAGATGAGGCTGTTCGGTTATACTGGTAATTTCAGACAAGGATAATAGAAATGATAGCTTGCTGTAGTAGTTATGGTGCTAGGAGTGCCCTAGTTTTTGGAACACTATTTTGGTCACTCCCCGACTCCACTACTAATGCTGGAGGTCCAGAAGTTCCTAATCAGTGTTGACTCTAGTTATTGTTGAAGAGTTTTTGGCTGACTGAGCAAGCTGTAGTGGTTATGGCGCTTGGAGTGTTTCTTTAAAGCAGCACTGTCCCTCCTCTAAAAAAATAACTAAAATAAATACATTTTCATAAACATAAACTCTTTATGAAATACATTAACTGTGTTCCAATGCAGTCAAACAAAATCTTAAGACAAGACTTCTCTACGCCTGACAGAACTTGACAAAAGGTGGAATTTCTGGCATCAATTTTTTTTTTAACATTTACCCCACAAATTAAAGAGACATTGAAAGTCCCCTATAACTTGCGCTAAACTTTTTATTTTTTTTCTACGCGATGCTCTGTTTTCTTTTTAAAATGTGTAGTAAAGATTTTGTGATTGATCACATCGTTCAGCTTGGTCCTGGCACAACCAGGGCATATATTGCATTGTTTCAGTTTCTTCTACTTCACTTACTATTACACAAAAATAAGCCCTGCTCTAAAACTCACACTAATCCTGGGTGGCAGCAACGACAATAACACGTATCAGCCCAAATACATCCAAAACAAGCAAAGAAAATAAGAGTTACCTGCGCACTAGCCAAAATCCCCAAGCATATATAAATAAATGGCGGTCATTTAGTAACTCCAATGGCCATTAGATGTAAGTCCACCTGCCACATCAAGGTAAACCTCTTAGGTGGGATGTTCATTGCCATAAAAGCTTGTAAAAAATGACTGACATTATAGTTTTCTACATTTCAGATTATTTTACAATCCTCAAAACACACATTTGTTAAATATAAGGTAAAACTATTCTGAGAAATGCAAGTTGCACATTAACAGAACACGTTCAGATTCTGTGAATGAGTAAAAAAAAAATAAAGTCAATAAAGTCAATAAAGAGAGACATTAAAGGGGCACTACTATAGTCACCAGAACAACTACAGCTTAATGCAGTTGTTCAGGCGAGTACAATCATTGCCTTCAGGCATTTTCATGCAAAGACAGTGTTTACATTGCCCCTAGGGACACCTCTGAGTGGCCACTGGAGGTGCTTCCTGGCTCAGGGCTGCACAGTAGGCAGCACTGCCGTTCAGTGTCTCCAAGCTCTGCATGGGGACGCAGAATTTTCCTCATAGAGATGCAGTGATTCAATGCATCTCTATGGAGGAGGTGCTGATTGGCGTTTGGCCCTGCCCCCTTGCCGATTTTAACCAATTCAATGCTTTCCTATGGGGAAAGCATTGGATTGGCTAAAATTCAGCAATTCTGATGATGTCACCATGGGCGCAGGGCCAATCCTGGCAGACCTGCGCAGCGCTGGAAATAAGGTGAGTTTTATTAACTTTTAAGGGGGCTAAGGAAGGGGGGGAGGGGCAGCCACCTTAATGGTGGGTTTAGCACTATAGGGTCTACATGTTTGTGTTCCTGACCCTATAGTGTTCCTTTAACAAAGTTTAAGACAGTAATCTGGAGCAACAGCAAATACCATTAATTAAAGTGCAAAATTAAAGGAACACTATAAGGTTAGGAATACAAAAGTGTATTTCTAACTATCGTGTCCCTCTGGTTCCCACCCCTGCAAGCAGTGCGTGAGGACGTCCAGCGTCAGTTAGACTACCAAAAGTCGCCAAGTAAGTAGGAAGTGCCTCTAATGGCTATCTGATTGACAGCCACTAGAGGCAGTCTCTAAAACTAGATTTACTTTTGACACAGTAAGCATGTGAAAATGTTCGCAAGTTTTGCCTTAAGACTATTTTTTATTATTTTGCAAACTTTAAAAATTGTCAGACTGCTTTATAGGGAAAAAAAAAAAATACACTTTGACCTTTAGTGCAGCTAAACCTTTATGTCTGAGATTTCTATAAAATCCACATTTCGGTAACTGAGAAAACAGATCAAACATTGTTGATTCGTTTTGTAGGATTAAAATTAGTAAAAGGGATATTAATAGTTGGTACCGAGAACTACTACGATGCAAGCAAATATTTGGATTGAGGGATGCGAATAACAAAAATAACAAATAAAGAGTTTTTTTTTGTTTTTTTTTCAGGAGAAATAGTATTTTTTTTAATGAAGGGACAATAAAGTATTATTTGTAGTACGTATCCATCTGAATGTACTGCTATTTGGGTTGCAAAATATTTTGTCTATTCAAATCAATGACATGGGCATATGGGGTCTTAAAGGGAACACAGTTTTATTTTTATTTTATTTTTTACCAGTGTAGTGCTAAGAAGCTCAGACTCTAAATGGGGGGGAGGGGGGGAAACGGACAAAAAAACATCTTCATTGCATGGTGTGCAAAGCTCTTTTACCAAAAGACTAGAAATGGCCTCTGGGTGCTCCACGCCCAGCCCTATTATCATTCCCGGCACAAAAGGGAACTGACGTCAAGCAAATAATGCAGACATCAAGTTTCAGGCTGTGGAGATGATGGAATGCGTGACCTAGTTTCTAAATTTGACAGCCCTGTGGTCAATAGTATTGTCACAGTTTGATGGCACTCGTCACTCATAGGAGCCCTACTAAAGGCCAAACTCATTGTTTGCGTTGGTTTCTTTAAACGTCACCAACAAATGGCAAAGGTACTGCGTAAATAATGAACAAAGAAATGAATTAGCATATGCGAGTCCGTCTCAACAAAAAACTGTATGTCGAGAACGTCACAATGGTGGAAATTAGTTGCTAACAAAAACTGTCCGCACATAAACATACAGAATTTGGCTAAAAAGTGGACTTTTTAGCCAAGGAAAAAATAAATAAAAGAACAGTCTTCTAGGTCATATATCAACCAATTTTAAATATCAGGGTGGGTTAAATATTCCCTTCAACACAAACTTTCAGCAGTTAGCATCACGATAAATGACACGACTGCTATAAGTACTGTCAAACACAAAGTATTTAGGGCTCTTTGTTAATTTTTTGTTAATTAATATCGGGTTCACGTACAATCGGCCATTAAAAAAAAAAAAAAAGTGACCAAAGACCAAAACATTTTGGATTAAAGGGATACTGTAAGAACAGAGTTGTGGGCTGCCTAAGTCACGAGTGCTGGGGGTTCAACTAGCCCCAGCACACAATTAATAATAACTCTTCATGTGCTGTGTTTCAAGCAGAAATACTGCACATACATACTCCTACCACCATGACCACTTAATATAAGTGGTCATGGAGATTGGGGTAACCCTTTCAGCTAAAATAGTTTTGATGCCTATAGTATCCCTTTAACAACTCATGCCTGAAAGATTGTTACAAAGTAATGTTGAGGTAAAGGTAAAAGAAGGGTAATAGGTTAAAAAGAAAACCAACCAAGAAGAAACCAAGTAACCAAAACCATCCCATCCAAACGCCGCGAGGCGAGAACCATACAACATGTAGTTCAAGCCACCGAGGCTGTGGTGGCTCAATTTTATTGAAAGATTTGGATGGTCGACTCCTGCACTTCGTGTCTGCAAGAAAATCTTGTCTACTTGCAAGAAACAGTTGATTGCAGCATGGGTGTGAGATAATGGGATTTTAGCAGTTTATTTCCATAGAAATTCTACATTTGAAAACCGTATGTATATACATAAAAAATGTTTATAGACAGACCTTAGTGGCTAATTGTCGTTCTATAAAAAAAAAAAAAAATGCGTATTTAGTTTTATTTTAACAAAACTGTTTTAGAGCTTGCAGTTGAAAACCTGTCCTTTTATCGTTACACCTAGATGAGACAGGAGTATTATTAAATCATGTAGTCTCAGAAAGTGTTTATTACCGTCTAGCGGGGGAAAACCAGGGAATAAATAGTGTTACGCAGTTCCCTCCTAATCTCTACAGTAGACGTTAAAAATTCTGCATTTGCTAATTATATGGCACTAAATATTACATTTTATAACATGAGACACAAGCTTGATAAAGATCCGGTAGGGTCGAAACGTTGCTGTTTTTGCCCCAATAAAGCTGCTATTTCTGTTATGCCAGAGTACTTGAACCATTATTTTTTCTGCATATCTTGGAAGGGAGGACTGGCCAGTACTGGCTTCAGAGCATCTAGGTTATTTGGTGAGTGCGGTATCCAGTACGTTTCTATGAATTGCTCTGCATAGACATACATCAGTCAAGGCATATGACTTGATTTTAAAAGACCAGGAGCATTATATGGTGAAAACACTGTTCCTTTGTAATGTCACTATATTTACGGGTGACACATACTGTTAAACATACAGTTGCAAGAAAAAGTATGTGAACCCTTTGGAATGATATGGATTTCTGCACAAATTGGTCATAAAATGTGATCTGATCATCATCTAAGTCACAACAATAGACAATCACAGTCTGCTTAAACTAATAACATACAAAGAATGAAATGTTGCCATGTTTTTATTGAACACACCATGTAAACATTCACAGTGCAGGTGGAAAAAGTATGTGAACCCCTAGACTAATGACATCTCCAAGAGCTAATTGGAGTGAGATGTCAGCCAACTGGAGTCCAATCAATGAGATGAGATTGGAGGTGTTGGTTACAGCTGCCCTGCCCTATAAAAAACACACACCAGTTCTGGGTTTGCTTTTCACAAGAGGCATTGCCTGATGTGAATGATGCCCTCGCACAAAAGAGCTCTCAGAAGACCTACGATTAAGAATTGTTGACTTGCATAAAGCTGGAAAGGGTTATAAAAGTATCTCCAAAAGCCTTGCTGTTCATCAGTCCACGGTAAGACAAATTGTCTATAAATGGAGAAAGTTCAGCACTGCTGCTACTCTCCCTAGGAGTGGCCGTCCTGTAAAGATGACTGCAAGAGCACAGCGCAGACTGCTAATGAGGTGAAGAAGAATCCTAGAGTGTCAGCTAAAGACTTACAAAAGTCACTGGCAAATGCTAACATCCCTGTTAGTGAATCTACAATACGTAAAACACTAAACAAGAATGGATTTCATGGGAGGATACCACAGAGGAAGCCACTGCTGTCCAAACAAAACATTGCTGCACGTTTACAGTTTGCACAAGAGCACCTGGATGTTCCACAGCAGTACTGCAAAATATTCTGTGGACAGATGAAACCAAAGTTGAGTTGTTTGGAAGAAACACACAACACTATGTGTGGCAAAAAAGGCACAGCACACCAACATCAAAACCTCATCCCAACTGTGAAGTATGGTAGTGGGGGCATCATGGTTTGGGGCTGCTTTGCTGCGTCAGGGCCTGGATGGATTGCTATCATCGAAGGAAAAATGAATTCCCAAGTTTATCAAGACATTTTGCAGGAGAACTTAAGGCCATCTGTCTACCAGCTGAAGCTCAACAGAAGGTGGGTGTTGCAAAAGGACAATGACCCAAAGCATAGAAGTAAATCAACAACAGAATGGCTTAAAGGACCACTATAGTGCCAGGAAAACATACTCGTTTTCCTGGCACTATAGTGCCCTGAGGGTGCCCCCACCCTCAGGGACCCCCTCCCGCCCGGCTCTGGAAGGGGAAAGGGGTAAAAACTTACCTTTTTCCAGCGCTGGGCGGAGAGCTCTCCTCCTCTCCGCCTCCGTTACGCCCCGCCGGCTGAATGCGCACGCGCGGCAAGAGCTGCGCGCGCATTCAGCCGGTCTCATAGGAAAGCATTTACAATGCTTTCCTATGGACGCTGGCGTGCTCTCACTGTGATTTTCACAGTGAGAAGCACGCAAGCGCCTCTAGTGGCTGTCAATGAGACAGCTACTAGAGGATTAGGGGGAAGGCTTAACCCATTCATAATTATAGCAGTTTCTCTGAAGCTGCTATAATTATGAAAAAATGGGTTAACCCTAGAAGGACCTGGCACCCAGACCACTTCATTAAGCTGAAGTGGTCTGGGTGCCTAGAGTGGTCCTTTAAACAGAAGAAAATTCGCCTTCTGAAGTGGCTGAGGTCAGAGTCCTGACCTCAACCCGATTGAGATGCTGTGGCATGACCTCAAGAAAGCGATTCACACCAGACATCCCAAGAATATTGCTGAACTGAAACAGTTCTGTAAAGAGGAATGGTCAAGAATTACTCCTGACCGTTGTGCACGTCTGATCTGCAACTACAGGAAACGCTTGGTTGAAGTTATTGCTGCCAAAGGAGGTTCAACCAGTTATTAAATCCAAGGGTTCACATACTTTTTCCACCTGCACTGTGAATGTTTACATGGTGTGTTCAATAAAACATGGCAACATTTCATTCTTTATGTGTTATTAGTTTAAGCAGACTGTGATTGTCTATTGTTGTGACTTAGATGATGATCAGATCACATTTTATGACCAATTTGTGCAAAAATCCATATCATTCCAAAGGGTTCACATACTTTTTCTTGCAACTGTATTTAAGAATGGCCCCGTGGAAACCAGGACTGTGCTAGATGCCTCCATATCACCAGATCTAACATCATAGAACTTTCATTTGAACTTTGAGATTACAGGTTCCCTCATCACTCCTTTTATTCCTGAAGAACAGCAGAAAATCCCACTACACAAAGCTTAGGACTTGTTTGACTGCATTCCACAAAACACTTAAGCTGTTTTAACCCCTAAAGGACACATGACATGTGTGACATGTCATGATTCCCTTTTATTCCAGAAGTTTGGTCCTTAAGGGGTTAAAGAGTGCACCAGTAATTAGCTGCCCGATGTTGATATTTTATTCCTTCTTTTTTTCTTTTCTTTTTTTTTAAATGTGTGAGCCTATATGTGTCTATCAGGGTTATTCACGAACGTGAGAATTAAAAGAAAATTTCAAATTTAAGGCCAGAGTAGTTGAACTGATAGCATAACTTACTAAGAGAATTTTTCCAGTTAGGCTATTTTAACCTTAAATTTCAAATTGACTTTCAATTCACTCGTTGGTATCCCATCAGCACCTTCCAAACAAGCACAGGGCTGTAGAATATCATATATATATATATACACACACACACACACACACTTAATGAATTATCCTGTTAGTGTGTACAGTGCTTTTGAATGGCAGCAGGAGAAGTGGAATTAGGAAAGTCTCTGGGCCCACATCAAGGGGAATTTTTTTGCTAAAAACAAACATCAGCATTATAAAGGCCATTTCAAGATGCTGTTGCACTCCAACAAGTTTATTTACTCTGTGTGAGAATATATTTAATTTGTACAATCTGCTGGCATTTTGGGAATCGTCATTCCCAAGAATACCACCAAATTCCTTACCATACTATATCTACAGTAGTACAAAACAAAATCACACTAAAATAAATCAATATGAAAACAAAATCTCTAATACTTCACACCCTAAATATGCTTGCCCAGGGGAATGGAATAATGGACAAAACCATTGTGTGTGTAATATATTATATGAATAAATTCTCCTTCTTCGTTACCTGCACTCTGGGACTCCTCCAAGTAGTTAAATAACCTTTATTAACAAATCGCCATGATCAGCAATATAGATCAACGTTTCAGATCCCTAGGGAACTTGCCTCGGGACAGGTGACTGATCCTTGCGATTTGTTAATAAAGGTGGTTATTTAAATAGTAGGTTATTTAAATGCTGGGAGGAGTCCCAAAATGCGGGTAACTAAGAGAGAGAATTTATGTTTATGAAGAGCTGTTACTGAACACAAAGCAAGTAAATTCACAGTTGTTACAAGGTTGGAGTGCAGAGCTGTGTGAAATTATATATATATATATATATAATATTTTCAGCCATTCCTGACCATTAATCTATACATGAAAGTGCTGTCCGGCCCTAACCATGCATCCCATATTTTTAAAGGACCACTATAGGCACCCAGACCACTTCAGCTTAATGAAGTGGTCTGGGTGCCAGGTCCCTCTAGGATTAACCCTTTTTTCTATAAACATAACAGTTTCAGAGAAACTGCTATGTTTATATAGGGTTAATCCAGCCTCTAGTGGCTGTCTCATTGACAGCCGCTAGAGGCACTTCTGTGCTTCTCACTGTGAAAATCACAGTGAGAAGACGCCAGCGTCCATAGGAAAGCATTGTGAATGCTTTCCTATGGACTTGCTGAAAGCGCGCGCCTCCTGCCGCGCATGCGCATTCAGCCGAAGAGGAGGAGAGGAGGCGGAGAGGAGGAGGAGAGCTCCCCGCCCAGCGCTGGAGAAAGAGGTAAGTTTATCCCCTTCCTCTCCCCAGAGCCCGGCAGGAGGGGGACCCTGAGTATGTTTTCCTGGCACTATAGTGATCCTTTAATAAATGTGACGTTTCTTTATTTTTAAAGAACCCAATGCCCCACTCTTAGTATTAGAGAAGAATCCTCTTTGTTATTAATGGGCTCTACCTCTTCCCTCAACGGCCCCCACTGGGTGGATTATTACCCATATCCTGCTGCATGGGCGGGTGCGGGAAACATGGGTGGGACAATACCCTAGTAAATCATGGTTAATGAATACAGGGTCCTAAGACACTTTGTTTCCCTTAGGAATACCAGAAAGTATTCTGGAAATCATATCCATGGATTAAAACAGTTTGCATATGTCTAATCTTGTTGAATATAGGTTTTTAAGTATAGCGTGTATTTATAATGGGAGGCTTTGGTGCAATTGTTTAGTGTCAAACTGTAAGATAAGATCTATATAGGCTTTCTGTAAAGTATACTATAACCCAGACGTGGCCTTTGTATGCAATGGATACCTGTACAGATGTACAAATATTATGATAGGTAACCAAGGAAATGGGATGGTTTGGGGACCTAATAAAGACAACCTGTATTCCTTTGTAGGTTTTGCTTTCTTAAAATAAAGTCATATAAATAGTTTTTTTTCCGTGACATTAAGGTATGCAGAAGGACATCCAGACAATTTCCTGTAGAATATGGTCATACGACTCTCGTGGCAGAACGAGATAAATCATCATTGAGCTCTTTCGCCCTATTAGACCCATAGATTTCCCTTTGGTAAATTGAACAGGAAAAGTAACAGGGACCCATATTGATAAAATATGGGCATCTTTTTTCATAGAGCTCTCAATGTACTACCTTTTAAAAGACATTCTCTGGCTGTACTCCCTATTCAAAAATAGCTCTTTCACAGGGCTACGGGATGTTAAACCTCTTTGCGTCAAAATCATTTCTACTTTTGGAGCCGCAGTGTAACCGCAGCCTATTTACCACTATAACAACTTAAATTTAACGACTTTGCTAAATTAGTGGTACTCTAGTCTGTTGGTTTCAAATTAGTGGAGAAACTTAGTGATTTAAAAAAAACACACAACAAAGATTAGCAACCAGCGGTACTCTCCTGGGTGGGCAAAATTGCGGCCACAAATTTGTCTTCCTTTCCTTCAAACTTTGTCTGTAGCTATACAATGAACTCATTTGTTTATTAATAGTTTAGAACGTACAGCATACTGAATGTATGACTTTATGGCAAATATCAAATTTTTCTAACGCGTGATATTATTTTCATGAGATTATTTGTTTACGTCATATTGCTTAACTTCCTACTATATTGTCGATGTCTATTACTGTATCCCTGCACAACAAAAATGTCAAAAAATAAATTAAATAGTTAGCAAGGTTGCACAATCCTTTGCTGCAAAGTTTTAGGAAGCATTTCCTTAATTATAGAGTAGGCTTCCCTGTTCCGGCTTTAAAGCCATGCTAATTACAGGTCTGTAACAATTTAGATGCGGTTTGTTTTATGTACATGTACGTTTACAGGACACATGGTGAGGGTGGGCTGTTACCTGTGAACTGGGTACTAGGAGTACTGATGCGCTTTCCTCTTTGTTTGCAATCCCCCAGATGAGCTAGAATAATTTCGTTGACCGGCACGGTACCACTAGGACCTAAATAATAATAATTAAAAAAAAGTACATTGTTAGGAACACAGGTGGACCAGCACAGATGTGGTCCTTTAAAACATCCAACATTGTCGTATCGGCGAACAATGTTGTTACTCTAATCTAAGAGACAGATGGGGAACTTTTATTAAAAAAATGCAGTTTTGGTAATATGCATATGAGTTAAGTGGCAAAAATGTGTATGGTCTTTAGCATCTAAATTGGCAGATCTCAAGTACAGCTACAGAGCAACTATATACCTCTAAACATTTCCAATGGAGAAAGGGGAACACTTTCATTATAGGGATGTAAGTGGAGGTTTGGCCATTCAGAGACATTCTAGGCGACTTACTAATGACAATTTATGCAACTAAAATGTAATTTAGAACAAGAACCGTGTATCTTATTCACATAGACTGATTTCTAAACATATTTATTGTTGTTTGAAGAGACATTATTGTGAGTATTATTGCTGTGGAGCTCTGTTACACACTCAAAAACACCAACAATATGGAGCTCTAAGAAAAGTGTGACATTGGGATAGAAAACAGAGAGAGGGATTTGGATCCAAAATAGGGACTGTCCCTCTTAAATAGGGCAACTTGGGAGATATGCAATCAGCGTGGTCATATGTAGAAGCCATTACTCTACCACGCCATGTGTAATCATAACTATGGCTACCATGACACACCTTAAAGGAACATTATAGTGTTATTAATACAAACCTGTATTCCTAACAACTATAGTGTACCTCGATGCCGTTTGCCCCCTCACGCTGCACCTTTAAACATTCACCTAATTCCAGCATTGACGTTCCTTTGCACTAGCTTTGTCTCCGCCTCCTCTGATGTCATCGCAAGGGAAAACCTAATGCGCATGAGCAGTAGGTGCCACACGTGCATTAGACCTTCCGCACACAAAAAACATTGAATCAATGCAAAATCTGTATAAAGCATGAGGACGTCCAACGTCGTTTCATGGAGTTCAACTCCATGAAACAACAGAAAGTGCCTCTAGTGGCTGTCTGGAAGAAAAACATTGCAGTTTCACAAAACTGTAATGTTTTCAGCTGCAGGGTTAAGGGGACAGGGACAACTTCAATGAGATGAAGTGGTTTGGATGCCTATATTGTCCTTTTAAAACAGATTACACACAGATTATTGTAATCTACATTGTTTGCCTTGACTTTGTATGTGAACTCATACTTTCTGGCCACACAATGAACCTGAACGATTTAATTACACACTAGGTTTGGGACTGTACATAAGTTGATTTATATTACGTATGCCCTTGTCTGTGGCCACACTAACCTGGCTGACACGTTTTAGGCACCTACCGGCCTAAAACACTGACAAAGCGGTCACCTATAACTGTATAGCGGAGACATGATAGAGATTAATGAGGTTATTCACTAAACAGATAAATTATGGAGAATTTACACAATAGTTGCATATTTAAGGTCAAAATAACCGATTTGCAGAAATAGTGGAGTTCGAGAATGTTTCCAATTAGTTTTTTTAGGCCTTATATCCGGATTACAATCTTATTCTCCAGGATTAGAAAGATGGATCCTTACAGTGCCCTAAATCCCCTTTAGGCCTGTGCCTGACAAAGGATGCAATCGGACATGTAACCTTTATATGTGTAAATAAAGTCTCTGCATTGACCAGCTGCGTGCCAGACATCTTTGCATTTGAATAGAAAATAGAAGTTGTGGCACCACGCCTTAAGCGCCTGGAGGTACAATATAAATGGCTTAAAATTAATTGACAATGCATAACTACTATTTATTTTAAATCACACACCTGAAACTTAACTCTAGCACTGCAACGATGCAGAATTAAACACAGATAAACTCTTTAAAGACTAGACTTGTGGAATAAATGAATAAAACGCCACAGGTAAATCCCAGACAGATAAATTAATTGGGGCATGAATTTTAAAAAATGTAATTGTTCATACCGACTAAAAAGTATTTGAGCACAAGTCTTGTGTCTAATACAGACCATTATTTGCTAGACTTTTATGCTTTTAACGAGTCACTGTACACCAAAAAACTAATTTAACAGGGCAGCAAATGAAAAGCAATGCCCCAGACTATGTATAAGTCATATACAGCAGACAGGAAATCAGTCCATTCATCAACAAGGAATTCTAAAGGAACTGATTAATACATTGATTCCACTTTTGCAACATGTAAATTTAGCAAACAGTACAGCAGCACTTTTCCTGTGCTGTCCATCTGCCATAAATGTGTGATTTGTGTCCAGAAAATATAACATATAGGATCTGAGAACTCTTATCAACTAAACGGTGAGCTGTACTGGTCTAAAACAGAATTAACATTTTTAGGTTGAAAATATCAAAGACCTGAGTCCTGGCTAATGGATCCTAAGCGAATGAATGATTTTTGGCGTCTTGGAAATCCAGGACTCCCATATGAAGCTGATCCTGCCCTATTATCTTAAAAACTATGCCAACAGCTCGTTTCTCTGTGGTTGTTCCAATGATTCATGATCTCCCTTAGTTGTGATTTTCGTTACTATTGTAAACTTATAATAAAAAAAAGTGTAAAAAAAAAAATAATAATACAAGGGACCTCTTCAACCTGGCTCTCCTAGTGTAAAATTTGGCAATTCGGTTGTCCATTTTCCCAGAGCTCACTGCTAAGTGAATTTACCCCTCTAGCAATCAAACGGCAAACATTAGCCCAAAATAAATATTCTAGTTTGGAATAAATGTGGGATAAAGACATTTATTAGATCAACTATTTTAATCTAACTGTTGCAATTCACTGGGTAATGAATTACCTCCATTGAGATGCAAATGTACTGCTTTTGTGGCAGCAATACGTTTGTACATATCACCCACTGACTGCCATTAATTAGAACTCAGTAGACTGATTGACGATCCTCTCCCTTTCTTTGTTTCTGTGGTTTTGTTTAACTTTAACTAAAGTTATATTACTCACTCTATACCCTAAGCACAACTTGAGACAAATACATGTTGTACTTTGTACTTGCAAACACTGTAACTTCCTTTCTTATAGTGCCATGGGACAAAACAAGGATTAAAAAAAAAAAACACACACACACTTCTTTCATGTAAGTATTATTGCCTACATTTTTGCCATTTGTATTTCAATTCCCCAAAATAAACCTGAAAAATTGAAAGACAGATTTTTTTTTTTTTTTTTTAAACCAGTTGGCCCAAATGGTTTGACCGGTTTCCCCTCTCATACCTACCTTATAGGATGATCCGCACTGCACATGCACTGTCTGTTAGAAACATCAAATTAGATTTGATCAAACTTCTGATATTAAACATTATTAACGTCACTCCTGCTGAAAGGTTATTCCCTATAACCACTTCTACTTATCCTCTCTCCCATTTTTGGTTATGAGACCCAACATGCCTTGTAGTACCTAGAAAGATTCTTTATCCTCCAGCAGGATAATCAGTAGCATCTGCCTTGATTAGTTCACTGATTTCCCGAGTGCAGCATAAATGGATTCCACATACTATAAGAGCAGCAATTTTCATGCCCTGCCCATCAGCATGTAGAATTTTACACTTGCCCAGGATAACGTGATACATTTGACAGCGCTGCCCACAACACGCTTTGTTAAACACAATCACATACCTTTCTTTCACTTGTCGTTCCTTCGTAATATACATGAACGAAGTTGTGGTGAGACAAAAAAAAGTGATAAAACTCTACTATGGATTTAGTCCAAATTACAGATATTTAGATCGTTTTTTTTTACCTGCACATGTGACACTAGAGCATCCCTTAATACAGTTTTTACCTACCCTTTTTACTCCAGGCGGATTTCTTGTGGGTGACCCAATTCAGGGTGTTATCCCGGAGCACCACGAGCATTTCATATCCTTTTACCCGCATCAAAGCCTCCATTCCGTATTCTTGCATGGTTGGCTGGAAGTAGCACAAAGAGCTTCTTCAGCTGCTGGGGATAAAACACAGGTCTCCAGTATGTTGGTCAGTACGGCGTTTCCTAGTAGTCTTGTCCTCTCAGTTCAGTCCATTTATTATTTGATCTTTAATCTGCTTTCAGTTTTACGGAGATACCTTTTCCCTTGCTGTATATCAATACGGACACATGAATTAACATTGGCTAGATTGTATATCTCAATGTCGACGTTCTACATTTCAATTCCTCACTGAGCTTGCCGGCTGCTCAAATATTAGCATTACCCTAAAAGCTACATGTCCTCAGGCTGGTCAGGTGTAGAATGTCACAGATTTTTTTTTTCCAGTGTCTTAAAAATGTCCCTGTTCCTTCTACCTATAGCTGCCCGACCAGTTTCTCTTCCTCTATATCCTCCCCCGCAGCCTCTAAACACTCCCACATGTGGTTACTGTTACAAACAGGAGTACATGACAGTATAGGGATACACATACTGTTTTGTTTATGTTTGGAGATGTGGTTGAGATGCACTTGCATGTTTGTGTACACAACAAGGGTAGCGATTGCCGTCCTGCAGCTAGGGCAAAGATTGGGAGGATAGACATTTTACATGTCTACTTGAATGTAAGATACGTAATAGTTTAGCGATAAAAAAACCAAAAAAAAAAAAAACACATGCAATTAAACCATAACTGTAATAACTGCTAATGGGTCTTTGTAATTTCATCGTTTTATACATCTTTTACAGCCATAATTTAAATAAAAATAAATTCTTCATTCCAATAAAGCACCTTCTTAATAAACAAAATAAATATGTCTTGACTTAACCCAGTATATAAAAATAACAATATAGCAAGTGCTCAACTTGTACGGGCTAATTAATGGATCATGCAGTTCTTATTTTTGGACCTCATTGACCCCTGTATTGTGGTAAAATACAGTATTTTTGGATCTAGTTATTCCCTTTTTATTTCATTTTTTGTTGATCCGTAGATGCGATCGTATGGGATGTGATGACATCACAGGTTATGTTCTAATACGTGATGATGTCACATGTTGTATTTAAAAATAGGCTGCAGGGACACGTTCAACGTTTTGGTATTGATTTCCTACAACTGTTTTTAATTCTAAATCACTAAAGTGCACCTTTAGAAGGATAAAAAAAAATAAGAACTTGAACCAGTAGCTTTGAGATCACTCTTGAGGAAGGCTATGTGCCGAAACCTTGGGGCTTTGTAGTCTCCAGCTCTGAGTTAGTAGACCTGAAAATATACATTTTGGGGGGTTAATGCCGTGGCTCTTATAAGGTTTATTTGATTATTTGTAAAGTTTACATTCAGAATGTTTGTACTTTATTTCAAATGTATTTTTGATATTCTATTGTATTAATAGAAGCTCTTTTTGTGCAATACTTTTTGGTGTGCTTTGGGTTTATTCTTTATGTTGACTTAAAGGAGCACTATACTGTTTTCCTGACACTATATAATCCTTGGGGGACCCTCACCCTCACGGTCCCCCTCCAGTGGCGCTGAAGGGGTTAAAACCCTTTCAGCAGCTTACTTTAATCAAGCGCCGGGCTCCCTCGGCGCTGGTGACCTCTCCTCCCACGCCGACGTCAGCTCCCGCGCACATTCAAACTGTCTATAGGAAAGCATTTCTCAATGCTTTCCTATGGACGCTCTGCACGCTCAATGCGAATTTTGCATACAGCGTCGCAGAAGCGCCTCTAGCGGCTGTCAGGAAGACAACCACTAGAGGCTGGATTAACCCTGCTATGTAAACATAGCAGTTTTTCTGAAACTGCTATGTTTACATGTGAAGGGTTAAAACCTGAGGGTTAAAACCTGAGGGACGGATTTAACACTTATCTCAATAGGATGGTTTCTGGTTAGAGCATTGGCGAAGGTAATTAAATAGAAGGGAAACCTATCAAAGCCAATATTTCTGTAAGGAAACCAGTAACCCAGAGATTTCTAAATATAAATATAACTTTTTTTTTTTTTCAAATTTAAAATGTATAAGTTGGCTCCTCGTGTATAGTAGTCATACATTTCTTAAAGATGTTTATTCCAATCAACCTGTCAGAAGTATCCTATGTTGTATAAATAGTTATTTGGGGCTCAGTGTTTAATTGATTTAATTGTTTCTGCCTATCCTTCAATCCCCATGATAATTATAATGTACTATGCGTGTGCAGGTTGTACTTAAAGTGTGTGAAATTTATGCGGTTTACATTTTTATGTGGTCTGAGTGACTATAGTGTCCCTTTAACCCACAAACACCAACCTCGGTCCCCACTGAGGTTAAGAGGGCTAGATGGTGCTTTTAACACTATAGGGTCAGGAATACATGTTTGTGTTCCTCACCCTATAGTATTCCTTTAAATATGTAATTATAAAAGAATTCTAGACACACCCCCGGGTAATGTGTGATATACAACCATATAAAAAGTGTTTGTGCATGTTAATGTTTAATCACATAATGTACAGGGTATATCGGACATGCTCTTGGTATTACAATAGAATGTTTTTTAAATATATGAATGTTCTATAAGCCTGAATGAGTCACTGATAATATAATAATAGCTTGGGATGTGTCTGGTAAGCAGGCACATGTTGTGTGAATGCATGGAATCTTGGCGATGTGACCTACATTAAAGCCCATTTGGTTACATCTAAGGAAGTAATGGATATAAAATAGAAACATGTTAGCTATATTTAAAAGCAATGATAAGGATTTAGATTTTTCTACAATGAATTAAATAGGGTTACATGGGGCAGGACATTAAAGGACCACTATAGTGCCAGGAAAACATACTCGTTTTCCTGGCACTATAGTGCCCTGAGGGTGCCCCCACCCTCAGGGTCCCCCTCCCGCCCGGCTCTGGAAGGGAGAAAGGGGTTAAAACTTACCTTTTTCCAGCGCTGGGCGGGGAGCTCTCCTCCTCCGATCCTCCTCTTCTCCTCCCCGTCGGCTGAATGCGCACGCGCGGCAAGAGCTGCGCGCGCATTCAGCAGGTCACATAGGAAAGCATTCATAATGCTTTCCTATGGACGCTGGCGTGCTCTCACTGTGAAAATCACAGTGAGAAGCATGCAAGCGCCTCTAGCGGCTGTCAATGAGACAGCCACTAGAGGAAATAGGGGAAGGCTTAACCCATTCATAAACATAACAGTTTCTCTGAAACTGCTATGTTTATGAAAAAAATGGGTTAACACTAGCTGGACCTGGCACCCAGACCACTTCATTAAGCTGAAGTGGTCTGGGTGCCTAGAGTGGTCCTTTAAATAATACCCAACAGAGAACCTGTTTGGCACCTGTGACTATCCATCACACTGCTATAATGTCCGAATATCTATACGATGTAATGAATTTAGATACTTTTATGACCAAATATGTTCAGTTCTAGCTCAAATAAAAATTTATACATAATCTCTAAATGTACCCCAAAACTGCCTTTATTGAATTTTTTTAATGGCGTTTTCGGATCACGTGCGGATTTTCTCTGAAGTTTGCAGTCCAGGAACACATTAGGACAACCACAAAACAGCACAACAGACACATCCAGTACAATTAACAAACACACAATATGCCACGTATTTCAAGTACACAACATAAAAATGTAAACCGCATACATTTCACACACTTCAAGTACAACCTGCACACGCATAGTACATTCTAATTATCATGGGGATTGAAGGATAAGCAGAAACAATTAAATCAATTAAACACTGAGCCCCAAGTAACTATTTATACAACATAGGATACTTTTACAGGTTGATTGGAATAAACATCTTTAAGAAATGTATGACTATTTACACGAGGAGCCAGCTTATACATTTTAAATTTAATTTTTTTTTTTTTTTTTTTAAATATTTATATTTAGAAATCTCTGGGTTGCTGGTTTCCTTACAAAAATATTGGCTTTGATAGGATTCCCTTCTATTTAATTACCTTCGCCAATGCTCTAAACAGAAACCCCAGGTTTAACCAGAAACCATCCTATTGAGATAAGTGTTAAATCCGTCTCCTCGGATGACTGAGTTCTATGGGAAAACTGATAAAAGAGCTCTAACATTAAAGTAGATCAAGCTGTCGTTTGTTTGTTTTTGTTTGTTAGATTAGTGCAAGCAGATACTAGCACCATTGGCCATTCTTTAGGATATGCTTTCCAAAATCACAATCTGTTAGGAACAAAAGATGCCTCTCTAAAGATTCCCATATATTTTAATGATGACTTCGGTTTACAAATCATTTCAAAAGACTTTCTAACAGATTGATAACTTTAAAGCTCACCCATAAATAAATAAATTGAGGCCACTGTTGGAAAGTAGACAAATGGTATAAGTATCAATAAAAAAAATAAAAAAATAATAATAATAATAGCAGCATAATAAATATAATAAGAGCAAAATGAAATACAAAGTTGTATTTCGATTCCTAAATACCAGATAACAAACAGTTAAATAGACATTATGTTTGCATGACAATGCCACTTTAAATAGCATTGACATATTTTGTAGACCCAGTAGGTGGTCACGGCAAAAACAAAAGCTTGCTTGGCCTCTGCAGACAGTATTAACATAGTTAATAGATTTTCTCTTTTTAGGTTCGTGCAGTCTTTTCATGACCACCATCTATGGTGCTTACCCCTGGTTTCCTGCTGACATGATGGGTTCAGTAGACAATCCTGTAAGTCGGGGAGGGGGGGAAAGGGTTGTCAGTAAAACACGTAGAAGCAATAGATTATGTATTACTACTGATTTTAAAGTTTATGATTGCGATAAAGATCTGGAAACAAACAGTTTGAATGAAATCTGACATGTAAACGTGTTTGGAGAAAAAAACAACCAACCAATATAAGAAAATGGCATTCAATGTCCTCTCTCCAAAATCTTATACACAATACATCAACTGTGTGTTGCCTAAAGTGCTGTAAATTAATCAAATATGTGTGCAGCGTTGCGGAGTTTGTTGGCGCTCTATAAATAATAATACAGTGAAATCATTTAAAATCAAGCAAATAAATAAATAAATACTTCCCCTATAAGGAAATATAAACCCAGAGACTCTCCTTCTGTCAACAAGAAAATCAATATATGTAATAGTGGAAAGAATTCGAACATAAAAAAATACAGGACCAAACATGGGCTTTGATTTTAATATTTTTGGATAAACACACAAAATTGAGGCCTGCACTCAAACTCCCATTACTCTTGGGCGGCAGCAATGACTATAGTGCACATCGGCCCCACTACATACATAATTTTTTTAAAAAAAGAAAAAAAAGTTACTTGTGCACTATTCCAAACCCACATTAGATAAAATTATAAAAAGTTTTACGTTTTTTTTCCTCCTTTATTACCAATTTCTAATCAAGATATATTTTAAATTCAAATACATATATACAATATTTTTAAAGGTTTTTTTATTTTAATACTGTAATCCTCAAGTTTTATTTTCAATGAAAATAAATATATATTATACAGCAGGCTTACATGCCCTAATGTCAAACTTTTATTCACTCATACATATATTAAGGTAAAACCTATTAAATTTAAATCAGATTAGAACCAATGTTGTAAAGGTGTGCGCAATGGTTAGTTCACCATTAGTTATGCTTTATACGGTTTTCCTTTTTTTTTTTTTTTATTAATTTTCATATTTATTATTTTTTTTAACAAATAAATAGGGATCAAGCGAAGACAGAGTCAGGACTAGCCAAAAGTCAGGTCAGGCAGTGCAGGTTCATAAAAATTAAATCAGGCAAAAAGGGACAAATACCAAGAATACTATAGACGACGATAATAGAACTGAAGTACACGCTACTAATGAGCAGGCCTACTCGGGTCATGCCAGGGACTCACTGGTTCAGTGTCACGCAGGAATAGAGGGAGACGTGGCAAAAGAGGATGAGACAAGTCAAAAGAAGAACGGGGACAACTGCTTATAAAGCACTACCTGTGGGCGAAGCTACGCAGTGCTACGGAATGTTACGGGAGCGTCTTGATTGGTTGATTCACTTCCTAGTCTGGGCGGAGCTCACTGTTGAAGCCACAACAGAACTAATGAAAAAAAATAAAACGCAGACACTTTAAATTTATCTATATAATAAATGTAAATGAACTATCTCCACATTGTAGTGACCCTTTAAACTTCAATTGTCTAGCAAGGTTTGACAGTGGAAAACCACTGAAAGGAATGATGACATTTTTAAGTATAACTCATTGAAATGCTTCAAACTTGGCTTTTTCTTCCATCCTTTTGCATGATAGATAAGCTGCATAAGTTTAGGCATCATGGCGATGTAGTGGTTATGGTACCAGTAGGCTACAGGCATCGTTTCTAAATTCTTTGTCAAACGGTTTCCACATGTTTGTGTCTGTCAGTATATCCGGTGGAGCACCATCAAATCGTTTTGTAGGAGGCCCCAATGTTATTGATCGCAATCTTGTTAATTACTGTCATTATGGTATTTAGTATGCGCATGTTTTTATTTTACTTGTACATGTGGCACAGATATATATGCAGAACACACAGGACTTGCCATCTAGTGTTTAGTAATTAGTTGCTCAGTAGGTGCGCCCAAATGATCAATTATCTGTGCAACCCAAATGAGTTTTACAACGCTAGATATGGTAATTAGGGTATAAGAAGCTTTGACCTAAAGACAAAAATGCACTAATTCAGTGAGCTATGATGGCCTTGTCCACATGCTCACAATCTAAAAGAATGTCTAACTGCCTGAGACACTGAACTGCCAATGGAATACTGTCATCTAACCGTAAACTGTTTAGATTTAGAGAAGCCAGGATGTAAATCCGGGTTTTGACCTATTGTTGGCAGTCAGCTGGGAGGTGTGAACAGGACATTTATTGTTCTGTGTACAAAGTCCTGTAGCAGGATGTGAAACCAACACCTGCACATCTATCTTCACTCTGTTCTTGTGAAATGTTAGCACCTTATTTGGGGCAAAATATTTCTCAAAAGAGGAGTTTCACAGCAATGACAATCTGTAATACCATGATATTTGTTCACTTGCACATCAGAGGCGAAAACATGAAAAAGGCTTCAAAAAGGCACATTAACTACAGATCACAGTTTGGGGATCGGGGTATATAAAGAAGAAAACAAAAAACAACACTTTGTTATTGACTCAAGTTAGAAATTCAAAGTGAATTTCAAATTTAAAGGAATACTTCAGTCACCATAACAACTTCATCTAAACGTAGTTGTTATGGTGCCAGAAGACCCACTCCCGGGCGCACTCTTACCTTAAGAGGTTAAACCGTTCTCGAACAGTTTGCCTCCCCTTTTATCAATGGGGAGCTACTGATTGGCTTAGAGTGACAGCTGACCATGCTAAGCCAATCAGCGGCGCCCTTGCCTGGCAGCACGGGGACATGCAGATCAGTGCTAGAGGCAAACTCTGGGATTAAACCATTCACGAACGGTTTAACCTCTTTAAGATAACAGTGTGCCTAGGTGCTTCCTGGCACCATAACAACTTAATCACATTAAGTTGTTATGGTGACCCGAGTGCCCCTTTAAGACTAAAACAGATAAATTCTTCAAAATCAGCTATGCTACCAGTTTGGCTATTTTAGCCTTTAATTAGCGAATAATGCTGTCTGTGGAATTACTGCTCTGTTCTAGAATGAGGGATTAATTGGCACAATATACTTACTAATAAAACTAATCTGTGTTCTGCTATATTAAAGACAGAAGGAAGGTACATGTGTTGCGCTGTAACTCCGGTTACACAGAATGGGATATGAAATAATGAAAGACATGCAGATTGTCAGCTTTCAGGGTATTTACATCCAATGACCATATTATTATTATTATTATTTATTATTTATAAAATATTTTACCAGGAAAGATACATTGAGATTTCTCTCGTTTTCAAGTATGTCCTGGGTCCACAAATCATTGCATTGTTACATTAGGTACAACAAAATACAAAAACAATATTAATACACAATATATACAAAATTTAACATAGAACAGGCAGGAAATATATAATCAACCATGACACGTGCATTCTGTTTTGAGGTATGTAGAGAGGGATCTCTTAAATGACTTTAGGCTTAGGGAAGATTTTAAATTGTGCGGGAGGTCGTTCCACAATTGCGGTGCTCTGTAGGAGAAGGAGGATCGGGCCGCTTTCTTTTTGTATTGAGGTAGACTAAGTAAAGTGCTTGTACTGGATCGGAGCTTATAGAAAGTGGGAACAGCTGGGGAAAGCATTTTGTTCAGGTAGGGTGGGAGTTTCCCAGAAAAGCTCTTAAAAACAAGGCTGGAAAGATGAAGGGTGCGTCTGGATTCCAGCGACAGCCAGTTTAGTTCCTTTAGCATGTCACAATGATGGGTCCTGTAATTACATTGTAGCACAAATCTGCAGAATGAGTTATACAATGTGTTGAGTTTATTAATGTGGGATTGCGATGCAGATGCATATACTACATCCCCATAATCAATGATTGGCATCAGCATTTGCTGTACAATCTTTTCCTTTACTGTAGGGCTTAGGCAGGCTTTGTTTCTGTACAGGGCACCTAATTTTGGATAAAGTTTAGATGCAAGCTTTTCTATGTGCAGGCTAAAAGATAGATTGGGGTCTAATATCATACCCAAGTATTTGAAAGAGTGGACTGCGGTCAGTGTGCCATTTGAATTTGTTTTGATGGATAGGTGGGAATTGTGTAATTTGTGTAATTTAGGTACCGTTCCAAAGATCATTGTGACAGTTTTGTCAGTGTTCAGGAAGAGTTTGTTTTTTACGATCCACTTTTCTACCTCTGTAAACTGGTCTTGGAGCAAAGCCTCAAGTTGAGGTAGATTGGATTTGCTCGCATAGATTACCGTGTCATCTGCGTACATGTGTACATTTGAGGATTGGCAGACATTAGGCAGATCATTTATAAATAATGTAAATAGTAGGGGGCCGAGAATGGAACCCTGGGGAACACCACACGTGACTGGGAGAGGGAGGGAGTCACTGTCAGAAATGGACACATATTGCGAGCGATCCGATACATACGATCGAAACCAGTTTAAAGAATGATCACCAATACCTGAGTTTTCGAGTTTGTGCAGTAGAATGTCGTGGTCTACTGTGTCAAAGGCCTTAGCAAAATCAAGGAAAATAGCTCCAGTTAGGGCTCCTTGTTCCATGCCAGTTTGGATGTCATTGCAAACTTTTAGGAGGGCAGTTGTAGTGGAGTGATTCTGGCGAAAGCCCGATTGATCAGGGGTCAGATAGTTTAATTGTTGGTAGTACTCACAAAGTTGCGTATGGACACATTTTTCTAAGATTTTTGACAATACAGGGAGCAATGATATTGGGCGATAGTTAGAAACCAAAGTAGTGTCACCACTTTTATGGATAGGCACTACTCTCGCAGTCTTCCAAAGTTTGGGTATGTATCCAGACACCAATGATTCGTTAATTAGAGTTGAGACGGGTTTAGCAATTGCCGGCGCACTGAGCTTCAACAGCATTGCTGGGATTTGATCAGGTCCGGACTGGTTTTTCATTTTTAGATTATTAAGATGTTTTTTAATGACACTAACAGGTACAGGTCTAAAATTAAACTTATCTATATTGGGCCTTTGCAAATTTAGTGGGGCCTGATCCACATTTGTAGTTTCAGGATGCGTGTCATTTATTAGCTTGGCAATCAGGGCAGTAGAGCATCCGACAAAATAATTGTTAAAGGCATTTGCTACATCTAAGGGAAGTTGCAGGGTTTGGTTACCCACTTTGACAGTGGAGGGTTGGGAGTGGATTGGGGGAGTTTGTAGTTTATTTATGACTTTCCAAAAGTTTCTAGGGTTTGAGATGTTACTGTTCAGATTTTCATAGAAATATTGGGCCTTGGCCAGTTTTGTCTGTTTTGTGCATATATTTCGCCATTGTCTATATGCACCGTGATCATTCATAGAGCCAGTACGCTTAAATTTTGACCACAAAGAATCCCGAAACTGGTACATTTGGATGAGGTCAGCTGTGATCCAGTTCATATGCGCTCCTTTTACCCTCACCTTACGCAGCGGGGCATGCAAATTCCAAATTTGTAGGAGTTCAGACTGAAAGTATTCAACAGCACAGTCTAGATCTGGGATAATGTTTAATCTGTGCCATGGGAGATTCTTGATGTCATTTAAAAAGGATTCAAGATTAAATCTTTTGAAGGACCTAGTTATTTTAACCTTGGGAGAGGATTTAATAGCCTTTATTTTGCGCACGCAGTACACTAAACAGTGATCACTGAACGTGTTTGGGAGAACACCAGCCTCCTGGATTCTATCAGGAGAAGTGGAGAGAATCCAATCTAGCAGGGTATGGTTATGGCTTTTTATGTTTATGCGAGTTGGGGAGGAGATTAATTGCGTTAGCTGCAAAGTCTTAAACAGCGTGCAAGAACTATTATTTTTAGGGTTCAGCCAATCAATATTAAAATCTCCAAAGACCAACAGTTCACTTTTTGGGTTTTGAGCTATGGTTTCACTAAGGAGATGGGCTATGTCAGATAGGGAATGCACAGGGGAGCTAGGTGGGCGGTAGATTCCTGCAACAATGATTGATTTACTGCACGGGATCTCAATTTTGACAGAAAGGAAATCAAAGATGGCAGGAGGACTAAGGTTTTGTAAAGGGGTAAACTTTATGGAATTGTCAACATAAATAACAATGCCTCCTCCTCTCTTTGCTCTGTCATTTCTAAAACATGAATAACCCTGTATTGCAATGGCGGTGTCTGGTATTTTAGCCGTTAACCATGATTCTGAGAGCACAATGACTTTTGGTTTGTAATGGGAACACCAGGCTTGCAGTGCATCCAGTTTAGGGAGTAAACTATGGATGTTGCAGTGCACAAAAGAGAGGCCTTTTTTAGTGGGGAGATTAGGACTAGAATTAGCTGGGGGACCAGGGTTAGACTCCACATCATTTGCAAGGGCAAGTAACATAAGGAGTAGGAATTTGGACATCATCTTTGTTTGGCCATATAGTGAATGGGATAATTTATAATTTTGTGAGTTGGGGGTAGGAGGGCTATTTTTTATAACTCTCCACCAGCACTCAGCAGATAAGTTAAAGGAACAGAGCAGGCCATGGTGTATGATAATTGGTGTTCCAGTTTGAGGTGCGTGCTTATGCTGGTAGTGGTGTGAACAAAATTGGATTGAGAAAAGGGTTATTAAGAATAACAGTATGGTTATATTAGGATTCATGTTAGTGGTATGAGGTGTGTAGTTGAAAATGAAACAGAAATTGTGAGAAATGTTTATTTTTTAATTTTTTTTTAAATAGAAGTATATGGTTTTAGTGTGTGATATATCTATTTGTAGGAAACGGCAGCCCTTTCTGCATATTATTAGAATTACTTTCATTTTAAAGTGCAAAACATTTTCAGCTGAGCTGTACAACAGTACATTATCAAACAAGAGATTAAACATTGTACCAACAGGCAAACAGGTAGAAAAGGGATGGAGTGGGGAGCCTGACAGCCAACTGAAGCAGTCGCATTGGTGCTAACTGTGGCCCCAGCTGACAGAGGACCTCCAGGTATGGAAAGTTACCTGGCGCTCCTTGGTACCAGCAGAGTTTAATTCTGCTGGTACCTTTTCTTCATGTGTCACTGGATGTTACAACACAGTCATGTGGTCTCCAAGTTTTTAGTAACAATAGGAATTATTGAGCAGCGAGACATTAGAGGACCACTATAGTGCCAGGAAAACAAACTCTTTTTCCTGGCACTATAGGGTCATTAGGTCCCCCCCCCCACCCTCTCCTCCCCCTGCCGACGTCAGATCCGAATGCCCATGTGCGGCAAGAGATGCGCGCGCGCATTCAAACCGCCCACAGGAAAGCTTTCCTGTGGACGTCCAGCGTCTTCTCACTGTGATTTTCACAGTGAGAATTGCAGAAGCGCTTCTAGCGGCGGTCAGTGAAACAGCCACTAGAGGCTGGATTACCCCTCAGTGAAACTACATTTTCAGCTGCAGGGTTAAAACTAGAGGGACCTGGGACCCAGACCTCTTCATTGAGCTGAAGTGGTCTGGGTGCCTATAGTGGTCCTTTAATAAAAAAAAAAAAGAGAGAAACAGAGAGATCTCATAATGTAGCAGACATATAACAATATAGTAAAATAGGCTTAGAAGTAGAACCACTCACATGGTCCAGAGCCATGTACAAGCTCTGTGAATACAGCATATTAGTGTGCCTTTCAGGACTCTGACAGCCAGGAAAGGTAAACAGGAACCAGGTACCAGCAGGTAGCTCCAAAGGTTATTTTTATTCCAGTATAAAATTCAATCAAAAACAATAAAAGCAGGACTGTGCCAGAATTAACGTGCAGAAAGAGCAAAGCTGATATTTAGTTTCTCACCACTGGCTGGCCCCTCTCAACAACGCGCTTCGACTAAACAGTCTCAGAGAGGCACACAATATAACAAACTAAAGTGCGTTTAATTAGTCCATTGTAGGTGCATTGTTAATGTATATCACTCAAAGCATGTGAATAAAAACTATTTTTTTTTTTTAATTGCCATAGCTAAATAATTAAAGTGACAGTGCTATTACGTATGTATGAACAATACATAAAGTAAATCTGCTCTGTATCAATATAAATATTCTTATGGTGTCATATGGTGGAATTGCATGCCAAGATAGATTACATTTAAAAAAATATTTCAAAATGTAAAATTTTATTTTTGTGTGTGGTCTGTTCCTTAATCTGTATTTTAGATAATTGGATAGACAAACTTGTTTCCTGGATACATGCGGTGAAAATTAATATGCTTCTAGGGACTCCAGACAAGGGTAACAAAAAAAATAAAAATCGGGCTCATATGCAGTAAGCAACTTACAATATTATTTGGAATATGAAAGTTTTATATGAATTGCCTCTTGTATTGGCCCAAACCAGTGGGAGGCTTAAGATAATGCATCTTTATCTCAACTTTTTGGAAGAACAAATGGCCCAAGTGGTCATACGCCACTCCCCTGCAGACACCAGATGCTTGGCGGACCTAGAGTCTCTTATTTTGAGTCAAGACTTGTCTCCGTTCTTTATAGAAATATCCTAAGGCAACAGGGCGTACCTAAAGACATCATGAACTGCCATTTTAAATTTGATACAGGTGTGGGATATCTGCAGAAATTATTCCCTGGACCCTCTCTCTTGATCCCTATATTAAGGAACCGCTCCCTTCTGCCCGACATGAAACCCAGATATTTCAGAAGAGAATGTGAAGGGATTCAAATATACACGGATTTAAAAACGAGACAATAGTCCAATTACATTCCCGGAGTTATAAGCTTCTTTATCCCTTTTCAATAGAGACTTTTTAAGGTTTTTGCAAAACCAATGATTTCGCCCATAGAGCGAAAGTTAAAGAGGCAGCATTGTTTCCCCTCACCATGTTTGAAACACGATGTTCTGTTGAGTCACAGGAAAAGGGTCTTATCACAACTATATATGGTAATTTGTGTTCCAGCTCCCCAAAACAGGGAGAGCAAAAATATGTCCAATAGAGATATGGGAGGTGTGTTCCAGGTCTCCCATGTATGTTATTATGCAGGAGCAGTTGTTTAAAACCCTTTTCTGGTGGTACACTACGCCTGTACAGCTATAAAATTTGAGAAAAGTTTTCACGGACACTTGTTGGTGAAATCAAGGAATATAATCACACATGTGGTGGTTCTGACCTAATATAGAGCATTTCTGGATTGGGTTCAGGGCTTGCTGTCTCAAGTATATGGTACATCTGTGCACTTGGATCCTTGCTGTGCAAGCCTTGGGATATGGAGAACGGCTTATTAACAAGATTTCCTTAGCAGCCCGTAGGGCTTGACTAAAGGCAGAGATTCCTTGTATGGCTGAAGTAATGTTTATCTTTCCTTACCTTTTTGTGTCACTTTACCCCACTCCCTCTAGCATGTAAGCTCATTGAGCAGGGCCCTCAACCCCTCTGTTCCTGTGTGTCCAACTTGTCTGGTTACAACTACATGTCTGTTCGTCCACCCATTGTAAAGCGCTGCGGAATTTGATGGTGCTACATAAATAACATAATAATAATAATGTTTAAGGTCCAGGATACATATCTCATATGTTGACTGCTCATGTTTCTTTAATAAAACATGATGGAAATGGCAAATTTACAAATTAATGTGAGGCTGGTTGTTTTATGGAACGAAAACCACCTACAGCCTACCACAGCACACCCCCCCCCCCAATCATTTGTCTCTATTTTTTCCTCCTGTCTGATTTTTCTCTCTTAGCTACCTTCTGAGTTTAGACTTGTGTAGTTATATTTTTTTTACTGTCAAAAACGATACCAAGAATATTTATAACTATGTTTTTCCTATGTTCTTACATCTCGATAGAAATCTGGCTTTGAGGCACAGTTCAGTGATTTTATGTGTTGATCAATGTAAACTTCTTGATTCGTCGGTGTATAACATATATGAATATAAATGTTCCTGTGACACTCAGCTTTTTGAAAATTAAGAATAAAAAAAGTAATATTAACACACACAATAAAGCGGTTTAATGGTGAACATCAAATTCAAAATTGTGTGCTAGATTGTATTGATCAAAAACATAAAACAGAGGCCTGTGATGTGTTATATCATCGCTCTTGGTAAATCTCAGAATTACTCCTCGGAGCATGTTTAAATACGTATTAAGGACTTTGACCTACTGATGATAATGCAGTTTGTCAGTTACACAACTATAATGACCCACATTTGCATTCCTTCTCTGTGCAGAATCCTGTGCGTAACAATTCTAACTAATCCTAGAGAACAAAGTTCATTTAAACCTAGAGAATTTGTAAATCTCCTAAAGGGAGAAAATGTGCTCTGTACAAGACCTGACAGGTTTGGCCCAGACTCTCCAGGTTTAAAGTTGGGCAAGGCACTATTACTTGGCAGGGGTTAAGGCACTGAGTTCCAACCACGTCTTAGCCAAGCCCACCTACCTTCGTTGTGACCCTTTTTACTGTATCAGGAGTTTCAAAGAACCGGCACAGCCAGGCCATTTCCAGCCTCTCAAAATACTTTATGTAGCCTGCAGCCATCATTCCTAGTATAACTGGGGCAGTCTCAAAATACAGAGGAGTGTCCAATTCCCATGCAAAGCTCTTTATATCGTGGGCTGCAGGGGACATGTTTACAGGGGTTTAAACAAAGTTTTATTGACTAGGTAACAGTATCTGTTTGAGCTGTGTGGTCCAGCCAGCCACAATATTAAAGTCCCAGCAGTGTGTATGTATAGAAGTATATAAGAATGTATAGCAGTGTATGTACAGTGCATGCAACTTTGTGTGATTGTGTCTATGTACAAAAGGATGTAGCTCTATGTGGACAGGTGTGCATGGGAGTATGGAGTATTGGAGAAGATGACTTCTTGGCCAGTGGCCCCTGGATCAGCTGAATTTATTTTTTATAACTTGTTCTTTATTATTTTCAAGTAGTATGGGGTACAGAAGGCAAAAGGGGAGGGGGACAATACGAAATTGTGCATCCTGACCCTGTTTGTAAGTAATACATAAATTTTTACACATATTGCAGTGCTTTTGGGTCGGGGGCTGTAACACATTAGGGACCGTAAGTTATGTGGGGGGGGGGGGTTCCTTTGCGTGATTCAAACGGTCAGTGGTTAACATGTCTGTTAGTATTGGGGGGCCTGTGAACTGTCTTGTATTTGTGTTCTGACCGTGGGTCGGTTTGGGGGTCTCGTTGCTCAGTATCTGTTGAGTGTTTTGTCTTTGTTGGTTCAAGCAAGGTTTGCGAGATGGCTGTGGTCGTGGGATGATCTGTGGCTAGTAGCTGAAATATGTAGCTCTACCAGGACATCCTTGTCTAGGGTGTCAGAGTGGGTGGAGGAGGCGGGGGGGGGGAGCTTGGGGAAGGTGTGTGGATGGGGTAACAAGGGGGTATTTGGTGCGGTACCAGGAAGCGTTATTGTGTTTGTCAAGGTGCTCTGGTGGGATGTTAGACCTAGTTGGGGTCTGATTTGGTAACATTATTCTTGGTCATGTTAGCCTTGTGTCGCATTAGGCTGTGCTGTTTTGTTTAGGTGTTGTTGACTTTTGTAGGTGGTTTCTCCACATCTCGGCAATGGTTGGGCTTAGGTTCCCTATGTTCATTTGGTTCCACATAAGGAGTTCGTAGTCTACTGTTGCAGACATTAGGGTCGTGATTTCTGAGACTGAAGGAAGAATGGGGGTCTTCCAGTTCCTGGCTATCAGGGTGGACACTGTGCTGAGTATAAGGAATATAATTTTCCGTATTGGTTTGGGGATGTTATCTGGAAATAACTTGAGAAGCACTGCTGCTGGGTCGTGTGGTAGGGTGTAATCTGTGATGTCTCGGATCAGGTGTTCGTTGGTTTTCCAAAGCTTGTTTACGGTCTCGCAGGACCACCACATATGGAGCATAGTGCCTGCTTGTGAATTACAGTGCCAACATATGTCCGTTGTGTTAGGGTATATGGAATGTAGACGGGAAGGTACCATGTACCACTTAGAGTATTTTTCGTGCTGTCTCGAAGTGGGTAGCACAGGTGGTCAGTCCTACGTGTGCCGTGAAGATTGTCTCCCATTCTTGCGGGGTTATTTGTCTCTGGACATCTCTTTGCCATTCTCTCATGAACTTCCAGTCAACTTCTAATTCCAATTTGGGGTTCACTAGGAGGTAGTAACAACCTGACAGTGTTTTCTTTGGGGGTGTCGTCGCTATGCATTGCAATTCAAACTTTGTTACCGAGGCTTGTAGAGTCTGTTTTCTTGTACTGACCGGGTTTTATGGGAGTAGCGCTTTTATTTGGAGGTAAGTGAACGTGAAGTTCGAGGGAAGTTTGTACTCTGTTTGTAGGTCTGGAAAGGGTTTTAGACCTTCAGTTGTGTAGAGATGGTATAGATGTGTAATGCCCTTCTCGTTCCATTTCTTGTGCGGGAATGTACCGTTGCAGTGGTGTAAGGTCTTGATGGGGGCAGCCAAGGCCCATGGGTGGGCCGAGCATAGTTTGGATCAGCTGAATTTAAAACAGAATATATTCCTTCTATGGCAAACTCCACCGTTTAGGGTGGCACAAGCCTCTTCTTTACGCTGTGGGAAAATGAAGCAGGAGATCTCCAGGTCATTGATCCTTTAAAGCTTTCAGGAATAACTGTTTGTGTGTCTGGAGGGCAATAGCCAAATGGAGAGTTACCCATTTTTTCCCCTGGGCCTCCTTCAAGGGAGCAGCCACTTCATCCCAAGACTCAGACTCTGAATTAGATCACTGTCACAAAGGGTCTGACACCATCAACAAACCAATATTTATAAAAGTAAATCTATTAGGTAGCTCTCAAGGTACCTAAAAGCCCCACATATCGGGCTTCTCATTTACAGTGCTGTGTCACGGTACCAACAATGAAAAGCAAATCCCCTGAATGGTCGTCTTGATTCCATACATGTGGACTCTGGACAGTGCATGTTGGTTAACCGGGGCCTTAAATGGATAGCATTCCCCTAATGGAAACTACAATACCCATCACCCCTCTCTGACCATCCTGAAATTAGGCAGTACACTTACTAATTAAAATGTAATCATGTTTTAGATCCCTTACACTGGTAATACACTAGTTAAAGGGACAGAAGAGTCACCAAAACAAGTTCAGCGTAATGAAGCAGTTTTGGTGTATAGATAATACCTCTGCAGTCTCACTGCTTAATTCTCTGCCATTTAGGAGTTAAATCACTTTGTCTATGCAGCCCTAGTCACACCTCCCTGCATGTGACTTACACAGCCTTCCGGAACACTTCCTGTAAACATTCATCTAATGTTTACCCTTCCTTTATTGCAAATTTTGTTTAATTTAGAATTCATTATCTGCTGCTATGTTAACAGCTTGTTCAGTCCTGCAGTAGCCTCCTGTATGTAATTAAAGTTCAAATTACAGAGCAGAAGATAAAAACTTTTAAACTAAGTTACATCGGATTGAAAATGAAACCATTCTATTTTCATGCAGGCTGTGTCAGTCACAGCCAGGGGAGGTGCGGCTAGGGCTGCATAAACATAAGCAAAAGTGTTTTAACTCCTAAATGGCAGAGAACTGAGCAGGGAGGATGCATGAGCATGATCTATACACAAAAAACTGCTCCATTAAGCCAATATTGTTTTGGTGACTATAACCACCACAATTGGTACCTGTCTTTCTACTTAATATCATCTTACTCTTTCTTTCTCAAGCATGTTCATTACTTTGCATTACTTTTATCATTCACAATATACACTTGTAGTATACCTACTAGCTTATCTTTAACTATCGCTTGATTCTATGAAATATTTTGTAAGATCTACGATACTTGTACACTTTATTACTGTTATGAGTATGCTGTATTTTGCTTTAAACATATATATTTTATCCTGATATTATGATGAAACTTGATGTTGATCAATAAAAAGCAACTTAAGAGAAAAAAGATAATATAAAGACTAAAATAAGAGTTGCAGTGCAGGCTTAAGAGTTACCCGAGTTGAAGAAGCAGTGGACCCTAGCCCCCCCCCCCAATCCTCAGTCAATCACAGTAAGCATCATAAAAGAGTTTTTATTCACAGCAGGAGCACTCTAAGACCCTCTAATCCTAACATTGGGTTACTGTGTTATGTGCTCTTAACGTACCCCACACAGTAGTGATGTTCTCTGTAGTAAATAGCTCTATTATGCAGCCCTGCTGGTTTCAAAGTGCTGACTTTATGGTATCGTCATGCTGTAAGATCACAAGGAGGCAGCTTGGGATGGAGCGATACCACATTGTAAACTCTAACACCGAATGCAATCAAACATTTCCAGTACACCGTGTCTCGGAGATAGATTTACAACCCACGGGGAATTGAACTTAGAAGTCTCATCTTTTATAAATACTTTCAACTCAAATGCATTTGCACAGCTGTAAATATCCACTTTGTATAACTGTACAGCACTACGGAATATGCTCGCACTATATAAATAATAGGAATAATAACAAGCCTAAGAGGCTGGAGCAGAACCAGAGTCCATTGTTCCAATGGGTGTATATACACGTGAACTGTTAAAGTGAACCTGCAGTGAAAATTTAAACTTACCCTAAATGTTCCCATATACATTGAATACATTGTATATTACAAAAATACGTGATGTATTCAATGTAAAATATAGAGATTTATTCACCTCTCCTCCGTTCCATCGCCGCCTTTTGGGTATTTCTCTTCGTGTAATAGCCATCTCCCACCATCCTCCACTCTTCTTTAATTTGCCCTGCCTTGGGATGCGTTGGCAGTGACGTTGGCACGGCACTGGCATGACCGCGTTGGCACAGGGTGATGTCACGTCACTCAGCACCCTTTACTTTTCTAGGCTAGAGAGTTTACATAGCAGACAGCAGAAGGACCTCCTGTGGGCAGCCTCGGCATGGACTGACTGACAACTGGGGGAAAAAAACTATTTTTAAACAGGTTTTTCTCCCAACTTATATATTCACTGGCAAAACTGCTAGCACGATGTATAGATTTAATGTTATGCTCTTTCAAAAGACCATAAATAAAAAAAATCAACTGCAGGCATTCTGCTCAAAGTCTGCAAGTGGAACTAAAATCACTGCCAGGAGTGTGATCCGCTGATATGAGCACGCAAAGTTATATTTACATGGCCACCTATCAAAACACCAGGTTCCCCCAAAATACGTTGGGAACTTGCCAAGCAGCCTTGATGGTCTAATGGTTACCCATACAGGACAAGCGCAGGGCAAAACAAGAAGAAAAAAAAATTCATTAAAAAAAAAAATTCAAGAAAAAGAACATCTGATGTTCATCTGCACATCTAAAAAAACTGGTCAGACGGTATAGATTTATAATTGTTGCCAGGTTGTTTGGCTAAAGTGAAGGCAGGTTAGGTGTAACAACTGAGAACACCCTTGGCTCACTTTCACCCTGACTTCCAGTTACCTGGTTTATCTACCTGTCAGTCACAGGTAAAAATATATTCTACGTCAATTACCGTAACCTGTGCAAGCCTTAAACATGCCTCATATGCCAGATTCGTACACTCTTTTCTGTAGAACCGGTTCTTCGTAGTTTAACCCCTTCAGTGCCAAATTTAGTAGTTAAAGTGAACAGGTCATGTAGTAGAATTTAACGTATGCACTTAACTAGTAAAATTGCCAGTGAATTACCTGGAAAAATAAAGGAACATGCCAAACAAAATATGTAAGTTATGATGCTAGGAGGACACCTGTCCTCATCACCCTGCACTTATAAACCCACTCCCTCATTCACGTCAGAGAGAAGTTTGTTTCCCTCGCCCATACATAGAAAAATCTCTGGTGTGCGCCTGCCGGGTAGGAACATGTCATGCAGGTCATCACGAACCCTAATTGGCTTCTTCGTAGCATTGTTAATTTTGGCAGCAAATTTCAATTTAGCTTTAGTCATAGTCTTTTGACTAAAAAGCCATTTTAGTTTTAGTCGTATTTTAGTCATCTGAATTGTTTTAGTTGACAACTAAATGGGTTTAGTTAAAGCCTCTGTCTACCTTTCGCCCCTTCCTCAGCCACTCTGTGTCTCTTTGTGCTCCCTCAGCCCCTCTAGGTGTCTCTCTCACAAGCCCCGGTCTGTCTCTTTTGCCACTTACAAACCCTTTTGTGTGTCCCCCAACCCGTTTAGGGTGTCTCTCCCATACCCCCCAAGCACAGGTCTGTCTCTTTTGCCCCTTTCCCAGCCAGCAAATTTCAAGTATCCAGTAGATTTTAGTTGACATGACTAAAATCTAACAGATTTAGTTAAAGCCTCTGTTTATCTTTTACCCCTTTCCCAGCCCCTCTGTGTCTCTGAGTCCTCCCAGCCACTGTAGGTGTCTCTCTCCCAAGTCCTGGTCTGTCTCTTTTGCCCTTTCCATAGCCCCTCTGTGCAGTGTTAATTTTGGGGGCAAATTGCAATTTAGCTTTAGTCATAGTCTTTTGACTAAAAAGTCATTTTAGTTTTAATCGTATTTTAGTCATCTGAATTGTTTTAGTTTTAGTCTACTAAATCTACTAAAGCGGACTAAAATTGTTCGTCAAGAAAATTAACACTGCTTAGTAAAGATCTAAAAAATGAGCCAGTGCAGCAGCAACCAGCAACAATATCTATGGCTCTGCCACTTCTTTATGAAATACACATACGGACTGCGTTGGAATTTCACAGAAATTCTGACGCAGTTCAAAGACACCATAAAACAAAACGGGAATTACTTTGTTTGAAGGTAAAAATCGGTCAAATCCAAACAGCTTTTACAAGTGACTGAGTGCGTTTCATCCCTGTGACTGTGCATAAATAAATGTGGAAATTCACATGTGCAGACGTGGCCTGCCATGAGCGAAAGTGTTTGTTGTTGTGTTCACATTGCACTCTTGGTGTCACAAGAAGTAGGACATGTATTTTAATGATCTATTAAATAGGTGCTGGTGTTGTTTAATTAAGCATTATTTAAGTTCTGGATAGTTTTGTCTTGGGGTGTTCCTGTATGAATGATCGCTAAAACAGATTCAAAATATCAGTTACCATAAAGGGGTTAACAAAGTTGCTTTTAAAAGAAACTGTTTGGGGGTCAATCTGTATTTTTTTCTTAATTCTTTAGTTTAGATTTTTTTGTTACAGTAAACAATGTTGAGCTGGACAGTCACAATGTATGTCATGCATGCGACAGTGATTGTTCCGTACATTGTGAAATGCACATAGCGCGACACAAGAATAGACTATTTATATTCACTCAGACAGATAAAGGTTACGTAAGAGGTTCAAATCATTCAACAGACAAATAAAATGCAATGTCAAAGTAGTCTCAAGACAGGAGACTTGGAATAATATTAAGGAAGGTCGACACGTTTTGTGTGCAGATCGACGTCCCATGTAGGTTATTATTATTGCCATTTATATAGCGCCAACAGATTCCGTAGCGCTTTACAATATTATGAGAGGGGGGATGTAACTATAAATAGGACAATTACAAGAAAACTTACAGGAATAAAAGAGGACCCTGCTCAAACGAGCTTACATAATGGTGTGACCACTGGCAGATCCAGGGGAGGGGGGGCAACGGGGCAATTGCCCCCCCCGAGATTCTCCCCTGCCGGCTAATGCAGGGCTGGCATTGTCCAAGTGCCAGCCCTGCAATGTGCCTGCGAACCGGGGAGGGAGATCAGAGATCTCCCTCCCTGGTCTGCAGGCATCGTGCAGGCAGCGGAGGGAGGGAGAAAGCCTGATTCGCCAGTGGAGAGAGGACCCGGGAGCTCAGCCTGCAGCTCCTCCAGGTCCTACTCTCGCGAGCACGAAGCATTGCTGCGGTTACCACGGCAACACTCCGGATCTCACGAGCTACAGGCTAGCGTTCACCTCACCACCACTGGAACCACCAGGGAATCCCCACCGGACCACCAGGGATGGAGAAATGTCCCCCCTCCTCCCTCAGTAAAGGTAAGAAGGGAGGGGGGACATAAATATGTTTATTTTGTTAAATAATTTTTTTTTGAAAATTATTATAAAGCCTCCCTACTCTTCTTCCCCCTCGCCCCATACACACACACACACTGCCCTCCCATACACACTGCCCCCCACACACTGCCCACCCATAGACACATTGCCCCCCACACACTGCCCACCCATAGACACATTGCCCCACACACACTGCTGCCCTCCCATACACACATTGTCCCACAGACACATACAGTGCCGCCCTCCCATACACACAGTGCCCCCCACACATACATTGTACACCCATACACACATTGTCCCATAGACACATACAGTGCCCCCCACACACTGCTGCCTCCCCATACACACATTGCCCCACACACACACGACCCCCCCGTACACACATACAGGGCCCCCATACACACACACTGCACCTTTCACACATACTACTGCTCCTATGCCCTATATCCCAGCAGACCCCAGGTAGGTTGTCAAACTGTTTTAACGTTTGACTACTTACTCTGGGATGGGATCCTGGCACCATAACTACTACACTGAGCTATTTCTTTAAATAATCTACAAGTGCCTCTCCCGAGATCAGGCTCTGGATCCACCACTGGGTGTGACCCTAGGGGTATAGAGCGTTTGGTTGTGTCTGCCGCCTTATTTTTTATATATAATATAAGAGATATATAGATATATATATATATATATATATATATTTTCTAACAAACCTGTGTCTTATCTACACTCATGTCGCTTTAACCCCTGTATCACAACTCAACTTTGAATTCTATGTGTCGTTTTGCTCAGAAATGCTTCAGACTTGAGAAAGGGAGGTTCTCCCGAAAGCTTGTCATTAAAAAATTCTGTTAGTCCAATAAAAAAGGTATTACAAGATAAGAATTTTATCTGTTTTTTTACATCTATATATATATATATATATATATATATATATATATATATATAGATATAGATATAGATATATATATATATATATAATCTTTGATCCTGATGAAAGTCCTCTATGCAGGACTGAAACGATCGTTTTTTTAAATTTTCTAATAAATTTTTGACTTTTACAAGTGAGTGCTCCTGCCTATTTTGGATGGATATAAATAAATAAATAAATAAATAGAGGGAAAAAAAACATTTTCCAAGTTAACAAAAAATCCCCTTTAGATGCACAGTTTGTTGTGTCTGCCTGCTGCTACCCCAATCAGGGGTGTCTCATTATGGTCCCATAAACCCAGAAGGTTAATGGATAGTAATTTATGCCCCCAGAAGAACAAAGAATGAATGGCACTCTATATAAACTGTTAGCAGTTATATTGCCATTGTGCCGCAATCTTCCAAGAGGCCTGAGGCTCAGTTTAAGAGAGAGAGTTCAGCCCAAGTTGTGCACATACATCATGGATAAAATTAATATAAGGCAGCTGGAAATAAAGTTAGTTTTATTACCTTTTAAGAGAGTTAAGGGGGTGGAAGGAGGGGGGGGGCAACCCACCTAAATGTTTGTATTCCTGACCCTATAGTATTCCTTTAACCCCTTAAGGACACATGACATGTGTGACATGTCATGATTCCCTTTTATTCCAGAAGTTTGGTCCTTAAGGGGTTAAAGGTTATCACTATAGTGTCAGGAAAACAAACACGATTTCCTGACACTATGTGATACTTGGGGGACCCTCACCCTCAGGGTCCCCCTCCCGTGGCGCTGAAGGGGTTAAAACCTCTTCAGCAGCTTACCTTTATCCAGCGCCGGCTCCCTCTGCGCTGGGGACCTCTCCTCCCCTGCGATTATCAACTCCCGAGTGGAGCGGAATGCACATGTGCGAAAAGATCCGCGCGCGCATTCCAACACTCCATAGAAAAGCATTTCTCAATGCTTTCCTATGGACGTTCTGCACGCTGGATGAGAATTTTGCATCCAGCGTCGCAGAAGCGCCTCTAGCGGCAGTCAGGAAAGACAGCCACTAGAGGTTGGATTAACCCTGCAATGTAAACATAGCAGTTTCTCTGAAACTGCTATATTTACATCTGAAGGGTTAAAAACTGGGGAACCTGGCACTCAGACCACTTCATTGAGCTGAAGTGGTCTTGGTGACTATAGTGTCCCTTTAAGTATCTCTGAATATGCTGTTATTGTCATAGAATTATATGTTGACCCCTAAAAAGAAGGACCTATTAAAATGTATCCAAAAGGATTTAAAGGGATTCTCCAGTGCCAGGAAAACAATCCGTTTTCCTGGCACTGCAGGTCCCCTCTCCCTCCCACCCCCCATCCCAGGTTGCCGAGGGGGTTAAAACCCCTCCAGTGACTTACCTGTATCCAGCGCCGATGTCCCTCGGCGCTGGGTCAGGGTCGCCCATGCTCCTCCCCCGCTGACGTCATCCGGCAGGGGAGACCTATTGAGCATGCGTTGCAGGCGGCGGGGGAGACCTAATGTTCATGCACGGCAATGCCGCACACGCACATTAGACCTCCCCATAGGAAAGCACTGAATAATACTTTCAATGCTTTCCTATAGGGATTTCAGCGATGCTGGAGGTCCTCACATAGCGTGACGACGTCCAGCGTCGTTATAGCACACTTTTTGTGTAATATAAAGCCGGAAGTGCCCTCTAGTAGCTGTATAGTAGACAACCACTAGAGGAGGACTTAACCCTGCAAGGTAAATATTGCAGTTTATGAAAACTGCAATAATTACACTTGCAGGGTTAAAGGTAGTGGGAGTTGGAGATGTATGGGATGTATCTGTGAAGTGTGTGTGTGAGAGATGTATGGGTGTTTGTGTAGATAAAGATGATTTGTGAGTTTCTGGGCTCCCCACGCTTTTTTCTTTAACTGCTTTTCCTGGTGGGTCTATTTTGGGACATCACCAGTGACGCAAGTTATGTCACTAGTTACCCTTAGAAGTCGGGCCCCATCCCAATTCCAACTGAGGCAAAGTTGGCAGGTATATGCTTGTTAGGGTTTGATTTGCGGCACTCATTAATATGGCTGTGCGCCCAAAAGACGAAGATTTTGTTATGCTGGTGGGTACCTTATTTTTTCCCTACTCCTTTCTCTCTAGATTAGCCTTTTTTTGTCTACTCGATCTCTCCTACACACCCCATAAAATCTTTTTAAATAGAGCAGCACTGATTTTTAATAGTTATATCACGGGGGTGAGTCCCTAAAAATCTCAAGCCCTCGGTCAAAGATTGATTTACACAAGTGCGGGGTACGCCCCTGTCAGTGTGAAACAATTTTTTAGCAGTTTAACACTGATAAAGGATAACTGGCCACACACAGATTTAATGGGTAGATGTAATGGGTAATACGAACCAAGTCAGCATCCTTTCGATTGTCGAACTTTAACAGAGTTTTCCATAGTGACGACGTGAATGACAGCTATTATGTGTATTGTAAAATGTTTGTGCTGTTTTTAATAGCAATAGTCTTATAAAGCAGCAAATTTAAAATGCTTAGAGACACTTTTATTATAGTTTTAAAGTAAACTGCCTTCTTTTGCTTTTTAAATGAGTCTATGCAGCTGCAAAGCTTTAGTGAGTATATGTAAAAGTATATGGTATATGGAGATATCTTGTTTTTCTGTGAGACTACTTTTAAAACTCTATTTATGACACAAACAGTAGAATACTCCACGTAAAGGGACACTATAGGCACCCAGGCCACTACAGCTCATTGAAGTGGTCTGGGTGCACTGTTTCTGTCAGTTTGATCCTGCAATTGTAATTACTGCAGTTATTGAGAAGCTACAATAATTACATTGCAGGGTCTTCCAGACAGCCAGTAGAGGGGCTTCCGAGTCAATAAGTGGACTTTTGGTCACCTGATGTTAAACGTCCTTACGCTATGCATGAGGACATCCAGCGTCAGTTAAAACCCCATAGGAAAGCATTTAATCAATTAGGGATGTCCTAATACGATCACGGCGCTAGCTCATTAAGTTCTGGACATCGAGGGAGGGGGAACAGAGGCAGAGTCTGACCCAGTGCCGAGGGACATCGGCGCTGGATTCAGGTAAGTGAATTAAGGGTTTTTAACCCTTTGTGCGCTGCGGGGGGGGGCGGGGAGTTGCGAGCGAGGGGGGCACTATAGTGCAAGGCGAGGGGGGACATATTGTGCATGCGCCGCGAGCACCATAAATCACATTAGGACTTCCCCATAGGAAAAGCATTGAATCACTGCTTTCCTATGAGGTTTTATCTGATGCTGGATGTCCTCATGCAGAGTGTGAGGATGCTCATCGTCATTTAGCAGACCAAAAGTCACATAAAGACCCGGAAACGCCACTAGCGGTGGAGTGAACCCTGCAATGTAATTATTGCAGTTTCTCAATATCTGCTATAATTACAATTACAGGGTTAAGGGGACATAGACACTGCAACCAGACCACTTCTATGAGATAAAGCGGACTGGGTGCTTCTAATGTTCCTTTAAATTTTCGGTTCCTTGCATAGTCAAAGTCAACTAATACTGGAAAATGTTCATGTAAACAGGATCTGTCACTAGTAATACTATGTAAGTGTTTACTGGGACGTATAATGCAACGGAGGTACATAACACACTTACCTACACTGCACTTTTGTGGCAACTTCAACTCCCATTATGACTTGAGGTCGCTCGTGTGAGTTTGGGATTCTATGGAGAAATGTTGTATTAAGACATGCGCTCGAGAATTTCATTACTTCAGTAGATATTAACTTACCGAATTTCCCAAACATAGACCGGCTTTCTAACGCATGTGACGCTGGTGTGAGGCATCCTCGCTTACCGACCAATTCAGTTTACGACCCAGTCATAGTAACGGAACCCCTTCGGCAAGTGAGGGGTGCCTTTAAACGCATTATGAAAACATGTCTCTTTACGGTAGGGATGCTTTTAATTAAACACCGGGTTATTCACTAAAAGTGAGAATTTGCTGCAATTACAAGTGAATTTAAAACTAAAGTCCAAAGTAGCCAAACTTGAAAAATTCTCCCAGTCAGCTATGCTTCCATTTCAGCTACTTTTACCTTAAAGCAACACTGTCACCCCCTCCCCAAAAAATTAGTATTTCATAACGATAGAATCTTTATAAAAATACTTATATTGACTTTGTTGGAATTTTGACCGAGATCTCACCTGTGCGAGAGGAGAGCAGTGAGGTCAACGCTGAGGACGACGACACCGGACCAAGATGGCGTCGCCCGCGAAGGGCCAGTTTCAGTTAGGTAAACGCACCTTTACCTGCCCCCTTCGGCCACCAGACCCACAGTGGCGTTGTCACCGTTTGAGGACTTTGCGAATTCGGCAAAGCCCTTAAACGGTGACAAAGCCACTTTAAATGTGAAATTCACTAACTTCAGTAAAAAAAAAACCTGTACGACCCCTTTCCTTTCCATCTGTTTTTTGATTTTTCCTTCCCCTCCCCTTTTTATCTCCTATCACCTAATTATAGGTACAGTTACTTTTTCAGACAAATAACACTGACAGTGACCACATCAGGTATCTTATACCATACGTTAAAATAAAAAATAAATAAAAAAAAACAATACCATGGAAGTTCTAGAACTAAACCCAAACAGGATATATTGGCTGTCAATAGGATGTGCATGTATTGTACTGGGACAGCTGGGTGTACCAACATGGCCGCCGCCGCCATCTGCTTTGCAGACTCGAGCGCCCTCTAGTGGCCTGTAAACAAACCGTGTTCGCGATGAGCCAATCAGATGTACGGGGCCCAGGCTCTCACCAATCCACCGGTACAGTGATACAAATACTTCCGGGTATGTAACGGAAAGGGCGAGCCAGGAGAGCCACACAGACAGGGAGCCGTCCCGGACCCCCGGAGGGTAAGAGTGGGCATTGGTCCTTATCATTCTCCATGGCCAGCCCTGGATCTGTACTGAGCCTGTATTTATCCTGGTAACCATAGCAACCATCTACTGCATGATTCCTTCAAATGAAGATTCCAGAGTTAGAGTTCCATCACTACATTCTACTCTCACTGTTTTGTTTTTGTGTCCCCACCCCCCCCTTTTGAGATTAAAAAGACACTGAAAACTGGAAGTGATTCCCATTAAAAATAATGATGATAATAATACAAATTTATTAAAGTACCTGTGTTTTCTGCAAATCCAAAGGATTTACAGCATCCGCAGTGCACTCTCACGCATCCACGAAGTGGCTCAGCCAATCAGGCCGTTTATGTTATGTTCAAGGATGTTTTAGCATATTTTAGAAACCGTCGCCTGTAAGGAGAGAAGTATTTTAGAACTTTGCAGCAATTCCATTTACCAGCCTGTCGTTCACAGGTTTGTTTGTTTTTGTTTTGTTTTGTTTTTTAAGGGAACTGTACACGGTTATTGTTCTCCAGACATTTGACCACACATCATATAGCTCAGGATCATTCCTAGAACCAGGGAAGGTTTGGAGTCGGGTGGCATGTATAGCTCATAAATATTCCCCTGACGCACGTTTCGCCAATCTGATGGTTCCCCTCTGATGATCCTGATTGGCGAACCGTGCGTCAGTGGTGCTGACAAGCACACTTCATAGCCACTGTATCGCGAGTGAGCTCACGTTCGGTTTATAATGGCGTTAACAGAAATTGAATAATACCTCTCCCCCACATATTGGAGGAAAAAATGTCTATCATTACAATCTCCAGCTTTCTTTCATTAAATCTATTCTAGGGATGGGAGGCATTTCTTATACATCCATTTGGGAGTAACAGGCTGGATAAAGGGGTGCCCTCAAAGGCACAGAATTAGTATTTATTTTTCCTCTCCTTGCCATCACTCCTATTGACACAGACATGTATTGGCAGAGACTATTAGCTAATACATGTTGATTTTTTTTTTTTTTTTTTTGTTCCCACTACATTGCTGGACTTTTTTAGTTACACTATCGCTAGCAAGACCATTTAGCCTGTACAAGCATTTTCTGATATCTTAGTATTCCTATTGCAGCACAGCACATTGTTATATACTACCTTTTTTTATTAAAAGGGAGTGAGCCGTCCCTTTATCCCTTTGTCTGGTGTTTATATTTAGATTTTTTTTCTCTTCTCCTTATACCGCTGGTCTGCTACAGATGGTCTTTTTATTTTTTTTATTATCCTGAACTCCCAAAGCTCCAGCCTGTACTACCTTACTCTGTATTCATTATCCTTATATTTGGGTAGAAATACCAGATTTTCATAAACAGGCATTATGGCTACACTCAGGATTATTGTTTAGCAAATATGTCAATTTTATTTCTGTTTGAATTTTCTTTTCCTTTTCTGTTTGTCGTGGTGACTTATTTCACATCTTAATCACTATAAATTAAAAGTGAAGTTTTATTTTTAGAAATACCTAGCCTAATTGGTTGATATTTGCCACTCCACCGGCGATGGCGTTAATATTTCTTACTCTCTCCTGGCAGTTCTCTTTTTTTTTTTCTCATTTAAATTTTTTTTTACAAAAATGGTTTAATAGATATAACCCAATGAAAACGTGCATGCGTTCGTTATGCGTCTTGTCATAGGGATTATAACTAAAAACAGCTTGCAAAATCTCTTGTTTGCAGCCTTTGCACGTCCTCCCTTTTAAACCCGCCCAGACTATCTATCTATGGCTGTCCAATCACAGACTTCCCAATGCAGCTCAATGAGAAGTCTTTGCAAGGCAGGTGCTCTGAGCATTTGCCTTGCTCCACTGAACTAACCAAACCAGGAAGTAACCGGAACCGGTTGTCAGATTGACAGGTGGGCTTGGGGGGACATTAGAGTGCCATTTTTATATTGATACCTGCACTTTTTGTAAAATTGAGGAGGGGGAGGATGCACTTTTCACACATAAAGCACTTCATCAAGCTGAAGTGCTTTAGGGGACTGCAGTGTCCCTTTAAGAGGGAAAGGCGTTATAGGTAAAAACTGAACTCAAGCGACATATACCATGTGTTTTACAGGTTGCAATCCAGTATCCTGGACCAGTGTGAGGCCATGTAATAAGTTGTGGAGCAAGGGATGTAATGTACCACTATATAATGGCATACTGTGCTGCTTGATTGACAGTCTTGGTGGGTTGTCTTTAGCGGCAGCAATAAAACAAATAAAAAAAATAATAGGCTGAGGATACTCCAAGCACTTTGCAATAATGCAAAGTGCATGGGGTTCTTAGAATGACCCTTTAAACTTCAATAAATGTGTTTGAAAATTAGTCTGTGTGTAAGTAAGATACTTGGATCTTGTTCTCAATTGCATGTTCCGTTAAGTTAATGGCTATCAGTAGGTTGTGAAATCACCTGTGCCCTGTAAATGCCGTGCCCTGGATGCGTTTCCAGCTGCACCACCCTTTTGCTAACCTTTGCTAAATCAAATAGGGTTTATTATTGATTATCATAAAAGCCTAAATTGTGAATCTATATATAAATGAAAATTAAAAATTGAGCTGAAACTTTTCCGATATTTTAATATTCATTTGTTCTGATTATTATTCCATTAATTTATTTATCAATATAGTTTTAGTATTTTCCCAGCGCTGTATTTAGTGCAAGGCAACTTGACTTACACGGGGCCCAAGAGTTGGCCGGCTGGCCAACCTTGAACCCCCCCAGGGCACCTAGACAGTTTATTTTACAGACTGGAGGAAGCGTAACCCGCAGTGATGTCGGGAGGTGGAATGTAACGTCACTCGGGCGCTCGGCATCACTAAGCGACGTGCAAGGGAGCTGAGCAGGAAGATCACGGCTCCCTCGCCACCTATTTTGCTCACCCACTCCCCCCCCTTGCCTGCCCGCCGTCCATCCTGCACACCTACCTGATCTCCATCCTGCATGCCTCTCTGTCGGTGAATGTGTATGTATGTCTATCAATGTGTGTCTGTCAGTGAGCGTGTGCGTGTCTTTCAGTGTGTGTCTGAGTGATTGTGTGTGTCTGTCAGATTGTGTCAAAACAGTGAGTGTGTGAGTATGTGTGTCTGGGGCAAATTTAAATTAGGGGGTGCCCGAGTTCTGTCATGCCTAGAGCAGCATAAATTCAAAATACACCACTGCATTTCCCTGTCTCTAGCTTATGCTATGAGCCAAAAAAGTGCTTTAGCAGTGGTGCATTCTTGGTGATTTCCTGAATGCAGGACATCTCAGTTGACTCTTTGTTAAAACAACTTGGCATGAGGGGAAACTGTACACAAAATATAACGTTTGCCCGTATACATCTTAACATAAAGGGGATTAAAAGTGTGCGTCTTAAAGGACCACTCTAGGCACCCAGACCACTTCAGCTTAATGAAATGGTCTGGGTGCCAGGTCCAGCTAGGTTTAACCCATTTTTTCATAAACCTAGCAGTTTCAGAGAAACTGCTATGTTTATGAATGGGTTAAGCCTTCCCCTATTTCCTCTAGTGGCTGTCTCATTGACAGCCACTAGAGGCGCTTGCGTGCTTCTCACTGTGATTTTCACAGTGAGAGCACGCCAGCGTCCATAGGAAAGCATTGATAATGCTTTCCTATGATCCGGCTGAATGCGCGCGCAGCTTTGCCGCGCGTGCGCATTCAGCCCAGGAGGAGGATCGGAGGAGGAGAGCTCTCCGCCCAGCGCTGGAAAAAGGTAAGTTTTACCCCCTTTCCCCCTTCCAGAGCCGGGCGGGAGGGGGACCCTGAGGGTGGGGGCACCCTCAGGGCACTATAGTGCCAGGAAAACAAGTATGTTTTCCTGGCACTATAGTGGTCCTTTAAATTCCATCTGTTAGATTTCTTATGGAATATGCCATTATTTACAAATCGTTTATTATTGTTTATTTTGTTTTGATATTTTTATTTACTTTAATTAAAACATATTATGTAATTTATTACTTTTTAGAATTAACATATGGTACCTTTTTTTTTTTTTATATATATATATATATATATATATATTTTTTTTTTTTTAATTATTTTTTTAGCACTTGTCACATGTCTGATGCCAAAAAACTATCGCATTAAGGTTCCTTGGAAGGTACTCTTGTCTAGTCCTTTGTCATGAGGATATTGAAAGAGATTTGGTATGCATCAGTCTTTGCAAGTAAAAACTTGTTGTTGTAACTCAGAAGTTTCATTTTGAACTTCACTACCTACCCACAGATCACGCGAGAGCAAATATAATCCAGATAAAGGAAAACCAGTTTGTCCTGCTGCATATCGATCATGTCAATCCCCTGTAAAGACGTAGGCATTTACCTTTTTACAAAGCTGTTTCAAATAGAACTGAACAATTTTTTCCGTCACATTTGTTGTAGGATACGATCTAGAATAGAAAGCCTTGTGAAGGATTTGTGATGGAAAAGTGAGCTGCTCTCACATTTATTGTACCTCGTCTTTCTGTGTTTTATTGACGACCAGGGAACCCAACCACAGGGCACGACGAACATCATCATCATCTCACAATTATGCGTTTAGCAGGTATCTCTGTGTACTTGACCTCTATTACAGTGTATGCACTCTTTTGGTCACAGCTTGGTTAAACCCTGTACCATTCTCATAGGTCCTATACGTATTATTGTGGTCCTTCTCACGGTGGGTCTGACATGGATACTGGCTGGAGTTATGTTGGGGACACAAACCGGCTTCCCGCGGATTCAGCAGCTTCTTGGTGGTGAGTTTCAATAGCTTTGACCCTTTTCGCACATAATGAACAATGTAGATGTTTGATAGTAAAGGTGTTAGCTATTAGTACTCAAAGTGTAGCGAAAGCATTATATTCTATAATAATTAAAGTGGTATATATAGTTTGAAACTATAAAGTGGATTGTATAGTTTGGTTTTATATTGCTATATTTTCTGACTTTTGGCTCATTGTGCACAGGTCCTGACATGAGTACAACAGTAGGTGAGTATTTGCCTTTTTTGAGGTTCTCAATCCATAACGTTGTAAATGTCTTTGTTTCTCACTAACACGCATGTCTCGTCACCATGTATGCTATTCTTTGCACTCTCCTCATCCAAATGTTATCCATGACCACGACCTACAGGATCATGGGGCTGTGGTTGACACCTGCCAAATAGCCTAAACATCCTCTGTTCACAGTTACTACATACTCTTTTAAAAAGGTTAGATGATCTACAGCCATTTCTGCCTTCAAAATAAGATCCCTAACGTGCCCAGTTAATGTGTTCATAGGTGGAAATGGAATCCTAACTTAGAATTTTGAATCAGTGCCCATCAATTTTAATTTCCTCTGCTTTCTGATTTTCTGCTTGACCTTTTCCCTTCCACCTACAATCCTGCTTCATGTTACTATTTTGGTTTGCATGTCCACCTTCTTCCTTTCTATGATCACCTTTCTTTTTATCTTCTCAGACCCCCGTCCAAGAAGGTATAAGTGTGGACTTCACCAGCCCTGCCCCGAAAAGCACTTCGCATTTCGAATTACTAGTGGAGCTGCAAATGTCATCGGACCCAAGATTTGCCTGGAAGATCAAATGTGAGTCTTGGGTTTTGTTGGACTGGATGTGTTTGTTCTTAGTGGGCCTGTGGAGTATCTGCTCGACTAGTCTAAAGATTTGGACTAGGGGTTGGATTAGTGTAATATGAGGATGATTGTTTGCATTGAGTTGTCTCTCATTTTGTTTTTTGTATCGGTTGAATATTCTCGGACATCGAATTGATTGGCAATGGCTGCGCAAGCGCTTTCCTGTAGGGATTTCGGCAACGCTGCGTGAGGACGTCCAGGGTCGTTTAAAACACTTTTTGTGTTCTAAGAACACGGAAGTCCCTCTAGTGGCCGTCTGATAGACCGCCACTAGAGGAGGGTTTAGCCCTGCAAGGTAATTATTGCAGTTTATAAAAACTGCAATAATTACACTTGCAGGGTTAAGGGTGGTGGGAGTTGGCACCCAGACCACTTCAATGGGCAGAAGTGGTCTGGGTGCCTGAAGTGTCCCTTTTAATGGCTGTCAGCACCATCCAATAAAAATTTTTTAAAGGGTAAGTCTGAATTGGAAATGAATGTTGTGCCAAATCCTCTTTTATTCCGAATTTTTAAATCTAGGATCCAACCACAAAAACTATGACGATTTAATTTAATCCTAGATAATGGACTTGATGAAATATTTTTATAGATTGAAAGGGGAAAAAGAAACTGTTTGACATAATGTTGACGAGGCTACAGGTGCATGTTGGTTCTCATGCATAAGCTGTCAGCAGGGTACCGAAATGCAATTATTTGAGCCTTTTGAATTTTGATGATTTAGGATAATTTTATCCATTTCAAACGGAATCCATCATCAACATGTTATATAAACCAAACTGGCGTTCCAAAAAAGCAGCATGGAAAAGCTATGTTCAAAATGAGTTTATTTAGTTTATTTTAGGGTTTAAGTCCCTAAATATCACATTGTAGTGCATTGAAAACTGAGATGTAAAAATTGGCTGAGATGAAATAATTCTCCAAGTCATCTACATCACAGCTTGTGTATATATCCCCTTGTTTTTTTTTTTTGTTTTTTTTTTAACAAATCTAAAATCAATATAAGTTTATTAATTAAGATTAGATTATGTAATTGCTTTTACAGCCAAATCTGCATTTTTTTTACATGGCTATATGTGTGTTAGAACACAGTCGATGCATTGCTCTTGCAGACTTGCTGGTAAATGTGTGTATACATAAGAGAAACAGCTTGATGCCTTGAACCTATGCAAATGATTTCTATTTCATAGTTTGCATATACATTTTCAAGGTGCTGGTCATGCGCTGTATTTAATAAACCACAAACCATCTACACAGGAAATTCTGTTTGCAAACGTTTTTGTGTGTGTATGTATGTATGTGTGTGTGTGTGTGTGTATATATGTATATATCTATTTATACACAACTTGTTTGTTTTTTTTTTCACCTTTTTCTGCAAAAAATCTTTCTTTTAATCTTTTTTTTTTTTTTTTGATAATTTTTGCTCATAATTGCCTCCTGCTAATAGTTTTAAATGTATTTTTTTATTAATTTAACAGGTTGATGAGCAGCATCCGTAATAACGTGGGTCGTGGTCTAAACGTGGCTCTTGTAAATGGTTTGTTACAAAAAAACATTGTACACCTTGCTGATTATGGTCAAGCAAAGCATAGTTGAAATAAACAGAATATTTGTTTTATAAAACAGTGGCAGGCCAGCCAATGGCCTTTGAGGACTGAGTGGTATTGATACTAGACATTGATATGTGTCCGCATTTGAACATGGTTTCTTAACCCCTTGAACGTGTAATGTTGCATTCCCCTGTCACAGCCTGGGTCTCAAACACTCTTTTTGTTTTGTTTTTTTTATTTAATTTTACAGTATAGTCACCAATCATCCCTGTTGGCTTTGAAAAGTAGGATGTTGCATACTGGCAGCATTTAATATAATTTTTAATATAAAAAAATCAGAATTATAGAATTTTTTTTTTGAGCTGTATTCAATAAAGTTTTCTCACTGCTTAGAGATGTAGAATTAGGAGTATGGGTTCTCAAATAGAGGGTTTGGTAGTGTTGTGTTGTGTGTGTGTGTTTTTTTTGTTTTTGTTTTTTGTGTGCATTGTTTATTTCCCTCTGGCCTCCTTGGTTTGCTGAACTGAAAATTTGTGTGTATACAAGCATGCATGTAGACACTTTCTATGCAGTCGGACTTGATTATTGACTTCATATGGGTCATCTTCTGTTAGGCAGACTAGAATGCTGTGCTATAGAAAGAGGGCTTAGACCGATAATACGTGAGGTTAAGGGAACTATAGTACCCGAAATTTATGCAGCCATAGTAATAATAATAGACATGACTCTCCAAATTCATATTGATATTGACCACTAAAAATGACTATTTGACATTAATGTGACTTGCTGCTGATATATGCCAATACTAAGTGTTGGTATTCGTAAACGCACCTGACAAAAGAGATGTATTTATTTTGTTTTGGTTTTGTTTTTTTAAGGAGTAAATGGAGAACTTATAGAGGCCAAATCCTTTGACATGTGGGATGGAGGTGAGTTACAGAAACCATAGAAGGAGCACTGCAAGGTTCATTTGACCCTATCCCCATTTTTCTGAATTTTTACTTTTGCAGTGTATGGTTATAACAGACAAGCTTGAGGTACCCCAACGGCAATTCTCAGGCATAGTATCATGTGTTACATTTGGGGTATTAGAGAGGCGTGCACAATTTTATAGTAGAAACAAGATTATAAGAACATGCCATGTACATATATCTAAACTCGATTTGCATAGAGTAAGCGTGCTAGACATAGAAATATAGTAAACAAGAGTGATGACATTTAAATAATCACTATGGGTTAAGATGATATGGTAGTTGTATGCGACATGCTAAGTAACGTAGACACCTAAGGTTGACCTTTCGGTCATGTGGAAAGTTACTGGACTGTGCATCAATATAAGGTGACCGCACCTGGCTATGCTTGGTAGCTAACTATTAGATAGCAAACCTATGATAATGTATAGCCACAGCAAACATAGAGAGCGGTTATAGTAGCCGCAAGGGCTATATGGAATCATTTGGCCTCAACGTCATGCAGGTAAGTCCCAGGGTGAGTGTGGCGGAACAGCTCTTTTAGACAAGCAGACAGTCAGCCTATGCCCAAGGGAAGCATCGGGCTGGCAAGAGCAGTGTCTGGGGGATTACAGTTGCCAACGGAAAGTCCTGTAGGAAGTCCATGCAGCCTGGTAGGTTCAAGTGAAGGTCGGCGTATTCACGCCATGACACTGCGCTCTTCCAGCCCCAGGCCCGCATCTGGTTTCCACGAGGGCTGGTCTTCTCGGCGACCATTTCCTTCCTCCGTACAGGGCATGCGGATGGTCTGTGGGTGGCTGCCGCCGGCGGCGTGTAATCCTCCACTCATGTGGGTGATGCTGCGCCTCGCGTGACTCTCGGCCTAGGAAGGCGAGCGGCAGTGTTGGGAGGCGTGTGAGTGGTGGCGACCTCTTGTGAGAGCGTGGTAGTCCCTCTCAGCTCACCCTCCTTGTCTACCTCCCAATGTCGTGGTCTGCCAGCTCGGTGACGCGCCTGAATCTTCGCCCAGAAGCACTGGAAGATGACATCGAGTTGCAGCAGGATACTTGCTGTGGGACCAGGGAGAGGCCCTTGAGGTGAGTTTAGGTCTTGGCCGGCCGGTAAGAAGGGAGTGCAGGTTGATGAGTGTCCACACAGCCCAGTGAAGACCGGGATGGCGGAGGGGAGGGGGTAGGAGAGCAGCCCCAACAGCTTGCCGGGTGGGAGTCCAGGATGATTGTCCGCATCTCCCCTGTTCCCTCCAGTGCAGGCCGCAGCAGGGTAGCTCGGGTCTCCGACATCATGCCGCCTTGAGTAAGGTGTCGATGCATACAGGAGTGTACCCCCGACTAGTGAGGCCACTAATGTGGGGTATTGCTGCTCAACAGTTGGGGTAAATGGCCCAAATTTAGCCAAGGATTCTCGAGCCCAGGCACCACTCGTCTGCTTTGCTCCATGGCTAGGGTCCGCCCATGACACATCCCCATTTTATTCTATTTTGGAGATCTTCTATGGACAAAATATGTGCAATCTTGACTACCATGTGAAAGGGCATGCCACTGTCAAATTACACAAAAATTTATTGGTTAGTAGATACGCCCCCAATGAAAACATGTATGCATTTAACTATGCATTTTCTTCCTCCCTCCAGATTAGAGGCAGCGCACAACAACTGGGATCTCCTCTAATCTGGATCAGAAAGGCAGGCAAGTGACCTAAAAAAAATTAATCCAAACAGTCCTAGAACTCCTCCCCGACTCCTCCTCCCATAGGTACAGGAACCCCGTCAAGCAGTGCAACCCCAGTTCTCTGCCTGCCTTCGGTGAGTCGGTACATCTGAGGAGGGCTCTGTCTATTTTTCAGGGAAGAAGCGGGACTTCTTCCTTAGAGGTGAAAAGCAAGTCGGCGCCTGCATTTCACCACTTTTTATGTCGCCAACTTCCAGTGCCGGAAATGGCGAGGGTGTGCGTCGCACACATGCTGGGAGGTCCTAGGATGGAACGCATCGCACAGGTTGTGTTGCGTTCCATCAGGTTATCATGGAGCGCTCTGCAAGTACGCGAAACGATCACCTAGAATCAGGCGCAAAATTTAAAGTGAAGATTTTTTTTTCCTCTCTCTTTTTCCTATTCGCGAACTAGGACCTGGGATGGGAACACTATAAATCCCAGCAGCAACTTCCTGCTTGCCAGGTACCTGCAGTATCTGTGGCAGTGTGCTCTCACCTGCCCTCCGGCACACACAGAGGCCATTAAGGTAAGACTTTTTAGTTGATCCCTTAATGTTCTCTTCCTTGATTCATACATTTTTATTTAAAAAAAAAAAATTCTCTCTCTTCCTCTAGTATGTCTAACCTTGAGCAGATGGATAAGCATGGAGAAAAAGGAAAATGCATTACTAAGACAAAGTATTTGATGTGTTCCTCCAGTTCACAACCTTTACCAGACATGTATAAAAAGAAAATCTGTGGTATTTGTACTAAAGAAGTTTCGGACAAAGACAAAAAGTGGAAGTCTCTTCATTTATGACTTGGTTTCAGAGCAGCTTACAACAGACCTTTTGTGGACTGCCATTCTGCTATCCGCTCAGTCTTCAGTTCAACCAAGTTCCTCTCCCTCTAAAAGGAAGAGGGCACGTTTGGAGATTTCAGATATGAGCTCTGAATTCTCTTCTAATACCTGTTCTTCTGAAGAATCTAGTGATTCCTCTGACGAGGATAGATGCTTTTAGGAGCAGCATCTGCCTAAACTCATTAAAGAAGATTACTGCCTTATGGATTTGGAAGAATTGTCTTCTGGAGAACAGGATAAGCGAAAACTTAAATCCTTTCCCATCCATCCTTCCATACACCAGCTTATGTTAAGGGAATTGAAATTTCCTGCAAGAAAGGCGTTCATCTCTAAGCACAGCTAGAGGTTTTACCTAAGGTGGATGTTCCTATTGCCTAGCTGGGGAAAAAAACACTCTTCCTATTGGAGATTCGAGTGGTCTCCAGGATGCAATGGATAGAAGAGCAGAGTCTTCTTTAATAAAGCTTTTTGTCACTTAAGCTGCCCAATGCAAGGCTCTCATTTCAGGTACATCAGTAGCTAAAGCCCAAAGATGCTGGAGAAAGGTTATCTAGGGAATGTTAAGAAGGATCCCATTAAACGTTTGAGAAACATCAGGATGGCTGATGATTTAAAAAAAAAAAAAATTTTTTTTTTTTTTCGACTCTTCTTCTGAAACACTTAAGCTTTTGGCCAAAGCGATGGCACTTACTAATGTAACCAGACATGCAGTATGGTTAAGAAGTTGGTCCACTGACTCTGCTTCTAAGAATGCATTGTCTGGCCTTCCCTTTGACCAGGGTAGGTTATTTGGCTCACTTCTAGATGACCTACTTAAGAGTATAGCGGAAGGTAAAAAGGCATTGTCTGAAGAAAAGAGAAAATTTTCAGAAAACACTGCTTTTTCCTACAAAAACAAGCAGTCCTATCGAAATTCCTTTCATAGGTTCTCATTCATGAGAAATCAAAGAAGACCTTTCTCTGGTCAAGAAAAATGAATTTTTCTGAAAAGAAAGAATGTAGATTTTGACGCCATGCCAGTAGGTGGCAGACTTCTACATTTCTTTTCAACTTGGCAAATGACTACTGTGGACACCTGGGTCCTGTTAGTAATCCAATTTGGATACAAGATAGCATTTCACAGCTTTCCTTTGTTCCTCAGTTCAGTCCGAAGAATTTGCTGCAGTGCTTCTTCAAGAAGTTTTGGCTTTGTGCCTGAAAATCGAGTAGAAATTCTTCAAAAAGAAGAAGAATTCAGAGGTTCTTATTCTCGAATCTTTTTGATAAAAAAAAAAATGTGGCTCAATCCGTCCAATTCTAGATTTAAAAGATAGTCAACAAATGTGTGGTTCAGCTAAAGTTTTGCATGGAAAACATAATTTCTGCTTCCCACATGATTCAACCAGGCATATGGCTATGTTCCATCGATTTACAAGACACTTATCTGCACATGCCCATATAAAAAAGCAGACATTTTTAAGGATTTGCCATAAAAGATCAGGTCCATCTGGGGCATTTCCAGTTCAGGCCTCTGCCCTTTGGCCTTTCTTCAGCTCCAAGACTCTCTACCAAAATGTTAGTGGTCATCACAGCAGAATTCAAAAAAAGAGGTCTCAACATAGTCCCATATCTGGACAACTGGCTCCTTATTGCTTCTTCAAAAATACAACTTCTAAAGGGCTTCTATCACTCTGCAAGATCATGGTTGGATCATAAACAAAGAGAAATTAGAACTGATTCCCTCCCGTATCATCCAGTTTTTGGGTCTCATTCTAGACTCCATTCAGATAAAGATCTCCTTACCAGGGGTCAAGATCACCAAACTCAGGGTAACTATAATTACCTTACAAGAAAATAAATGTTGCACAGTGAGAGAAGCAATGAGACTTCTGGGCCTCTTCACAGCTGCAATCCCAGCTGTAAACTGGGCCAAATCACATATAAGGCCATTGCAAAGGAACATCCTGTCTTCCTGGAACCGAAAGATTGCTGCCTTAGACCAGTCCATGCTCCTAAGTTCCTCGGCTCTCCAGAGTTTCCATTGGTGGATGACATCTCATTTCATTTCAGAAGGTCACTCTTTCCAAGTAAAAGATTTTTGTTCGTAACCGTAGACCCTTCAGGTATAGGATGGGGTGCTCATTTGGTTCAAAAAGTTGCAAAAGGAGTTTGGAATCTTCAAGATTCAAGGAAATCTTCAAATTTGAAAGAGCTAGAAGCCACTTGGATGGCTCTCCTCTCTTTCCAAAATCTTCTGAAAGGGCATCACACACAGATAAGGTCAGACAACTCAACAGCAGTAGCCTATGTGAACAGGCAAGGACGAACACGTTCAATTCCTCAGGAACACCTATGCACCGACATCATGAATTGGTCGGAACTCCACCTTTTCTCGATTTCTGCGGTTCACATAAAGGGAGTAAAGACTGTTCTGGCAGACTCACTCAGCAGAAACCATCTGAAACAGGGAGATTGGTCTCTCTCTCCTCTAATTTTTCAGGAAGTGGTAAAAAAGATTTGGAAATCCTGTAATAGATCTAATGGCCTCAAGAATGAACAAAAAGACGGAAAGTTTTGCATCCATCAGTTCAACAGACTCTCCCGACTTCCTGGATGCTTTGTCTATTTAGTGGAATTTTCCACTGGCATACATCTCCCCTCCGGTTATCCTCATCCTTCGTATTCTTCAAAAGGGATCATCAGGGACAGAGCAAGGATTATTGCAATTCTCCCCTTCTGGCCTCGAAGAAGTTGGTTTTCCATCCTGTTGAACCTCTCCAAAAATGTTTTGTGGAAACTGCCTATGTCAGAAGACATTCTGGAACACAATCTGGTCCCTCTGAAAACCCTTCAGACATTCTAACTAACCGCCTGGTATCTGAACATCAGATCCTGAGTTCAAGAGGACAGAGTCCTGAAGTAATCTATATCCTATTGGCTGCTAAGAAGTATTCCACTCCAGTGGTTTACACCAGAATATGGAAAGAAATTCTGCTCCTGGTGTCTTGATAGGAGTGTTGATTCTCTTTCTGCCCCAGTTGCTCAGATTTTGAAGTTCCTTCAACTAGGGTTTGCTAAAGGCCTCTGTCCGGCTACTCTTAAAGTCTAAATATCTGCATTTAGTTGTTTTTTTTTAGTATTGCAGACTTGGCTTCAGATGCTCTAATCTCCAGGTTCTCTTGAACTGGTTCCTCCTTGGGATTTAAACATGATCTTGTCTGCTTTGTGTGAACTTCCTTTTGAACCCTTGGATTCCGTCACTCTGAAGATTCTAACTTTAAAATATCTGTTCTTGGTTGCCATAACATCTGCAAAATGTCTAAGGGAACTTCAAGCCTTGGCCTCTTCTCCACTTTTCCTGGTTTTTCATCTATGAATCAAGAAATTGTTTTCTCCATGTTTTGTCCGAACCCACTTAATCCGACGTAAATTCCATTACCTGGATGTTAAACGCTGCTTACAGGTCTACTTGGAGAAATTTAATCCATTTTGTAAATCTGACAGGTTGTTCATCCTGTTACAGGGGAAAAACAGGGGTCTTATGGCCTCAAAAGCTCAGTTGGCAAGATGGATTAAAGACTCTATTGTTCTAGCATACATTTCGTCCAAGTTATCTCCTCCTGTGAAATTGCGAGCTCATTCTACGAGAGCTGTAGCTTCTTCATGGGCTTTAAGAGCTTCGGCATCACAGATTTGCAATGCAGCAACTTGGTCGTCTCTTCATACCTTCTCCAGACATTATCGATTAGACGTACAGGCCTCTGAGGATTCTGTTTTTGGGCGTAAGGTTTTACAAGCTGCGGTGAAGTGATATTTTACCCTCCCTTAAGGGATTGATGGGTTATCCCAGTTGTAGAGCACTGCCTCTAAACTATCAGGAAAAGTTCAAATTTTACTTACCGTAAATGTATTTTTACTTAAGATTAGAAGCAGTGCACATATTTCCCACCCTATTTATTCAATATTTTTTTTTTTTTTGCAGTTATATGGCTTGTTTGTATTTTCTGTGGTTGCTCTGCTTAACAGGGTTCTTGTACCTATGGGAGGAGGAGTCAGGGAGGAGTTCTACGACTGTTTGGGGAAAAAAAGTTTTTTTGTTTTTTTTTTGTTTTTTTTTGTTTTTTTTAAGGTCACCTGTCTGCCTTTCTGATCCAGATTAGAGGAAATCCCAGTTGTTGTGCACTGCCTCTAATCTTAAGGAAAAGCTAATTTACGGTAAGAAAAATGTGAACTTTCCATTGGATGTATATCTGAAGACAGCTGGAAGAAGCTTTAGAACTATTGTCTTCTGCCTTCTGCCTTTGCAAGCACTCCCCTTCTAACCCCGCCCAGACTTTCCGTGTCTGTCCAATCACAGACTTCCCAGTGCAGCTTATTTAGTAGTCTTTGCGAAGCAGGTGCTTTATGCAGTTTCCTGCCTCTGAGTTTAGCTCCACTGAGCTAACAAAACCAGGAAGTAACAGGACTGTTGTCTGACAGCCAAGGTGGTGTAACAAGGTTAAAAAACGTCCGCTTTATATTGAAATCTGCAAGCAAAGGTGCTTTTAGGGGTCTTGAAGTATCCCTTTGAAAAGCATCTAGAGCTCTTGAGTCAGTGGCCCTAAGGTCTACATAAGAAGGTTTCCTATGCTTGACAATACTGTGCTGTGATCGGGTTACATCTCAGACATAATCTGATCACTCTGAATTAGATTTTGCATGCTTCACAGAGTGGCTCCTGGAGAAGGTCTAAGTGGATACATGGTTCCATGCTTCCGCAACAGATCTGATCTGCAATATCGCACTCCCTATCTTCCTTGCTAGTGTGGTATCCCAGCCCTAATAGCTTGTCATATCCTGTAGGTAATCTTGGTAATTGAATTGGATGAATATGGCAAGTAACTGCTGTTTCCTTCTCCAGATGTATCTAACCTCCTGAGTTTCCTGCGACCAATACACGAAGGGACTTTGGTGCTAATAGCCTCTTATGATGATCCAGCCACAAAGTAAGTGGAATTCCAAATGGTCTCGCGTTCGCTAGGGAGTTATAAGATCAGAGTGATTATCTTTCCATTTTGACATTGATATACTGACAAAGTGCCAATTATGGCATCACTAAAATGCCAGATAGGAAGAATGTAAGCAATTAACAGCATCTACAACAATTGAAGGTATCATTTATCTATATGATAAATTATATATTCTTTGCTTTTGGAGCTGGTAACCATTTTAGGTGAATCTGTCATAGCTGATGCTCTAAGCGAATAAGCATATTCCTGCATGGTCCTGGTTTGTTCTGTAGAGCAATTCAGATCATTTTGCTAGTGCAAGCCCATGGTACCATACCATAGTGGTTATGGTACTTAAAGTGTTCCTTTAAAGCAAAACTTAGAAAGGGTGTTTGGAATACAAAATTGTATGCTTACACTATAGTGCCCCCCTCACAGTGCAGAAATGGTTAAAAACACTTCTGTCACTTACCTGAATCCAGCCGGAATATGACGTCATATTCCGGCTCCGGCATCAGTACGCGGCGCGTGAGTGTGTGTGTCTGCTAGTGAGTGTCAGTGAGTGTGTTACTGTGTGTGTCTGTTACTGAGTGTGTTAGTTTGTGTGTGTCTGTTAGTGAGTGTGTTTGTCAGTGAAAGTGTATGTTTTGTAAGTGAGTGTGTATGTGTGTATGTATGTCGCTGAGTGTGTCTCTGTTAGTAAATGTGTGTGTCTGTTAGCTAGTGTGTATGCATCTGTTCGTGAGCGTGTGTGTGTGTCTTCAGCACTCACCTTTCTCCAGCGCCGGACTCCTTTGGCGCTGGGGATCCCTCCGCCTCTCAGCTCCGCATGTGCATTCAAACCGCCCATAGGAAAGCATTACTCAATGCTTTCCTATGGACGTTCTGTGTCTTCTCACAGTGAGAGGGTTAAAACTAGAGGGACCTGGCACCCAGACCATTTCATTGAGCTGATGTGATCTGGGTGTCTGTAGTGGTCCTTTAAGTGTGTGTGCATCTACATGCACTGGCGTACATACCGCGGCCGCAGGGGTCGCATCCCTGCGACCAGGTGCCCGCCACCATGTGTTCCGGCCCGCGCAGAGTAAGCGTGGGGGGGGGGAGGCACGGATCAACCTTTGCACCGGGGCCCCATGGGTCATGTGTACGCCACTGCCTTCCCGCTTCAGTTTTTCAAATAAAATTGCACAGTAAAAATCAGTCTGTTTTCATTTCGGGGCCATTTTAGCAAATTATACATTTACATTTCTCCACAAATGCATACCATATTGACTCCATGGGGAGTCTGATATTATACATTTTAGCTTTAATGGGGTGCTATTTGTTTACCATTTTATTTCAAGATTTGTGGTAATAATTTGTATATTTTTTAATTTTATTTTTTTTAATCATGTATTTTTGCTGCATCCGTTTTTAATTTAATTTATTTTGTCAATCCACAAGTGAGACATGCATAACATAAAGCAGTCAGTAGTACAGTACAATGCCAGTGTAGCATAACATACATAACTGTCTTAGTAACAACAGGATTGCGGGATTTTTTTTTTAATTTTTTTTTATAACCTGGAAGAAACAATAGCAATTTTTCATAGTAAAACTAAGCCCGCTACACCTAATGCGTTAGCTAGTAGCATGGTCAGTTGCTGTTTAAGGGTAGAGAGGGCTGCATGCCTCTTGACGCCCTCTACAGGACAGGTGTAAAAAACAAGAGGCAGATACCCACTATGTTAATGTCAGACAAGCTGCTTGAAGCGAAAGGTAGTGGGCTTGGAGGATGAGAGAGAGGGGTACCTACACCTCTATACCAACAGGAGGAGAATGGACTGGACGGGTCTCATAGGACTATAATCCTTTGTCAAAATATGCAGTGGGAAATAATAAAAAGACAAAACGGGTGGAACGCATGTTATAACAAAAAGAAACTAATGAATAGCTAAGTGCTAATACAAGCTGGCCTATAACATTCAGGCAAGTCCTGTGGTTGCGGAGTTTCTCCGTTGGATAGCTGGAACAAACGGACAAACTGCCGCCAGGTCCCATGTAGTCTTCTGCGTTGGGAGTGCCAGTGCCTGTTGGCCCGTCTCTGTTGGTGAGAGCCCGAGTTGTTAGAGAATGCTGGCCACTTCAGAGGCCTCGGCCACTTTTGAGAGTCCCAGCTTCTTGGTGCTCCCCTTTAGTAAGGCATTTTATGTGTTTTTTTTTAACACCAAGGTCAAGGGTTGCAAGGACCATCGCCAGTCCATCGTGGCTCGGGAGATCAGGGTAGAACAACAGTGAATATTCCTCACATCGGTACGGAGAGGTCTTGCAGACCGCAGACATGAAGGCTTGTTTGTCCGGTCGGTGCTGGAAACGGATGATCACATCCCTGCCCGTTTAAGAGGAGGCAGTCTGAGGTTGAGGTAGTCCGTAGCAACCATCTAGGGTCATAGCTTTTAGCTTGTTTGGGAGAAAATATGCAGGAGAGCAGTCTCTGAATGAAGTGGGGAATTGCCGCCAAAGCTACACTCTCAGCCAGACCTTTTATCTTCATGTTTTTCCAACGTCTGCGGTCCTCCATGGCTGCTACTTGTCGCTGGGTTTGGGCCAGGTCATGTTTGAGCGTGGTCACTTCATGCTCTAGATCAGTAATTCGGACCTCTTGTTCAGCAGTGTTAATTTCAGCGTCATGCAGGAACCACAGATGCCCCATTAATTTCTTCTTTAAATAAGTTGATATCTCCCGCAATGTTACAGCGGAGATCCTCCAGTAAGGCCTTCAGTTTCTCTTTAGTCACTGGAGGACTACCCTGCCCTGGAAGCCTGTCCATTCTCCATGTGTCCGCCAATATCTCTGGACTCCGCAAGTCTGATATTGACTCTTCGCTGGACGTCCAGGAAGGCGCATCCGAGAGGGGCGCCATGACAAGCCTCATGGGATTCTGCGACCTCCACAACAGATTGCCGATATCAGCAGTGGACAGGGGTATATCCGCCCGGTACTTCTTACTTTTGCGCCCCATAGCTGCAAGAAGGCAAGATGCTTACTTTGGAGGCTGGTGCGGTAGGTATTACTGTGGTTTTTTTTTTGGTTTTGTTTTTTGTTTTTTAACACTCATGGAGCTCTGCAAAATCGTGTCCAGTCTGTGCAGATGTTGGCTACGCCACCGCTGCATACCTTTTTACATCTCGTGTGCTACTGTAGTAAAATTCCGTAAACGGTACTTGGCTACACCTCCTGAATACTACAATACTCCCTACATATCGTTGGGTAATTTTATGCAAAGTTACAGTGCCAATTGCAGATTTTTTTTATCAAATTAGAAAAGTGAAGATTCCTTTTTGTAGCCAACTCTAATGCTAACCCATATTGTGACACTAACCCTTGTAACCCTAAACTGTACCCCTGTACCCCTAAACATGAATGTTAACTAATCCTTATCACTAATAAACCCTAAACACCAACGCTATCCATGACCATAAAGTTAGTGTTGTTGAGATTCACTTTATGAGCACAGTGCACTCACAACATGAGAGAGAGATTATTTCCTTCTCCGCACCTAAATCCTTTCATGACTATCACAATATGATTTTAAAGGGACACTGTAGGCACCCAGACCACTTCAGTTCATTGAAGTGATCTGGGTGCAAACTCCCATCACCCAGAGGATATAATTATTGCAGTTTTTATAAACTGCAATAATTATCTGCTAGGGTTAGCTCCACCTCAGGTACTGAATGATACAGAAACAATCCCTGCTAGTAAAAATCTGCATGATGGAATTATTTCATCCTGGGTCCTTAAAGGTAGGACAACCGTGGAATAATTCCATCTTACATCCTTGGTAGCTTAAAATAGACTTTCACTCCACAGGATTTTAAAATTATTTTTTTACTGATCCCCTATGTTTAACAAATATGTTGTTTTTTTTTTTCTTAAAAAAAAATAAAAATTTTATGTCGAAATCCACATCAGTGTATTTATCTTTGTCATGGAACGGAGTGTCTCCATATTAGCTCCCCGTCCATCCGTGTTCTAAATTCTAAAGTGTTTTATGCAATGATATCAATTCCACAGGTGACATTTTCAAACGTGTTGAGAAACCTTGCCTTTTGTTTATTAACTTCTTCCTTTGACAGCCTCAACTAAAACATGGATATAGTGTGATTTAAATTTTGTTCTTGGCTTTTGCATTTGTTTGTCTAAGGATGAACGAAGATGCCAGGAAAATGTTAGCAGAGCTCGGTAGCGCTTCAATTAAAGATGTGGGATTCAGAGACAGTTGGGTCTTCGTGGGAGCAAAAGGCATACAGGATAAAAGTCCATTTGAACAGGTAGGAAGTTCTATCCTCTGTTTCCTTTTTCAGTTTAGATCAGGAAACGAGTAGCAAGATCAGATACTCCATCTATAAATAACTGCGTCAATCAAAATAATTCAATTGACCTATTGCCAAAGTGAAAGATTTGCATAAATTGAATATTCAAAATTGTACTGACACTTCCTGTCGGCACCACTCTTGTGTAATATGATTCTTGGTTGAAGCCAACAGTGATATTTCAAAATGGTGGGTTATGAGGAAAAAGGATGGCCAAGCAACCGGAAGCTACTTTACAATGTAACGGAGTCTACACACAGACACTGCTCACTTACCGACCGGGTTCCGTTCTTACGACCCAATCGTAAAACGAATTGGTCGGTAAGTGAAGATGCGCTATCAAGCATAGACCAATTCACTAGTGCAGGGAAAACTTCCCCGAATATAGACCAGCTCTCTAAAGTGAGGAATCCCTTGAATCTCCACGTTAGAAAGCTGGTCGTAAGTGCGAGCCGTCGTAAAGTGAGGACCACCTGTAAAGCATAGCCATAAGCTAAAATAGTCCGTCCTTTACCTTTTAAAGGTACACTCCAAGCACCCAGACCACTTCTGCCCATTGGAGTGGTCTGGGTGCCAACTCCCACTACCCTTAACCCTGCAAGTGTAATTGTTGCAGTTTTTTATAAACTGCAATAATTACCTTGCAGGGTTAACTCCACCTCTAGTGTCTGTCTACTAGACAGCCACTAGAGGGCACTTCCTGGTCCATAGCACAGAAAACCTGTGCTAGAGCATCGCTGGACGTCCTCACGTTGTGTGAGGACCTCCAGCGTTGCTCAATTTCCAATAAGAATGCGCATTAGGTCTCCGTGGCTGGCGGGCGGAATCAGTCTTGCCCACCGGCCGACGTAATGAAGAGGAGGAGGAGCGGCGGCGACTCGAAACCACCGCAGAGGGACATCGACGGGGGTCTCAGGTAAGTGACTGAAGGGGTTTTCACCCCTTCAGCAACCTGGGATTGGGAGGTGGGAGGGAGAGGGGACCTGCAGTGCCAGGAAAACGGATTGTTTTCCTGGCACTGGAGAGTCTCTTTAAAGATTACTCTAAAGTGGGACACATTTTGACAAGAGAGAAATCAATCTTTAATTTTAATTTTATTTTTTTCAGCTAATCAAGAACAATAAAAACAGCAATAAGTATGAAGGTTGGCCAGAGGCTGTAGAGTTGGAGGGCTGTATTCCCCAGCGCACTTTGGATGCCGACTGACAAACGACCGAGGAAGAAATGCATCTACATCAGAGATCACCCTAGATAGATATAGCCTATATTGGACTTGCTGTCGTGGGTGTGTTGGTGTGTGTGGGTCGTTTTCTGCACCTTTTCGACTCTTGACATGTATCGTCCGAATACAGACCTGTGATCTCTTTCAACATTCCCGAAGACTATTGCCTTTTTCTCTCCCGTCTGTTGGACACTTGTGGTCATATACCAATGAGGATAACATTTGAGATATGTTATCTTCTAAATCAAACACTGACTCCTCTTGGCTTCTCGCTGGACTCCTAAGGATGCGGAATCCAAATTTAAAAAAACTTTACTGACAAATTCACGACTATAATATTTAAGCTGTAACCCACCCACTAACAAGCAATGGGACATTGAGTATTGTTCTCTGTTTGCAGATCCACATCGGAGACCAAGCTTAATCTTTCTTCAACTTCATAAGGAACATCAAAATATATATATATATATATTTTTTCAGTGAATCATTTTCTTTATCACATTCAGAGAGCTCCGACAAACTTAATTCCCCGTTTTTGTTTTTAACAAAAGGCATTGCATATAGAGATCAATTTCTCTCTGTTAGGAAAAAAAAAATTATATTGAGGTTAAATTCTTAATTTTGTGGATTTTCTTCTTTCTTTTTTTTTTTTTCTTTTTTTTTTTTTATATATCTCACCAAAGAACTTGTTAAAATGGACAGAGAAAATATACACATGCTTATATTTATTGTAGAGTGCATTATTACATTCGTGATGAGGTCAAGCAGTGTTTGTGTGACTCATGGGAGCGGAGCAGTGCTTGTGTGCTGCTGCAAATGATCTGACCAAAAGAGAAAGGGGTGTGTGCATTAATTATAAGCAAGAATGGTTCGTGTACGAAAACTGGTTATTGAAAAAGCTGAAGGTACTTTCCCAATCATGAATTTTTAAGAAGGTTAAAACAATGTCAATTGTACTGTCCAATAAATAATTTAATTGACAACGAATTATTTAACTTTTAATGTCTTTACAAAATAAAATTTATCTTTTGAAATTTTTCTTCTGGATTCACATCTTCAAATGTTGTGTGTTTTGTTTTGTTTGTTTTCAGACATATAATCAATACTTGGTTTTGTTTATGAACATAGAGCCCTAGGCAAACTACCGCTGGGGGCAATTACATCAAAACTTTTATTAGTGCCGTTTAAGAAAAAAGTAAAACAAGTGCTTCTTCCTTAAATTAATTTTGATTTGTGTATATGATAGTGGACCCATTCAGATTGAAGTGTCTCGCAGTTCTGCACCTCAGCTCTACAATTTTGGGATCCCTGTACCACTGTGCCAGAAGAGGAACAACAGAGAAAGATCCCAGAAGAAAAGCAATGCGGACAGTTGTTTAACCCCTTAGTGAACAGACCGTTTCTCAATTTTTCATCTATTTACATTTCTGCGGTATTTGTGTTTAGTGTAATTTTCCTCTTACTTATTTACTGTACCCACACATATTTTATACCATTTTTCTCGCCATCAAATGCTCTTTCGAAAGATACCATTTTTTATCATGTCATATAATTTACTATAAAAAAAATTCTAAAATCTGATGAATATTTTTTTGTTTAAAACACTTTTTCGAACTTTGATCCCCAAAATCTGTTATGCATCTACAACCGCCCCAAAACACCCATGCTAAATAGTTTAAAAATTTTGTCCTGAGTTTAGAAATACCCAATGTTATCATGTTTTTGAAAAGTTATAGGGCAATAAGTACAAGTAGCACTTTGCTATTTCCAAACCCATTTTTTTTTTTTTCCAAAATTAACATATAAGTTACATTGTAACACTAATATATGTCAGGAATCCCTGAACAACCCTTCACATGTATATATTTTTAAAAAGAAGACAACCTAAGGTATTATACTTGGGGTATTTTAAATCTTCTCATGCTACCATTTTACCACCAATTATGCCAAATAAAAAAATAATTGGTGATTTATTTTTTTTTGACACACATAGCAATTTCAGAATACATGTATGGAGTACATTAAAGGACCACTATAGTGCTAGGAAAACATACTCATTTTCCTGGCACTATAGTGCCCTGAGGGTCCCCCTCCCACCGGGCTCTAGGTGGTGGAAGGGGTTAAACTTACCTCTTTCTCCAGCGCCGGGCGGGGAACTCTCGTCCTCGGCTGATTGCGCATGCGCGGCAGGAGCCGCACGTGCATTCAGCCAGTCCACAGGAAAGCATTCACAATGCTTTCCTATGGACGTTGGCGTCTTCTCACTGTGAAAATCACAGTGAGAAGCGCCTCTAGCGGCTGTCAATGAGACAGCCACTAGAGGCTGGATTAACCCTATTATAAACATAGCAGTTTCTCTGAAACTGTTTATAGAAAAAAGGGGTTAAACCTAGCTGGACCTGGCACCCAGACCACTTCATTAAGCTGAAGTGGTCTGGGTGCCTATAGTGGTCCTTTAACCCCTTAAGGACACATGACATGTCATGATTCCCTTTTATTCCAGAAGTTTGGTCCTTAAGGGGTTAAGGGCTACCACCCATGTATAGATGTGTCTGGTTCTCTGGGGGCTAAAAGACCTTATTTGGAGGTTGCGCATTCCAGTTTTCCAACTTGGAATTTACACAGCTAGTCATCCTGCACCCATGTCCTATTTGGGACATTTGTGAAGCCGGCCAATGTAATTTACCCCCATCAAACCATATATTTTTGAAAAGTAGATACCCTTTGGTATTTCAAATGGAGGTATTTTAACACTTTCCATGCACTAATTCTACCACCAGTCTTTGTTAAACTTTTTGGGTAGTCATTTTTTTTGTGTTATTTTTCTCTCACATTGTACTTTAGGCATGGGTTCTCGGTTCCTGTTATGTGTTACTGACAAAGAACAACCCAATATGTGTTCATCAACATCTCCCAAGTACAACAGCGCCCCCAATGTTTAGGTTTCATGGGTTTTTGCAAACTTACAGGGGTCAAATGTAGGGCTTTCCCCTTTTCCATGTTTGCACATTGAAATTTGCCAGATTGGTTTGCTGGGCCTATGTTGCTTTTGAGACCGTATAGCAGCCCAGGAATGAAAATTAACCTCTTCATGACATACCATTTTCAAATGTAGATAACTCAGGGTATTTAAAATGGGGTATGTCCAGTCTTTTGTAGTAGCCACTTTTTTTTATCAATGGTTTTTTAAAATGTATATTATTAGAGCGGCCACGTGGAACCTGGGGGTCCTAATTTCCAGTGGGGGACTGTCTGAGCTGAGCCCAGACAGTCCCCCCTCAGAAGAAGACCTATCACCGGTGGGGGAACGGCGGCGATCGGTAAGTGCATGGGGAGGGGGAGGGAGGGTAGGGATTAATTTTTTTTTTAAATTAAATTTTATTTATTTTTTTACTGAGTGCCTCGACCTCTTGAGCCACTCAGTACCGCAGAGCATCGGAAGCCTGCCTGATGGGTTACCTAACTGTATAGAGGCCCGTTGTCCTGTATAACGTAATCCAGAAGTTCAAGTAGAATGTTAGAAGTACTAAAAAAAAAAAAAATAGTAGGAAAAATGTGCTGTATTAATGTTAGGAAGATAAATTACTAAATGTTACCATACATATTTGGTGGTAGTAGAGAAAAAGCTTAAATAGTATTGTAGAAAATAGGAACAAGTTGATAAGCTTACCAAAACAAAACATCTTTCTCTTGGTATAGTTCAGAGAGTAGAGCTCTGTGTGTGTTAGACTGCAAAAAGTGAAGTTCTAGGGAGAAGTGAAACGGTCAGTTGGTTTCCATGGTGACTGCTTTGTTTTTAACATTTGTCACCATCTATTTACACTGAATCCCATATCTCTTATGGCTCCAATCGCTTGTTCTTTGCTTCTACATGGGACTCACTGCAAACACAGATCTTGACACTCAACCAGGGGTAGGCAACTTTTGGCACTCCAGACTACATCTCCCATAATAACTTAACAGCCATAATGCTAAAAAAAAGAATCGGGATTGATGCAGTCCACAGCATTTGAGAGACAGATCCTGGAGTGTATTCACTAAACCCTGGATTGTAGTAAATTCAAATTTCTAATGGCAAGCACTATGAGTAACTATAAATGTTTTAAGATTTACCAATAAAATATTAAACATTTAATGTTTGCAAATATACGACCAGTCAGTTTTCTCAAAGTTTGCTCTGAATAAAATATACATTTTTTTTTTAATCTGTAAGTCGGTTGTGGTGTGCCGGAACCGACGTTCGGGTAGGCCTGCAAAAGAGGGCCCACCAAGATGAATGGCTTACTAAAGGGAGTGGTGGGTGGACGGAACCAGGCAGTCTCAGCCCAGAGGAAGGGGAGGTCTGTATTTATAGACCGGGTAATTCCTCCCACAATTAACTCAGCCTTCCCATTTGCGGTCGTATACAATAAGCCAAGTTATAGTAATGGTGCTGTAAGTCGGTTGTGGTGTGCCGGAACTGACGTTCGGGTAGGCCTGTAAAAGAGGGCAAAAAGTGTAACATTGAATACATGTTGACATTACATAACCAATACTTAAATGCATGTCTCAATTTCCTCTCAGGTTGAGCGATGTATCTGGCATATGCAGATGACTCTACTGTCCCAGCAATTAGATGATATGTACTGGGATATTACTAGAGGTACTAGGAGCAGCGCGTATTCTTTTAGAATGACCTTAAAAAATTTTTAACGGTTGTATTCGAGTAACTAAGTGTTGTGAGCTGTTCTGGTGGGATAGAAAGTTTAGCGACATTAACAGGACTGCTCAAGCATGTGTTGAATGTAACAGCGCTATTGTTGACAGGTGGACCTGGGAGCAGGTTGAGTGGATGGGAAATGAATGAGCTCCCTTGTGTAAGGTGCATGGTAAAGTTCAGAGGACCAAGGAGATACTGGAGATCCATGTGGGAAACGGGCATTTTTGCCAAGAATGGATTTTCCCTTTCCCTGGTAGCTGGGCTTAGTCTGCGGGGAGGCTGAACTGCAATGAAATCAAATCTAATGTATTTCCAGAAATTAAAATTGGTGTAGGGACCAAAGGTTGATTGAGACAGCAGAGTTCCAAAGGATGTACCAGATACAAAAAAGACACATCGGCTTCAGAGTATGGCATTCGGTTCCATAATCGTTACACTCATGTAGAGAATGTATTACTGAGGGACAGTACTGATGTACAAGAGGAGCCTACAGAGAGATTATGCAACTATATTAAATAGTTTGGGCATCTCTCCGCTCCAAACTTAAGACGGGTGGCAAAGTAGAATGCTCAGTTCACTGAATAGCGTGCAAATGCCACTGGGACTGATGCACTGGGAGCAACTTAAATGAGGAATATGGCATTTTCCTAGTCAGGCTGCTTCTGTGGCCCTTAAATAGGCCAAATACCAGGGCCTTATGCTGGGAACTTTAAAGAACGAGTAGTCGGTTATAAAATTGAGCAGTGGATTTCCATTAATTAGGCTGATATGGTAGGTGCACCCGCAAATAAAGAGGTTACATAGTTACATAGTTACATAGTTACATAGCTGAAAAGAGACTTGCGTCCATCAAGTTCAGCCTTCCTCAGAAATGTTGTTGCTGTTGATCCAAAAGAAGGCAAAAAACCTGGTCTGAAGCACTTCCAATTTTCCACAAACTAGGAAAAAATTCCTTCTTGACCCCAAAATAGCAGTCAGATGTCTCCTTGGATCAATCAGCTATTACCCCACTAATTAGAAATTATATCCCTGTATGTTATGTTTTTGTAAGTATTTATCCAATTTCAGTTTAAACATCTGTATGGACTCTGACAAAACCACCTCTTCAGGCAGAGAATTCCATATCCTTATTGTTCTGTAAAAAAACCTTTTCTTTGCCTTAGATGAAATCTCCTTTCTTCCAGCCTAAATGTGTGACCTCGTGTCCTATGTATAACCCTGTTTATGAATAGATTTCCAGATAAAGGTTTGTACTGGCCCCGAATATATTTGTATAAAGTTATCATATCCCCTCTCAGGCGCCGTTTTTCCAAACGAAACAGATTTAATTTTTGTAACCTTTCTTCATAA